TGAGAGAAAACAAATATAAAAAGCTCTGAGGTGTTCTGGAGACTTCTTTAGCAATGGTATGTTTGTGTATATACTCTTTCTCTCTGTGTGTGTGCATTTAAGACCCATTCATTAATGGGGCACATTGCTGGAATTTTACGCACACTTAATTGAAACACCATGGGCCTTATTTCTGAATAAACTTTTTCTTATTTGTAAACCGCCCTAGAATATTTTGATACAAGGTGGTACACAGTGAAAGCTGGTCCATTTACGCACTCAGGGCTACTCTTGGGCTCTCCCAACCTCCCTAACTTCAACTGTACCAGCCCCAATAGCCACCAGTAAGAAAGATAGATACAATAGTACCTTGGTTTGAAACCATTTTGGATTACAACTACATCAAACCCTGAAGTGTGTGTCCCCTTTTTTGGATTACAACCCATTTTTTTTGGATTACAACCCATTTTTTTGGGGAGGCCCCATTGGTGAAAGCGCACCTGTTTTGGTTTACAACCGGACCTCCGGAATGGATTATGGTTGTAAACCAAGGTATCACTGTAGATAGATAGGTAGGTAGGTAGGTAGATAGATAGATAGATAGATAGATAGATAGATAGATAGATAGATGATATAGTAGATAGGCAGGCAAAGGACTCACTTCCTAGTCATGAAAAACAGCTTGTGCCCATTATTTCCCCCTCACACGATTTCTTTGCTGATATGAAAATTAAGCATTGGATTAAATTCCAGACTTTAGGCAAATCAGTTGGGAGCTTTCAGAAATCCCAAATTAATCAGGGGAAAAAGAAACTGTACACATACCCTTTGCTGAATTATCCTGGATGGAGCGTTTTCTTTCCTTAGATGAAATTTAACCAACACGTTTATTCCGCGTAGGGTGTTCACACCACAGCAAGGGAACACTGACACTCTCTGAGATTGTCGCTCGCTATTTATATTCAGGAAAATTAATTGTGGGTTACAATATTTGATCTGAACCTGATAGGGTGTAAAGACAGTCACTCGTTCTGCATGACAAATTAGTAAATTAGACGCCGGGGTTGCTGCTCTTGCACAAGTTGAGCATTGCAAAGGCTTGGTCTTTCCATAGTCACTACTGGATTACACACCGCTGGACTTAATGTGCTTCTATATATAGAGGTGTAAAACCGGCATGCCTGCTATTGCGAGAAGTCCACTTTTAAATGAGCTAATATGATTAATTGAAAATTAAAACGAGTTAGAATGACTAATTTGTTTTAATATATTTTCCCCAGCTGGGGTAAGGAGGCACATAGGAAAAGAATCTCATGCCAATTTTGGTAAAACAGAGAACTTGGGGAACTTGTTGCTCTCCCCAAGTTACTGAATTACAACTCCCATCAGCAGCAACCAACATGGCCAGTGGGCAGAGATGGTGGGAATTGTAGTACATCAACATCTGGAGGGTCAAGTGTTTTCCATACCTGCCCCCCAAAATATGAAAAGTGTGTGTGTGTGAGAGAGAGAGAGAGAAAGAGAGATCAAATGCAGGGGTGTGTTCCTGCGAGAAGCGTGGTTACAGGGAACCAGGCATAGGGCCTTCTTGGTAGTGGGGCCCTCCCTGTGGAACACCCTCTCTTCTGATGTCAAGGAAATAAACAACATTCTGACTTTTAGAAGACATCTGAAGGCAGCCCTGTTTAGGGACATTTTTAAGAACTGATGTTTTAGTATGTTGTGATATATGCTGTGAGCCGCCCCGAAGTGGCTGGGGAAACCCAGCCAGGTGGGCGGGGAATAATAATAATAATAATAATAATAATAATAATAATTTGGAAAGCTAGGCAAGGTCTGGTATGGTATCAAATTGGATAGGGGATTGCATGTTGAGATTCCTGCGTTGCAGAGGGTTGGACTACTTGTCTCCTGGGGTCCTTTCCAACTCTTTGGTTCCAACTAAATTGTGTCAGTGGATTGAATGTGGCGATAGCGGTGATATTTAGCATTCAGGCTGTGTTGGGGTATATGGGGTATTAGAGGACGGGTAGTTCGTTCTCTGCCTTGTGGCGATACTCGTCCATGAGAAAGGCTTTGGGAGTAAACCCCAAGGAAAAAATCTGTACCCGCTGCCTTGCAGGACATCTTGGGAAGAAGAAAAGGTGAGGGGGTGAACTCTACACAAATCTGGAGTGGAGTCCCTAAGACGGTTGGTTGGATGGTAGGTCCATATATATACAGTCATACCTCATGTTATGTCCGCTTCATGTTACGTTATTTCAGGTTACGTCCTGTGGCGACCCGGAAGTACCGGAAAGGGTTACCTCCGGGTTTCGCTGCTCGCGGATACGCAGAAGCGCAAAATGACGTCATGCACATGCGCAGAAGCGGCGAATCGCAACCTGCTCATGTGCAGATGCGCCGCTGCAGGTTGTGTACTTTTCATGTTGCGAACGGCCCTCTGGAACGGATCCCATTTGCAACCAGAGGTACCACTGTATTGGCCCATTCTGACCTTTTCCCCCCCCAACAGTGACACAGACCATTCATAATGCAAGAATGGTGAGCAGGGCAGTGGGGTGGGGTAAGTGAAGACAAGCTACCACAATTACAGTGGTACCTTGGTTTAAGAACAGCTTAGCTTATGAACAACTTGGATTAAGAATGCTGCAAACCTGGAAGTAGGTGTTTTGGTTTGTGAACTTTGCCTTGGAAGCAGACCATGTTTCGCTTCCTGCTGAGTGTGTTCCATTTGTAAATTGAGTCCCCCGCTGCTATGGAAAAGCACACCTTGGTTTAAGAACGCTTTGGTTTAAGAACAGACTTCCGAAACAGATTAAGTTCGTAAACCAAGGTACCAACGTAACTATAACATTGTTCATTGCTCCTGCTCAGGCTGCGCAGAAAAAGCATTTTGGTTCCTGACATCTATTCTGATCGTGCAGATAAAATATAACAGATAGAATTCTACAGGATGTGGCATTAGTGTGCGAAAACAGTCAAGAGCCAAGCATGCTCAGGCATGCACCTCCAGAGGGTGGATATGTCAGCTGCCATCCTGGCACCCAAGAATCTTTGCTTGGTTGCAAGTGGCCGATAGCTTAAAAACATTCCTGTATTGTTTAAAGACTCCTTTCTGCTGCAGAGAAAACAAGACCCATTTCAAAATATTTATGAAAACATCTTATATGTGTGTGTGGGGGGGGGGGAGAATTAGGGTTAAGGTTCCCTTCTGGCAACAGGAAAAAGGAACCTTTGGTTCCAGCTCATTCTTCCTATGAAGAGTGCTTTGTTTAAAAGCTGACGTCATGACGCTATATTCACTATTGCTTGGGTGTGGGGTGAATGGCGTGAGCCCAATGGGTAAAGTATTGAGAAAGGCAGTGAAACTGGATTACTTGACAGTATCGCCCACTTACAACACGTGCCTGAGGAGGTGCCATGTTGGGCTGGGCCAGCAAACCTTGGGTCACATGAAAGAAATGCAAATGGGCAGAACCCCCAGGCATAAATCAAACTGACAAGGGAGACCTTTTGAGTATTTCAGAGCTGTAACGATTTGGTTGACACAAGAGATGAAATATCACAAGAGTATTGCATGGTTTTTGAGAGAGCTCTCCTAGCCGCATCACAACAGGAAGCCGTTCAAAGCTTGGCGAAACGAATGCCGCAGAAGTGAGCTCGCTGTTGCTCTTTGAAAGGTGTACCTGCCACACCTTACCAACAAATGATTTCTAAGAACAGTTGTGCAATGCTTTCCTGTTCCACAGCATAGCTTCCTCGGTGGAGGGATGGATAACTCCGGCTAGTAGTCTAATTTATTATGATTTTTAAAGCCTCCGTTCACCGAGGAAAGGGCACTTATGAATGAAAAACCCTGTGAACCCACTCTCCGGAGATCTTTCACTGTCTTGACACGTTGGCGCTAGAACCTTACTGGAAACAATTATCTTGTGGACTTAAGAACAAAGGTACTAAGTCACTTGTTGACTGCATAAGTAGCTCAGGGCTAATTCATCCTCATCTGTTAATTGGGCCTAAACAAGGATCTCTTTGATGTGATGCCAAATTAAGAGGGCCTGGTTCAAAGCAGCTCAAGTTGTTTTCTGGATGCCCTGCAGGAAACTACTAGAAGAGAAGCGGTATCGCTAGAGGTAGACGAAGTAATGAGCTAATTGGCAAATTAAGTTTGTCACCATTTTGAATTGTGGGTTTTCAATCTAGCCACTTAAATTGGAGCTTTCACCTCTGAAAGCTTGTTTAGCGTGAGTGATATTGTGAAGCACCTAGAACGACGACACTTTTAGGGCTTCCCTTGGCTATGTAGTGGCTGTCAGAACCATCCTGCTTTAGAGGCTCACATCAGTTTGCACAGCTGGATGACAGGCACCTCTGCTTGCCACCCTGAAAGCACAGCTTGATGTTGTCAAGGACATCCTATTTAATGAGACAAGTTTTGAACAGCCATTCTTATCAAACACTGAAGGCTGCAGTTTCCCCCTGCCCCTCTGGAATGTCTGGCCTCTGTCAGAAAGAAGATGATAGATCAGTGTGCAGTATATCTGCAACCAGAGAACCAGCCTTTTCAAAAGAAAGAGCAGCAACCAGCCAGGTATATAAAAGTATAGTATGCTCAAAACATTTTAAATGAGAACACCACAGAACTGAACATCACCTTGACAAAAGTCCCTTTATAGTTTGGTTTTGGATATCTAAAAATAGAACTATTTTACACAAATGAAGAATTTCATGAATCACACTATTTCATGAGTCACAGTTCTTATTTACAGTAGGCCTATATCCATAAGAGTTCTCACACCCAGTACAATTTTACAATGTTGAAGTTCAGTTGTAAACTTCTGCGAGTGCTTCCTCCTAAAGTTTCCACAGGAAGCAATCAAATATAGCTGATTTATTGCCACAGCTGTATACTGGCAGTGAGAAGTTTACACATAATAAAGATACACGTTTTTTAAAAAAATGTCTCATCAATAAAGTATTTTAAATACAGCACTAGCTGAAATCATGTAATTTTTTTTTTAGTTGTGTTCATTTCCTTTCTGTAAAACTACTTTATTTTCTTCTGTACTATCTAACGTTTTCATTGTTGCTTCTGTATTTTTCCTTTTCTGTAAGTTTCCAAGAACAATCCCTATGAAAAGTATGAGTCCTACTGTGCGGTTAGAAGAGAACTTTTTCCAGCAATCTTCAGGCTTGTGAATATCCAAAGTGTATATCTGGAGAAGGAAGGGGGATATCAATATTAGTGTACTGTAATTCACACTTATAATTCGCCAAATCAATACCCTTTACTCAGTTCCCTCTTCTTCTTACGATAACTTTTTTGCTTCCAAGTTTTTTCCTGGACTGCCATAAATTCACCTGCTTTATAAAAATGCTACTCATGACTTTCTCCTCCCCAAGTTTTGCTGTGCTTTACCAACTTCTCTCTTCTAGATATCCCATGTTTTATTGTGTTTTTATATTTTGCTGGAAGCTGCCCAGGGCGGCTGGGGCAACCCAGTCAGATGGGCAGCATATAAATAATACCGTATTGGTCCAAATTTAAGCCGCACTCGAATATAAACCGCTCTTTTAAAATTGGAGGGGGAGGTGGAAAAAAGACAATACCCGAATATAAGCTGCTCCCTTAAAACTGGAGGGGGAGGATTTCGAAAGGCACCCACCCAATGAAGCACAATCACACAACGAGAAACACACAAACAAGGATTGCCCAGGGAGGGTTGGGGACGGGAATCAAAAGGGGGTCAACAAGCACCCGTCCCAAACAAGAACTCTCTCACCACTGAAGCCCATGTGGTCATCCGATGCCGAATACAGTAACTGCTTTGCCAGCGGCCTCCCCCCTTTCCCTCCGACGGCTTGGGGGAGGCAGGTGGGTGGTGCGCCAATGCCCCGTGCTGCTTCCTGGGGGTGGGAGCTGTCCCACTTTTCCTCACTTCCCCCTTCTTTCTGGCAGTTCGGGAGCCGAGGTCAGGACAGGCGCCGTTGTCCCGCACCCCCGACGGCCCTTGTGGGCAGCTGTTTCAGCAGCATGATCTTAAGGTCGCAAATATAAGTCGTACTTTAACTTTTCAGAGTCGGAATTTGGAAAAAAAGTGTGGCTTATATTTGGGCCAATACGGTATTATCGCCATCATCATCATCACCATCACCATCCCCTCCCTGTTAAAAACGTCATTGTATACCTAGAAAGGCAAGAAATATCTTTAGTGGATACAAGACAGAGCGGGTGCTTCAGCAGGTTAAGAACTGAAGCCAAGCTGCTAAAGCATCCATCTATTTCAAGCTTCCACATAAAGAGCAACACAATATGGGATCTAACCTGCTGAGCCAAGTGGATGCCTGCCACAGTCACAGCGACATAGTATGGAAAAGTCTGATCACAATGCATTCCTGCTGCAGTAAGTCCCGAAAGCATGATGGTGCTGAAAGCACTGAGCCATGGCTTTGTGTTTTCATTGAACCGGAGTGCTGTAGATTTCACACCTATGGCAAGATCATCTCTTTTATCCTACAAGGGAAGGAGTTGTTAATGAAAAGACCAGTCATGTGGCATTTCATAGACTTAGACAGGGAAGGATGGTGATTTTACGTGGAAGTGGTCTTTGTAAGAAGAGCCTGTGAGCATGTTGATCCTTGTTAGAGACCTAACCCAGCAATAAGAAGGCCAGAGAGCTGGAGAGAAAACACCAACCAAACCACAACCCCTTGGCACAAATGGGAAGGTACTTATCAGTTGCTGAATCAGGTTCAAGGTTTTGAGGTTGATAATAAGAACTTTGGTCAAAGGTACTTAACAGACCGCCTCCCCTCATACAGACCAAGTTTCATGGCTGCCTCTTGGTGATTGCACAGAAATGGACTTTATCAGTGGTACTTTATCCATCCTTTGGAATATCTTCCCCTGGATGGTTCATGTGGTAGAGAAAGTAGTCAGCTATGAATGCCTCTTCAGGTATATATGGCTACACAAAGTTTCCTGGAGTCTTATTCCTAAATCCTGAAACTTTTCTCTTTGTGTGCACTGCTCAGTTTTATCTATGGCACAAAGTTTTACTCTGTTTTCGTTTAGCTTTTAAAGAGTTTTATTTAATTCTTGCTGTATAAGAATTTCTATTGATTTCCATCGATTTGATGTAGAGAGAGATGTTAACCCACACATTTTGAACCAAATGAGAGTAAAATATTTCCTGAAAGACAACAGAGTGTAGAGGAAAAGGATATACGAGAATGCTAGAACATGAGCCACTACCAAGTAGTTAAGAGCATGAGCTACAAATTAAGGTGTTCCCCATTCAAAGCTCAGAACTACTTGCTGAGCAGCCTTATGCAAGTAGCCCTCTCTCAACCTTAGCCTCTCATATGTAATATGGAAATAATAGTAATACAAGACTAACTTCTTTTATCAAGGTTGCTGAAGATAAATGCACCTGAAGCCTTGGTGTTATTATTTTTGGATATTCTGATCATTTTTGGATATTCTGATTAATCATTCCTAAACTGTGGAATCAGCAGCTGCCTAGCTATTATGAAAACCAAAAACAAGCATGTAAATTTATAAGCAAATATTCCAAACCTCCATGGACACTGAAATCGTTCATTTTGTTCATTTACAACCTGCTTTTGTACCCCAACAGGGTTGATAAGGGCAAGTCACAATAACCGCCATAAAAACATCAACAATGAGAACAAAGAAACTATTAACAAATAAGGAGTTGTTCAAACAAGCATGCAGTTTAAAACCTGCTTTGGTATCCATCACCCCATAATCCATCAAAACCACTCAGCACCAGTCCCTAATTTCCAAAGCCTCCTTATTAAGGAACAGGAAGGGTATATACCTGATGAGCATAAATAGTGTCGTACATTAATGTCCAGCAAACTCCTGAGAAATACAGGGGCAAGCAAACTGACCAGTCACAAGAGCCTTGGACAGCTGACCACCCAAGTAAGGCTCCCCAGTTGAAGGTCAGGCCTGAAAGAGATATGACAAAAACTAAAACAAAGAGTCTCAAATGCAGCAATAGTCTCTATCTATTTTTCAGAAATATCTTGCTCGTTCATTTGCAATGAGATTCAACATTCTTGTGAGGCACCCTGATAGGACTTCGTTTTCAGAATGATTCAACACTCGGCCAAACAGTTTTATTTTACTTACAAAAGTATTTCTACACTGCCAATTCATACAATGTAACATGGTGATGTACAGCAATGTATACAATAAAATATAAAATGCAATAAAAGCAGTACAAAAACCACCATGAAAATGACTGGCTGATCAAAAAGAAATCACAATCCCAGAATAGTAGCCGTGTTAGTCTGGAGCAAGAAAAAAGTAACAAGTTCTGTAGGCGACTTAAGAGAAACTGGCTGACTGCAGATGGAGCATGAGCTTTGTTGGAAATGATTATGGCTTTTGCCAAAATAAGCCAGCTAGCCCCAGACTTTACTGGCATCAGAGTTTTCAACCCAAAGAGAGTCAATTGACCACAAAGTGTGCGCACTAATACTAATGCAAGGGAGAAAACCAGGCACCGTCCCCCTGACCGTGTAAGATCTGCATCGCCATCAACAGTGAGAGAATGGGTGGGAACACGAACCTGCCAGAAAGGTGGCACATTCTTGTGGGTTCTTCAGCCCACCCAGGCTAATACCATAGGCTCTGATCCCCTCCTTACAAAGAGTAGACAAAAAGATAAACAGATTTCAAGCGAAACGGATTGGTTTTGTTTATCTTTGTTTTGATGTGGAGGAATAGGAACGCAGGGCTTCCCATGTTTCCAGCACAAGATTATATTTTCGTACAAAATACACTGACTTGGCAGGAAGAAAGAGACTCCAGTTCATAAACAGATTAAACAACTGAGACTCTGTGAAAGAATAGTACTATTTCTTTTATTGTATTCTACGGAAGTGAGTCAGGCAGTTCCCAAGGAAAAAAAGTATCGCTTAAAGTCTGCCCGTCCCATTGGTCAACACTGTTTTTATTCATGGCAGAAAGCTAATCTCATTCCATCTGTTCTATTCACTGTTAGTGGCCACACAAAAAGGAGGGCAGGGTGGTTATGCAGCACTGGAAATGTTGGCAATAACACCTGGCTCATTATACAAGCCATAACGATGGAAAAATTGCACTTGCCAAACACTCCCTCTTCCAGAGAGACAGGAGTCCTGCCTTCGCTTGCATCTGATCAACCTGCTGGCATAATGTTTATTAAAAGACATATGCAGGGAATATAAATGAAATGGGGGGAGGGAACTGTGATAGAAGAGTGAATAGATTAGAAAAATGAAATCCTATACATGTCTACTCAGAAGTAAGTATGACAGGCTTCAATGGGCTTTACTCCCAGAACTTAAGTACTGCAGCCTTAAGTTCAGCATCTTACCCAAAGACATTAGCTGGGTTTTTGGAAAAATTAAAAGACATTAGCTGGGCAAGAAGACTCGGGCTCAAAGTACCGTATTTTTCGCCCCATAGGACGCACTTTTTCCCCTCCAAAAATGAAGGGGAAATGTGTGTGCGTCCTATGGGGCGAGTGCAGGCTTTCGCTGAAGCCTGGAGAGCGAGAAGCATCGGTGCGCACCGACCCCTCTCGTTCTCCAGGCTTCAGGAAGCTATCCGCAAGCCTTGCAAGCCCGGCGGGAGTTCCCGCGGGCTCACAAGGCTTGCGGGCAGCAGCCTGCAGCCCCAGCGAGTGTCCGCAAGCCTTGCGGGCCCGGCAGGAGGTCCCGCCGGGCGCGCGAGGCTTGGGGCGGCAGCCTGTCGCCCAAAGCACGGGGAGCCCTCCGGAGGGTGCCCCGTGCTTCGGGCAGGTGTGCGCAAGGCTTGGGGCGGCAGCCGTGGGGGGGGGGGATAATTTTTTTTTATTCATTTCCCCCCCCAAAAATACGAGTTGCGTCCTATGTGCCGGTGCGCCCTATAGGACGAAAAATACGGTATATATTGAATTTATTGAACATTGCATAACCTGAAAATACCTCATAACAAAAGGTAGGCGCCACAGTATTTCTTTCAGCTGTTATTTATATATCACTAAGATTTATAGACTGCCATTCAAGCATATTATCAGGTTTAGAATAAAATATTTTAAACTACATAAACATAAGGTAAAACACATCAGCTCTAGGGCTACAGGCCCTATCCTCACTTACCTGGGAGAAAGTCCCATTGAATTAAATTGGTCTTACTTCTAAGCAGACAGTGTTAGGATTGTGCTGGTAGTCGTACACAGAGTAGACCTACTGATATCAATGAACTTAAGTCAGTCAACTTAAGACTTCAGGGGGTTCACTGCAAGTATGACTTGGTTAGAGGCAACTAAAATGCCAGTATAAAACAGATTAAAATAAAATAAAATAAAATAAAATAAAAAGCTTCAGAAAAGAAAAAAGGTATTTGCCTGGCTCCAGAAAAACATTGGACTGGGCACCAGGAAAGCTTTTGGGGTAGAGCATTCTAAGGCCAGGGCATCAATACTGCAAAAGCTCCTCCCTGGTAGCCCCCTGATAAATCAGACAGAAGGAAAACCCCAGAGAAGGGATTCTCAAATGCCAAGATTCAAATAACTCCTCTTGTAACTCTGGGAGCCAAGACATCTTTCAAACGTCTGCTTCTTAAACAGTATTTCGCCAACCCGCAATACTGTGTGGCAAACTGCCTTTGAATGACCAGAATTTCAAAACAGGTTTCCAGTGTAGCATAGTGACCTGCTGTTCAAATTAAAAAGAATTCAGAAATCCAACTGGATGCGCCTTACAAGTTTGGCATGCCTCACTAGTTCCTTTGTTTCCAGCCCTTTAAATCAAATGCCAGTAAAGAAATTAAGAAGGGAAATAATTAAAATTATATTGATTCACACTGCAGCTTCCCATCTTTCCAGTGTTCATTTGAAACATCTGAACTTATTAGGTATTACTATCAAATTACCATACTGTTTTCACATGCTAGGTCAGGTGGAGACTAATAACACAATACTCAGAAGCGAGCCCTTCTTAATAGGGCTTACTCATAGATAAGTGGGGCTAATACTTCAGCCTTAGTTGTGCTTAGAGTAGATCCACTGGAAGCAATGGGAGAAGTCAGACTAACTCAACTCCAATTACTTTCAGTAGGTCTATCTACTCAAAGCACAACTGGTTTCCACCCATTCATTTGAACTTTGCTAGCCAAACTAAACATGCAAATATTAGCTTCCCTCCTTACAAAAGACTCTCTCCATGTGTGGCTACCCAGACTTTTAAGATCTTACTTTGAGGTCCTTTCTGGAATGCTCCTATCAGGTGAACTGTGGTGGGAGGGAGCTGTTTTTGTAGTGGCTCCTCAGCTGTGGAATACTGCCTCCAGACCAGCTGACTTGGCACCTACTTTGATATCATTTTAGTGCAGAGACTTCAGCATTATATTTTTATCCCCACCAGGTTATGTTATACCGCTTTTATTGTAATAGCTGTTTTATTTGATATATGTATTTTAATCATTTTGACATTCTGATTTTGTAAGCCACACTGAGAATGTTGTTAAAGGGCCAAATATCAATACTTACATTATTATGAATAAAAAAAAATTCCTTCTAATAGCACCTTAAAGACCAACTAAGTTTGTTATTGGTATGAGCTTTCGTGTGCATGCACACTTCTTCAGATACCCTGCATGCACACGAAAGCTCATACCAATAACAAATTTAGTTGGTCTCTAAGGGGCTACTGGAAGGAATTTTGTTTGTTTGTTTCGACTATGGCAGACCAACACGGCTACCTACCTGTAACTATTATTATGAATGAAACTGTGTCTTCACAATTGTTATAAATCAGTAAGAGCTAATAAACATACAGAAACAAAGCTTGTTATTTGGCTAACGTTTAAGTATTGCCCACGGCAAAGTTTGTTTAAATCAGGTAATTCAGACTTTGAACACTTCAGAACTGGACAGAGAGCAGGGAAAAGTTATACAAGAGGCTGGTGCTCATTAACTCTCATGTTGCGATGAAGGAAAATGAAGAATGCTTGCTCAGAACAAATCTAGTCAATTCTGGCAAAGAATACGATACACTGAACAGTCTGACCACAATCCAGTGTAGAGTTAAGCCAGTACAAACCCCATCTGAAAGAAAAAGCAAATTGTGAGCTCACCCAAGAACAGCTGTGGCCAGTAAGTTATTCTCTTCATAAGTGGATAAGTCACCACAAGAGATAAAGATGCAGCTCCCAGAGCAATACTGCAAAGGAATAATAATAATAATAATAATAATAATAATAAATTTTATTTATATCCCGCCCTCCCCAGTCGAAGCCAGGCTCAGGGTGGCTAACAACAATAAATTAGTACAACATTCTAAAATCATTTCATTATAAAAGTAATTCAAATCAAATTGATGGCAACCATTGGGCCAACCATTGGAAGTGGAAAGAGCATTAAGAAGTTGCATTTGTATTCTACCCCAACCTACTTCTATCATTGCAACAATTCACATTTGAAATACACTGAAGTCAGGATTAATTAAGGCCATGGCAATTCCTTCTCAATTAATGGTTCTGAACAGAACATTTTCATTACTTACTCCTAGCCTCGTAACAACAGACATCGTGAACCACGCCTCTCCATTAAAAAAACTACTTTATCAATTATTATGTAACACTTTCCATGTTTATGTCTCCATAAGAATGGCTCCAGAAAGCACATCCATGAAGGCAGCAAGAATATTATTGGCACAAAAATGGAAGCAAGAAGAATTACTGACGAAAGAAGAATGGAGGATGAAATTAATGGACTATGCAGAACTAGATAAACTAACAGGAAGGATTCGAAATCTGCGGGACCAGAAATTCACAGAAGACTGGTGTAAATTTACAGATTATTTGAAAAGTAATTGTGATGATCAGACTACGTTTATAGGTTTGCAAGACGTTTTGTAAGGTGAATTATTGGAACTATTGCAAAAATGGATAAAGGGGAGGATGGTTAGTTAAGATAATTAAAGGCAATATGAATTTAAGGAATGCATAAGAAGTGGTTAAAACGGTGGATCATCAGAGGTGCTGATTGAAGTCCAAAAAACGATTGTATAAGTGGTGAAGTTTTGTGGTATGTATTCTAATTTATATGTTAAAATTAATAAAAATTATTATAAAAAAAGAAAAGAAAGCACATCCATGAAAGCAAGCTTTGTAAGAAATGGCCGAAGCAATCAACAGCTCCTGTCTAACTTACCTGTAATAATTTAAACATAATAGGATGCATAAAGCCAAGCTCAGCTGTCCTCCCAGAAAAACAAGGGACTGAAAATTTGAAATCTCTCCAGCGGCCAGTGGTCGGCTTGCTGTTCTTGTAACCTAAGCACAGAAGAGTATTTCAATGATTGAATTATATAATCATGTATACATACTGTTCCCAAGCCAGAAAATTTAGGTTTTAGTCACGCACCATATTTAGTCATCGCCTTTGGTGCATCGCACCCTCCTATTCACCAGAGGGCGTGTATATGCCACGAAGGCCAGGGGGACTAAGTACCAGTGAACACAATGCGGTTCTAGGTGAAGAAGCATCATAGAGCCACCATGGTGTGCTGTGCATGTTTACTCACACTGAACCTCAATCTACCTGGCGCAGCCCATCAAGCTGGCTGACACATTGCTGGTGATATGCACTGACAACAGAGCAGAGACTGAGAGAGATCCTGGAGGTGAAGGCAATTTTTAGGTTTCTCTTCACAAGGGTGACATTAAGGGACAGTGCTTTCCAGTCTCAGCAACTCAGACCGGCCCCTTAATTTGAGATGCACTTTGCTAACATATTTCAGTACAAAATCAGGGGCATCTTAGGTATTTAAAGCCTAGGAAGCCCGCATTCAGTCTTCAATGAGAATATCTTGCAGGTGGGACTTGCTTTACAAAAAGGCAATTTACTTACTTAGCAAACATTATGAGCCTGCCTGCTCTTTTCAAGTCCTCTCTACCTTTTTGTCATAGTCTTGATCCCACATGTCATTGATTGTGCAGCCTGCTCCACGCATCAGGACTGCGCCAGCGCCAAAGAGTAACAGCATGTCCCAGGCCGGCAGACAGCCTGGTTCTGCTGCAAGGGCTATACTCCAAGTGCAGGGTAAGTACAGCAGCCACGTCCCTAAAAATATAAATTAGGGTAGGAATTAGTGATGGATAAATATACTGTACATATACTGTATGTTCTTCTTGATTGGCATTGACTCATCTGGGTGAATGCAAAGCTTCTGAAAACAATAACTAGGACAAATAAAATATGCAAAAGAATATAAACATAAATTGCAATACTGAAAAACCCATGAGGAAATTTTAATCTCACAGGACACACTATAACCTTAAGGTAGCCAAATGGGAACAGAGGAATTTTAAGGGGAGATTGCTTCACAAAACCGATGAATTGCAATACATCAACAGGTTCAGTGCTGACACTTACAGAATTAACACTACATGTGTTAATTGACTTACTGTGCCAGGATGCCTGTGTTAGCAGCATGTTTGTTACTGTACACCCACAGCTAAAAATCTAACTACCACATTGGTAATTTTCTACATTTCATTTTCCTGACCTCATTGTTTACTATGTGGTTTAACCCACAGCGCCACCCGTGTCCCTGTTCAGAGCATAAGGAACACCTTAAATACACATCTCTTATCATGACAAACCATCCTCATTCGTCTTAGCGGAGGAGCAGTTTCTTCCATGCATTGCTTTGGTGGGCATGTGCAGAACTGCCACTTTCGTTGAAGTAAACGTGGAAACTTCTGAAGACAGGATAGCTCTGCATTTGCACTGAAGAAATTTCAACAACTTATGGAATTGCAGGATTGAAGAGATTACTTCTGCATTCTGTTTCTTTGTTCTGAAGGTTACATTCCCACATTTTTATAACATAATTTAGAGGTTTCACACCAAATCCAGATCCCTTGAGCATTGTCATCTAGCTAGGGATGAACAAATCTATCTGCCATCAATGGCCCTTTAGAATTGTTGTTGTTGTTTACTTATAATTAAATTCCTATGTAATTATGGAAGCCTCATTCCTGACCACACATGATCACTGTGGAAATGCAAGAGGAAGTAAGGGGCACAGAACTGGGAAGTAAGGTATAAAGAGCCTTCTTATCTACAAGGGCTGAGAGCAGATCTCTTGCACCTTTCTTCTTGGTTTCCTGCGTTACAAATCGACAACAGTTTAATTTCCCCACAAGAAAAAAGGAGTTATCTCTAAGGTTGTCAGCTAAATAGGGGGGGAAAAACCCAGACTGCTCTTGTGCAAGCTTCTACAGTGTCTTGATGTGCACAAATAAAACTTTAACATCTCTCAACATGCAGCTAGACATTATCTGCTGCTAACATCTATACATCAAGCTACTGTCAAAGGAGGCGCAGCTTTTTCAAGCAGACAATCCTAGATATACCTTCAAATCAGCTTTATGTATGGGGCATGTAAACATGTAACTAAAGAGAATCACAAACAGGGACATGTTAAATATGGATGGGCAATCAAGCAGAGTAGTATTTGCCAAAAAACAAAAGACACACACATTTAAGTTCTTACACTTCTCTCAGGGCTGTAATTAAAGCAACAAGGGGAGAACCGAAAGGTTCAATGCAAAAACTGCTGCGCTAGTCACAGTTCACTTAAACGCAATGTTAAGAGAGGAGTGAGTTTGTCCTATTTACTTCATTTGGTAATGTAAAAGAACTTGTGCAGTTTGTAGGCATACGAACATACAGGGCAGTCAGCAGGCACAATCCGACTCCCTCTTGCATGTTCAAATTAACATATATACTATCAAACAGAGGGGTACAAAGCTGCCTTTTACCAAATAAGACCATTGGTGTATTGAGCAGCAGCTCCCCAGTGTTTCAGACACAAGCCTTTCACAGCTTTATTTGGAGACACCAAGGACTGAACCTGGAATCTCAGGCATGCAAAACATGGTGCTCTATCCCTGAGCTACTACTGTACAGCCCTTACCCATTGCTGATTCCTAACCTTCCCTAACGCGAATCCGAATCACGTGGCCACTCCGCTTACAAGAGGGGCAAGCGATCAAGGTTCATTCACAAAGAAAAGAGTAGAGCTCAACTCTGCAGCATAATTTGCAAGATAATAGTTGTGATAATTCACCCAAAGCCGTTTACTCAGAGAGGAAGTTAGAAAGGGGACTGTGGCAAGAAGAACCTCCTTTGCAAAGCGACAGGATCCACGCCCCTTGCAAAGATGCACAGCCCAGGGCAATCCTGCGCGTGTTTGCTCAGGAGGAAGCCCCTCTAAGTGCAACCGAATTTACTCTCATAAGCTGGACCATAAAGAAGGCTGATCGCCGAAGAATTGATGCTTTTGAATTATGGTGCTGGAGGAGACTCTTGAGAGTCCCATGGACTGCAAGAAGATCAAACCTCTCCATTCTGAAGGAAATCAGTCCTGAGTGCTTACTGGAAGGACAGATCCTGAAGCCGAGGCTCCAGTACTTTGGCCACCTCATGAGAAGAGAAGACTCCCTGGAAAAGACCCTGATGTTGGGAAAGATGGAGGGCACAAGGAGAAGGAGATGACAGAGGACGAGATGGTGGACAGTGTTCTTGAAGCTACCAGCATGAATTTGACCAAACTGCGGGAGGCAATGGAAGACAGGAGTGCCTGGTGTGCTCTGGTCCATGGGGTCACGAAGAATCGGACACGACTAAACGTCGTGCCTTCATCCGGATAGCAACAGGCCCCCCTCCTAGACACGTTTGCACTTGACAGCAAGTGAACCCAGGCAAGTTCAACAGGGTCAGAATCGGCCAATCAAAAGCGCCCCGCGACTTCCCGCCCTCTTCAAAACAAAAAGAGGGGCGGAGACTAAGAGGCTGCCCGATTATTGACAAGCAGACTCACCAATAGGCTTGTCCAGCCTCATGAGGCGCAGGTAGGGCTGAGCCGGCCCGGGCGCCGCTCGCACCAAACCCGCCGCCGTTAAAGTCCCGAGGGGCCGCGTCTTCTGCCCGAGCGGCCTGGGAGGCTCATGGCTCCAAGTACAGCTAGCTAAGACGCGGAACGGGGAGAAGGGCCGCCTGAGGCAAAGCGGCCCGGCTAGGCGAGAGAGTAACCGCGCGGCCGACATAGCGACTCCGCCTCCGCCTGACGTCGCGGTGACGTCCCGTTTCCATAGCGATAGAGCGTCGGTACGCTCGGCGGCTTTCCGTTTTAGCTCAAGTTGTGCGTCACTTCCTGTTGCTGTTGGCTGTCGCAGAGATAAGAAACTGTAGAATAGCCCATCCAGGTGTCTGGTATGGGAGATTCCGGGTTCAGAATCGGAGTACTATTACACCTATTGCAATCGATCTAGTGCACGTGTGACTAGGCAGCCACGTGTCTCCCCATCTACACACACGAGTCAACACCAAAGACAGGAGTTCCTGGTGTGTGTGGGTTTTTCTCCTGCCTCGTGTGAAGAAAAAAATGTAGTTTGGAAATTGTTAAAGTGAAACTTTAGTGGAGCAGAAGGTTTAAGCGTTTAACTGAGGGCAGGATTCGTGCTGGGAGCGGTTGGGAAGGGGACTATTCCAGCTGAATGCCCTTTGGTACCAACCGTGTTTCGTATGGGGGTTTTTTTGGTTGAAGCTCCAAACCAGCCTCAGTCCCCACCTCTGACCTGAAAATATTAATAGTGGACAGCCTACCTTCCAGGGGCAAATATGATTGTTTTCTAATTGTATTTTATTGAATGTGATTATCTGAACAAGACTCTATTATTAATATTGCTTTTAAGATGTCCATTTGATGCTCGGTCAGAAACTCCTGCTAGTGCAGAATGTGACCACCAAGATTTGGATGGTCGGGGACAACTTAGGTCCAGGGTACCTTAAAGGTAAAGGTAAAGGGACCCCTGACCATTAGGTCCAGTCGTGACCGACTCTGGGGTTGCGGTGCTCATCTCGCTTTATTGGCCGAGGGAGCCGGCGTACAGCTTCCGGGTCATGTGGCCAGCATGACTAAGCCGCTTCTGGCGAACCAGAGCAGCACACAGAAACGCTGTTTACCTTCCTGCCGGAGCGGTACCTATTTATCTACATGCACTTTGACATGCTATCGGACTGCTAGGTTGGCAGGAGCAGGGACTGAGCAACGGGAGCTCACCCCGTCGCGGGGATTCGAACTGCCAACCTTCTGATCGGCAAGCCCTAGGCTCAGTGGTTTAAACCACAGCGCCACCCCGTCCCCTCCAAGGTACCTTAGGGAGGGCCTAAACCCTTACATCCCAGCTCGATCACCAGCAGGAGTGTTGTTGGTTGGCCCTTGGATTGGCGAGGCTCATTTGACATCGATGTAAAACAGAGCCTTAGGGTCATTGGCCCAATGCCGTGGAATGGTATGCTCTTCAAATAGACATTCAGAAGCTGCCTTCTGGTTCAACCTTTAAATGCTTGTGGAAAACATTATTCCACCTTTCATTGTGGAAGAGTGCTCCTCCATGCAGCAGAAATGCAGGTGGCACTATGGTCTAAACCACTGAGCCTCTTGGGCTTGCCGATCAGAAGGTTGGCGGTTCAAATCCCTGGGATCTCCCATTGCTGTGTCCCAGCTCCTGCCAACTTAAGCAGTTTGAAAGCACACCAGTGCAAGTAGATAAATAGGTACCGCTGCAGTGGGAAGCTAAACGACGTTTCCGTGCACTCTGGCTTCCATCACGGTCCTGTTGCACCAGAAGCGGTTTAGTCATGCTGTCCACATGACCCAGAAAGCTCTGTGGGCAAACGCCAGCTCCCTCAGCCTGAAAGCGAATGAGCGCCACACCCCATAGTCGCCTTTAACTGGACTTAACCGTCTAGGGGTGCTATACCTTTACCTACCATGCAGTAACCATGAGGAAGCTAGGTTACTAGCTTTTGACACTGTTGTAGTGCGCATGGGGGTCAAAACATTTGTTGTTTTTATTTTTAAAAAAGTTGGGATAATGACACCACCTGCTGGCTCTTATCTTAGCTGCAATCCCAACAGTAACTTCTTTTTGGGAGGTATGCCATCTGCTGTAAAAGGGAAAGTGATAGGATCCTGTCTTTGTGCTATGGGGGGTATTAGTGTGCTCATGGGGTGGGAGTTCCTTTATGAACGTGTTCAGGATCAAGCTATATGGTTTTTAAATGTGGCACCTACATTCCTGTAGGAAACTCCTGAGCTTATTCAACAGCCCCTTTAGCACCAAGGAGGCTATGTGACAACTAAAAAGCCAAACATTCACAACAGCAAACGCTTAATATAAATTAGTTTATTTCAAAAACATGCAGGTACCAAAACACATGAACACACATCAAAGCGAAGTACAATAAAGTTGCCTAGAATTGCATTTTGGCAAGCTGCATGCCAAAATCTAGGAACATTATCCTGAGTTTGACCATTGTGCCGTCAGGTTCACTGAAGCCAACGTGTGGCCTCTAGATGTCGGTGGACTCCAGCTCCCATCAATCCCAGCCAGTGTGACCAAGGATTAGGGATGATGGAACCTGGAGACCAGCAACACCTGGAGGGCCACAGGTTTCCCCACATCTCTCCAGAGCTTCAGACAGGAGTTTCCAGCAGCTCCATGTGGAGGTGAGAGAGAATAAACTGGGCGCTGTTTGTATGCAAAGCATGGGTTCATAATCATGAGCTATAACCCTTTTGCCTTTGTTGCCTAATAGCAATCTCAATTCTCTTGACTGCAATCGCTTGTCAGGGATGGAACCACAGCTCCCATGATTCTTGCCTGTTGGCCATGCTGTCTAGGGCCAATGGGAGCTGCAGTCTGCAGTATCTGGAGGGCACCCTGTTGACTATCCCTGGCTTATATGCAGTCAAAATGACCCTACCCCCACACAAAAGGGAGTTACCTGCAGATGTGGAGGAATGCCAACATTTGCAGAAGTACAAAAAGGATTTTTCAGGCCCTCCAAAATGCCCAGGGACAACTGAGCATGCTCAAAGGGCATGAAATGTTTTGTGTGTATGTGTGTTGTGTGTTGTGTGTGTTGGGAGGGCAAGGAAAAAATGAAAAGTTAGGAACTGGGAACAGAATGTCTGCAACCCAAGCAGGAATGTGTCACACTGTAAACATTTTGTTGTAGGTCGTATGTCTATAATGAAGGGGGGAAATGGTTTTACTCTGTGCATATTGGGTGGGGGGGAAGGAAACTGGGTACCTTCCATAAAACAGCTTCCTTAGCAACAGTAGCTTCGAAGCCAGAAATGCCCACAAAGTACTGTGTAAAGGGAACCTGCTGTCAATGGGATTTGTGGCTATGATGGTTGCTGCTTCTCCCATGCTGATCTTGCTAGTATGTTTGACCCAGCAGATGTCAGCTAACGGACTGGCCTGGATGAGGTCTAGTTTGCTGGTGGGCAGCATGCAAGTGTGCCAGACACATTTGCAAAAGTGCTACAACTGATTTATAAGAAATCACGAAGCGGAATCCTTCCTGATTGCTACCCTGTCATAGAATACAAGACTCCCTGAGAATGCTTGAGCTTGTCTGCTCTTTTTGGTGCTAGCCTAACAGAAGCCCCGTAAAAATTTCCAGGCTGGCTGGCCAACAGCTCTTATATTCTGCTTCTCCTTGGCTGTGCCAGTAACCTGCTTGCTTATTCTTCTGGTGACTTCTGTTTCAGTGTATCTGAAGAAGTGTGCATGCACACAAAAGCTCATACCAATAACAAACTTAGTTGGTCTTTAAGGTGCTACTGGAAGGAATTTTTTTATTTTGCTTATTCTTCTGTTATCCTCAAGATTGCTTTTCCCTGATGTCACTCAAATGGTCCGTTTCCCTGTTTATCCTCAGATGCTCAAAGGGTTGTTGTTGGAATCCGTCTGCCTCTGGAGATAATGGAAGAGTCTCACCTTTGGGAAGAAAGTTAAACTGTTGGAGAATTACAGCACTTGGTAGGGCTGTGAAGACTGATATGGTCTTTTATTGCAGGTGGAGCAGATGAAGGCATCCGGTTGTCTTGCTGCAGGTGCACCATAGCGTCTCTCTACTGGGAGCCAGTGTGGCGTAGTGGTTAAGAGCGGTGGACTCATAATCTGGTGAACCGGGTTCGCTTCCCCGCTCCTCCACATGCAGCTGCTGGGTGACCTTGGGCCAGTCACACTTCTTTGAAGTCTCTCAGCCCCACTCACCTCACAGAGTGTTTGTTGTGGGGGAGAAAGGGAAAGGAGAATGTTAGCCGCTTTGAGACTCCTTCTGGGAGTGATAAAGCGGGATATCAAATCCAAACTCCTCTTCTTCTTCTTCTTCTTCTTCTTGCCTCCCAGAGGTCATTCCTTCTCTGACCACTGCTATGGATGCACAACCTGACTGTCTGTCTCCAGGCACTGCGATTGCCTGCAAAGTATTCCCACACGGTGGGGTTGATGTTGCCAGCCTTCGTGCCATGTTTGCAGACATCTTTGTGACACAGAGTTGGGCTGCCAACAGACCTAGTGCCTTAAGCCAGCTCCCTGTGCAGCAGAATCCTGCCACCTTCCATTCTGTGTACATGACCAAGCCAGTGTAGACGTCGCTGAGAACCTACGCCATTAATTTTGCGACTTGCTGTTTGACATCCATTCTCTTTGCATCTCTAACTGGAATCCCTCCTTAAGCAGAGCTTTCGTTCTTGGGAAACAGTGGCTGAAACAAAGTTCTTAGGTAAATGTTACAAGTGGAAAGTTAAAATAAAAATGGGGGCCAGGATGGAGGGATGTTCCCCTTCACTCTTGACTTGCTTTGTTTCTGCCACCAAACTATCTGGAGCAGCTGAATGTCTTGACACCATGTTGGCCACCAACTCGATTTTGGGAACGTGAGCTGAGTTGCTAAATGCAAGCCCGCACCTTTGCATTCCTTATTACATAGAATCCATATGAAAAAGCTGGAAGTGCAAGGCGGCTTCCTGGACTGAGAGGCTTTTCCCTGAGAGTGGGCAATATTTCATCATCCAACATTTTTAAGACATGACCGTTCAGCTGCACGGATCTGCGAGAGGAAAGAATGTATATTTTAGACACAAAATTTGTCCTCCTCAAACAATAAACCTGGTTAAGGTTTTGTTGCATTTGTTTTCAAGAGACCATTTTAAAACAAAGACAATTCTGTAATACAAAATGGTATCTCTAACTGATGAAGTTTCAAAATGTATTTTTTAATTATTTCATGAGAACGGCTTTAAATAACAGGGAACTCTACCATCTATGTATATTTCAGAGCATTAGGTTGTCTTTGTGTGTGTGTTACACAAAGAGCTTCAATCCCTTTTGAACCCTCATATGCTCTTTGTCACAAACACGCTTTTCCAACAACACAAGAGACGACTCTACACATGGACATCACCAGATGGGCAACATCGAAATCAGATTGATTATATTCTCTGCAGCCAAAGAAGGAGAAGCTCTATACAGTCATCAAAAACAAGACCTGGAGCTGACTGTGGCTCAGATCATCAGCTTCTTATAGCAAAATTCAAGCTTAAACTGAAGAAAGTAGGAAAAACCACTGGGCCGGTAAGATACAATCTAAGTCAAATCCCTTATGAATACACAGTGGAAGTGAGGAACAGGTTTAAGGATTTAGATTTGGTGGACAGAGTGCCTGAAGAACTATGGGTGGAGGCTCGCAGCATTATACAGGAGGCAGCAACGAAAACCATCCCAATGAAAAAGAAATGCAAGAAAGCAAAGTCCTTTTATTTAAAATGCATCTCTGGGTTATTTGTGGGGCCTGCCTGGTGTTTTTACATGAGTAGAATGTGTGCCTTTATTTAAAATGCATCTCTGGGTTATTTGGAATTCATTCATTCCAAATAGAAATTCATTCATTTCCCTCCCCCCCTTCAAAATATAGTCCGGCCCACCACATGGTCTGAGGGACAGTGGACCGGCCCACGGCTGAAAAACGTTGCTGACCTCTGTATTATGAGGACACAGCCTAACAAAAGTTTCCCAATCGAGGTACCTCATTTGTCCAGTATCTACAAATCAAAGAGTCGGATACAGGGGGTTAAAAGAAATTGCTAGCACCCTAACCCTAACCCGAACAACATTTGAAAGTGAATGAAAAGGGTCTCCTCTGAAAATCCCAAGTTTTTAAAGCTCATATTAAACAAATAATATTTAGAAAGGCAAGAAAAGTTGGAATTGCTTACTTGGAAAGTATGCTGTCTTCTCCGTGAGGCAGTAAAAGATATTCATCTATTTGCCTGCTGGAGAAGGAAGAAGGTAACTGCAAGTGTTTTGTGCTGTTATAGAGGTTCAAGGCAAATAAGGTGATATCCCCTTCTCTGTACTTCGGGCTGGAAGGAAAACATGAAGCAGCCTGTTAAAAGGATATACTAGATAATATATAGTAGACACTCCAACATTCCTCAGATGAAAATAAGGGCATTCTGTTTGACATGAGCATTTCCTCCTGGTGAGGTACAAAAGTTGTTGTTTGTTTGTTTAATTTGTGTACCGCCCTATAGCCTGCAGGTCTCAGACGTTATCAGAGGAAATGCACAACTGCAGTATTTTAAGCACAGAAATCTTTGCATTTATGTTTTGCATTTAGAGAAGTCTGAAGGGGAAAGAAAACCCCCAATCAATAAATACAACCAGCCAGTTCCATTTTTCTAGAAAAAGAGGTGCCGGAACTCACTGTAAACACCTCCCTTGTTCTCTTATAATGGCAACGGCACCCAATTTCGGCCTTGCACAGGGCACCGTATTGCAAAAGATTACAAAGTCCGCCCCTGCCAAGGGCCTGGGTTAGGAGGTGCCACACTCGGAGCAAAATGCATAGGGCAGGGCAAACTCCATTCTCCATCCATGGGGACACTCTGGGTGAGCAATATGTGGGGCCGTGCTTCACACACACGTTTCCTGCCTTAGTGACAGGCATTTTGCTAGCATCTGCTAAAAATTGCCCCGCGAGTTACCAGGATCCTAGCCTAGAAAAGCATTTGCAAAGCGAGGATTCCTAATTCCTTTTGGAATTTGGGGGGGAGACTTTATGTGTCTTCACTGCCATCCTTCATAGCTGTCAATTTACAGATTTGAAAATAAGGGACCAGCAGCCAAAATAAGGGATTTTCTGAGCACAGGTATGTTCAAGTTCTGAGGTCCTCCGAGCCAAAGGCAGAAAGCCCAGCCAGCAGCCAAACGAAGCCTCAAGCGGTGGTTCTCACAGCGAAGCAACCCGGCAAAGGGGATGCAGCAAGGAAAACCACCGTCACCTCTCCACTGGGAAGTGCTGAGCAAAGGCGAGTCCCCAGGCAACGCGGCCGATTTGATTGGCACAAGGCATGCAGGCTCCACCCCCCAGTCATTCTTAGACTCCTTATTGGGTGAGCAACACAGCCAAGCAACACAGTTGGAGCCTCCCTCCTCCCTGGCCGGCAGGGAGGGAGGGAGAGGAGCTGCTTCCTTTGAAACCCGGGAAATTTACGGGATATCATCAATCCGGGACAGCAGCGGGACATGGCGCTGGGATAAGGGAGTTTCCCGCCAAATAAGGGACGGTTGACAGCTATGCATCCTTTCATTCTGCCCCACTTTTCTTTATCTACACTCGACATGTACAAAGCTTCAAATTCTTTGGTGCAATTGCACTAGCGTGCTTTGCTGCACCAGAGCTAGTGTACCAGGGCCCTTGCACCTTTTCCAAACCGTCTCTCCCCTTAAGTGAAAGTACAATACTGGGTTACTTTCCCAAAAGGTCTTCAGAGTCTACTAGGCATTTGCTTGAATGCTTACTGGTGCTCATTTGTACAGTGAAGATACACTCGAAGCCTCCTTGGGTCTTCACCCGACAGGCTGACGTGCAGGACTTTGGCGCCCACTAGTTTCTTGTATACCAGAGAAAGCCAATAATCCTGTTTACATGGGAAAAGAAGACAGCTTTTATGCATAGCAAAAACATGTTAAAGAAACGTAACCAGCAAAGAGTTGGTGGATAAGCAGGAGCGAGATGGAATCAAAAGCACAGAAGGCAATTCGCCCCTATTAGGTACCCAGCCTTTTCCTTTTCCTATCATTTATTTTAAACTGCTTTGAATTTTGAATTTAAATTGCCATGACCTGACTGCCTCGAGAGCTTATGGTGAAAGGCAGTTAAGAAATTGAAAAAATAATAATGGTAATAATCAGTGGGATTATTTTATTTTATTTTATTGAAGCAAAATATGTGTTAGCATGCACCATGCCCACCCAACCCCGCCGTCGCTGCTTGCCACCCACTCACCCACCCACTCCCTCCTTGCACCTTTGCCGCTTCCTCTGCCGAGGTATACGAATTGCTATCGACATAAGATAGTATCACCAAGGCAACTATCTGTAAACAAACAATAAACGTCCATAAAAATGGCAAAAGTCCCATACTTTTCTGTGCATCAGATGAGGGTTTATTTTTTAAAAAAATTCTGTTAAAAATTTGGGGTTGTCTTATACAGTGGTACCTCTGGATGCGAACGGAGCCCCGTTTGCATCCTGAGTAGAACGTAACACGCGACTGCACGTCGCGTTTCCCCGCTTCTGCGCATGCACGTGATGTCATTTTCAGCATCTGCGCATGCGCGAGCGGCGAAACCCGGAAGTAACTCATTCCGTTATTTCTGGGTCGCCGCGGAGCGTAACCTGAAAACGTTCAACCTGAAGCATATTTAACCCGAGGTATGACTATACATGGATAGTGCATGTGGGGACGTGGGATTGGTTGCTGCCACGAGTCGGAGATTGTCAGCGGCTATTGGGCGTGTTATTGGTGGCTGCAGCAAGGGCTGGTGCTGATTAGCTGTTGCTGTGGCAATTTGGCGGGCGATTGGTGGCTTCTGCTGGCACCCCCCCCCAAAAAAAACCCCTCACCAACTCTGGGCAATCCTCCCCAAAAAAGCTCAGCAACTCTGGGCAATCTCCCCCCTTTTTCTTACTTTTGGAGTCCTCCAAAATAGGGGGGCGTCTTATACATGAGGGCGTGTTATACACAGAAATATACAGTAATTTCTTTCCCAAATAGGTTTTATCTTAAACAACAGTAGATAAAGAGTTCACTTGTAATAAATATATCAGTGGCTCAGTGCTCATTTCTTCCCTTTCCAAAATAGATTTTATGTTGGAACAACTGCAAATGCAGTAATGAAGAGTCTACTTGTGATAAACAGTGGTACCTCTGGTTACGTACTTAATTCGTTCTGGAGGTCCATTCTTAACCTGAAACTCTTCTTAACCTGAAGCACCACTTTAGCTAATGGGGCCTCCCGCTGCTGCCGCACCGCTGGAGCACGATTTCTGTTCTTATCCTGAAGCAAAGTTCTTAACCTGAAGCACTATTTCTGGGTTAGCAGAGTCTGTAACCTGAAGCGTATGTAACCTGAAGCGTATGTAACCTGAGGTACTACTGTACCAGTGATTCAGTGCTTGGACGTTGTTCTGGTAATCCGACGTTTCGTCACTGAAGAGCTTAGTCAAGTGAAGACTGTATGTAAACAACTTAAAGCACACAAAGAGGGATGAGCGTAGAAAGAGGATGATGTCCTCCATTTTGCTAAACCTCCTTGACGGATGCTTCTCCTGATGGAAAAATGCAGATAGGGACAGATATGCCCCTGCTTTAAGTCGTTTACATACTGTCTACATACTGTTACAAACGTATTTACTGTGTTTGCTATTGTTTAAGATAAAACCTATTTGGGAAAGAAGCTACTTTTGCCATTTTTATGGACGCTTATTGTTTGTTTACAGATACTTGCCATGGTGATATTATCTTGTGTCGATTGCAGGACTCATTGTATCACCACCCTGTTAATTGTTTTATTCACTGTTCATTGTTGGTGCTGACCTTTAAAGGCTAAATGGCCTCGGTCCAGTATACCTGAAGGAGCATCTCCACCCCCATCATTCTGCCCGGACACTGAGGTCCAGTGCCGAGGGCCTTCTGGCGGTTCCCTCATTGCGAGAAGCAAAGCTACAGGGAACCAGGCAGAGGGCCTTCTCGGTAGTGGCACCCGCCCTGTGGAACGCCCTCCCACCAGATGTCAAAGAGAACAACAATTACCAGACTTTTAGAAGACATCTGAAGGCAGCCCTGTTTAGGAAAGCTTTTAATGTTTAATAGGTTATTGTATTTTAATATTCTGTTGGAAGCCGCCCAGAGTGGCTGGGGAAACCCAGCCAGATGGGCGGGGTATAAATAATAAATTATTATTATTATTATATTTATTATTAGAGGTATACGTACTGGCAAAGGTTCAAAGCTGGCGTTCACCAGATGATAGCTTCCTGCTCCAAACAAAACCTGTCTCATCACCACGTCAATGCCCAGTTTGGCAGACAGACCAAGTTTGTCCAGCCACCTGCATAACAAAAGTAGGGGGGGGGGAGAGCAAGAAATAAAGAAAACTTCAATTCAAGCAACCTGAAAAGAATTGGGAGTGGCATCTGTTCTAACTAAAGAGGTGTGATGTTTTGTTCTACGTGCAAGGCAGAAACAAGAGCTGATGCAAACCTAAGAAGTGGTGCTTTAAAATATATATATATTCAATAGTTATAAGGTCAGAAAAGGCAGGTGTTCTTTCTAGCAGCATTGTGACCATGACCTTTAATAAGTAGTTGAGAGGAGCAGAGAGAACGCTGTAGAAAAGCATTCTCAGTTCTTGGCAGGGACATGAGAGGTCCTTAAATTGAAGTGCCTGTCCTTCAATACAGAATTTCACAGCAGTATGCAGACCCACAGATCCCAAATTCCCTTAGTGGCTTTTTTCCATAAGAGAAACAAAACAGATGATGAGATATCTAAGCAGACCAGCTTCTGTTACTGTCACCTTATGAAACTTTCTCAGTTGCACAGCAGTTCAACATGCTGCCATCATAGGTCCTGGGTAAAGGTAAAGGTAAAGGGACCCCTGACCATTAGTCCAGACTAATTAGACCATTAGTCGTGACCGACTCTGGGGTTGTGGCTCTCATCTCGCTTTATTGGCCGAGGGAGCAGGCATACAGCTTCCGGGTCATGTAGTCAGCATGACTAAGCCGCTTCTGGCGAACCAGAGCAGCACACGGAAACGCCGTTTACCTTCCCGCCGGACTGGTACCTATTTATCTACTTGCACTTTGAGGTGCTTTCGAACTGCTAGGTTGGCAGGAGCAGGGACCGAGCAATGGGAGCTCACCCTGTTGCGGGGATTCGAACCACCAACCTTCTGATCAGCAAATCCTAGGCTCTGTGGTTTAACCCACAGCGCCACCTGCATCCCTGTCAGGTACTGGGTTGTTGTTGTTTAGTTGTTTAGTCGTGTCCGATTCTTCGTGACCCCATGAACCAGAGCACGCCAGGCACTCCTGTCTTCTGCTGCCTCCCGCAGTTTGGTCAGACTCATGTTTGTAGCTTCGAGGACACTGTCCAACCATCTCGTCCTCTGTCGTCCCCTTCTCCTTGTGCCCTCAATCTTTCCCAACATCAGGGTCTTTTCCAGGGAGTCTTCTCTTCTCATGAGGTGGCCAAAGTATTGGAGCCTCAGCTTCACGATCTGTCCTTCCAGTGAGCACTCAGGGCTGATTTCCTTCAGAATGGATGCATTTGATCTTCTTGCAGTCCATGGGACTCTCAAGAGTCTCCTCCAGCACCATAATTCAAAAGCATCAAAGTTTGATTCCTCATACAGGAGGATAAATGGGCTCCACAATAGGGGGGGAGGATTTGGGTTTGGTCTTAAATAAAACGAGTCCTGGTATCTAATTCATCTCCTTTCTGATTTGCCATATGGCATGGTGAGTTCCTAGACACCACCAGATGTTGCCGGTCAATGCCAACATTAGGAAACCTCCAGAATGTCAGTGTTTCATGGGAGAGATTCAAGCAAATGCTAGGAAACTTGGGTGAAAAGAAACTGACTTTTTGTGGTTAGGGAAGTGATTGGGAAATGCACGGAAACGGAGTGGGCAAGGGGAAGAACCATGTCAACAAATCTGGATGGATTCAGGATGAACGCTCGTGGTTGTACAGTCAACAACCGACTGGCGCATAATTGTGCACATGCGCATGGCACCGGACCTGGAAAAGACCCTAAAACACCACTAAAGGGTGGAGCGGGGAAGGGGCAGAATGTTTTATGTGCTTCCCACTGATGTGTTGGGGGGTTGTGCAAGCAGATCAGGACGTAAGAGGAGCCTGCTGGCTTAGATCACTGGCTCATCTGGTCTAGCATCCTGTTCTCACAATGGCCAACCGGATGCCTCTGGGAAGCTTAAAAGCAAAACCTGAGCACAAGAGCCCTCTTTCCTCCTGTGGTTTCCAGCAACTGGTACTCAGAAACATTACTGCCTCTAGCTATGGAGGAAGAACATAGCCACCATAGCTACTAGACATGGATAGCTTTATGGGCATCAATGATCACAACAGCTTCTCCTGTTTGATCAAAGGAAGGGCTTCTAGGGCATTGGTAGAGAAATCCGCTCCATTTCCCAGTGGGGAGGAGTTGCGGTGGACCATGTGGCCACCCACTCCCCACCGGGGGATCTCGGTCATGTCAGAGCCCGGCCAGCCAATCCACTGGCCGGGGGTGTGTGGCTGGGACTGTTTAAATCAGAGGTGCGAGCTAGAGGGCTTCCTCTTTGGCTCACTTCCTCAATCACCCACCTTCCCTCCCTATTTTGCAGGTTTAGGCACTGGCCTTGTTGTGGACCTCGCTTGGTCGCCATTGAGGGGCCTGGTAGGAATTTTTCCACTTGGCAAATTGGCACTGGCCATGTGGTTTTTGCCTACGTCGTAGCAATCGTCACAACTTTGTTAGGGTTGCGGTTAGGCATTGTTTGACCTTGTGGTGGGGGAGGGGAGGTGTGGCCATCACCTGCCCCTCCAAGCTTAAGGGTATTCCGTTAAAGGAATCTGGGGGTGTTGATCTTGTCCAAAGCCCGGGTCGGGGGCTAGGGCCATGACACAACCCCGACAGGAACACCAGGGGGAGCTTGAGTTGGTCTGCATCGACAGGGCTCTCCCTTCCGGTGGTTTACCCTTACCGGACTTCCTGCGCATCAGGCAGGAGTCAGATATAGTCGGGTCCATTCAATGCCTAAGCCAATACAGCTCACATTCTGTAATCAATAAAGTTGTGGCCAAATTTGCCCAGTAACATAAACCTAATATCCGTGTCCTTGTGCGTGTTACAAGGGGGTGGCTACGGGGTCTTGACACGCAACAAGATCCCGGTATTCCACAGAAGGAAGCAGAGCTCGTAGGAACGTATATTATTTTACTTACATAAAACCAGCGAGATACGTATTGGACAGCTGAGGAGCACCCCCTCCATAGGCTGAACTAGTTTCTCCCAGCCAAACTTTCTTGCCTGGGACAGTGTCGTCAACAAGCTAGAGAATGTGAAATCAAAGCATATAAAGGTGCGTCAATTCAGGGACTTGAGCCTGGGAGATTGGCAACTTTAAATTAGGAGGAATAGATGAGCTGCCCAGCCACCCACACAGACTCCCGATTACCTGGAGTTCTTCTTGGACGGCTGTAATGAAAGTGTCCAGCACATCAGGGCTCAGGAAATCCTCTCTGGTAGCAGTTCGGCCATTCAGATAATAGCTGCAAAATCGAGACATTTGACGTAAGTCCACCCATAATTTACACCGGTGCTGGAAAAGGCTCTTGTGTTGATACAAGAAGTCCTGCACAATTTGGGTGCATAAGTCCTATTAGAGATCACCTGGAAGAGAGCTGTTAGGTGTCCATTTTGTTACAGAAGCCCAAATGACCTCAACAAGAAGTCGGGCATTTAATGTCACGGTGGAACACTCTCCTAGCAGAGAAGTGACAGGCACCCTTGCTTTCTGACTTTCAAGCATCTGTCATGGATGCTTTAGCTGAGATTCCTGCATTGCAGAGGGGTGGACAAGATGACCCGCAGGATCCCTTACAATTCTATGAGTCTATTCTATGATACATTCTTGAGTAGCCAGTCATTTCAATGATTGTTCTGTAGTGCTTTTAATGGTTTTTTATGTTTTAATACACTAGCCTAATATTTTGTGAGGGCAGCATATACAGTAATTTTCGCTCTATAGGACGCAATTTTTCCCCTCCAAAAATGAAGCGGAAATGTGTGTGCGTCCTATGGAGCGAATGCAGGCTTTCGCTGAAGCCTAGAGAGCAAGAGGGGTCGGTGCGCACTGACCCCTCTCACTCTCCAGGCTTCAGGCAGCTATCCGCAAGCCTTCGGAGCCCGGCGGGAGTTCCCGCTGCACTCGGAAGGCTTGCGGATAGCTACCTGTTCTGGGGGCTGGGGTTGGGGGAATAATTTTATTTTCTTTATTCCCCCTCCCTAAAAACTAGGTGCGCCCTATGGTCCAGGGCGCCCTATGGAGCGAAAAATACAGTACATACTTTTAGAAACAAACAAAAACAAAATGGTTTTCCTCCTGGTTTTCTTCATATTTTCTCCGCAGTTATCATCGACTTAATATTTCTCTGAACTAGGCGTATGCTAAGAAAAGCCCGGCTGGATCAGGCAAAGCATCCATTTTGTTCAGCATCTTGCTTTCAAAATGGCAGGACAGTTCCCCCAAAAAGACCTGAGCACAACAGCACTGTTTCCTCCCGCAGTTTCTGGTAAATGTTTTGACACATGCTGCCGTAATGCCTGGGCAACGAGTTGCTGAATATGAACTCAGTACTTACTGATGCCATGTGACAGAATCAATTACTTTTCCTCCTGATTTCAGGAAGCTGCAAAACAACAAGGGTTAAATTTACTACCTCCTCTGCTTTTCCTCAAATTCTAAGGGAGCTACAAAACTGTGGGAACTGTAATCCAGCAAAACAGACGTTGGAACATATAAATTTAGGAAGCTGCCTTAGAATGATTAGCTATACTCCGTATTATACTTTTTAGACATCCAGATCAGTATTGGGTCTGTGGTTTTGCTGCTCTGCTCTACTGTAACCTTGTCCATTTTGTCTCAGAAACAACATTTTATCTAAACTGCAAAGAAAATTGCACCCTGCCCAGGCCTAGCAATCTCAATCAGCATTAAGGCAACAAATCACGGCTAAAGCCAACAATGGTTATTTGTTATGTTCTGAAGTGGGGCAGAATATTGCATTGTTGATCTATCAAGTCAAATGATGCTGGTGATTTTAATTTTACCTCCTTAGCAACTTCTGAGTGTGCTTCCGAGGTTGACCTACATCAGGCCCATAGAGCTTGGCATTTCTGTAGCTGCTGTAGCTGTCCAACAGCTGACGTAGTTGTATGAAGTCCTGTCCTAGCTGGGAGCCATCGATATAAATGCCAGACTTCTTCCTGAAGCTGTTGGGCTCTGTAGAAAGCGTAAACATCCTTAGATGGCTCTCAAAGCTGTGTGACTCATTCAGAATTTGCACAGTGGCAGTAATCAACCAGAAGTACAGAATGTTAAATATCAAACTTTACTATTCCAAAGGAACACTTGGAACTAAAGATACGTGAGACTCAGTTTTATCTAAGGGGTAAGGCGGTATCTCAGATTACCTGAGCATCTAAACTGTGATGGATTTTTTCCCTTTCTTTCACTGAATTGCTTTCCATTAAACCAGAGCTGTGTGTTGAGAGACATGAATGTGTCCTCCCAGGGCTAGAAATGGGTTAGTTTAACCTCCGGTTTGCTAATAAAACTGAATTACAGTGTCGCAAAATGATGCTGAGACCATATAATAGTGGTTCTGAAAGACCTACATTGGCTCCCAGTACATTTCTGAGCACAATTTAAAGTGTTGGTGCTGATCTTTAAACCCCTAAAAGGCCTTGGTCCAGTATACCTGAAGGAGTGTCTTCACCCCATCGTTCTGCCCGGACACTGAGGTCCAGCTCCGAGGGCCTTCTGGCAGTTCCCTCACTACGAGAAGTGAAGCTATAGGGAACCGGGCAGAGGGCCTTCTCGGTAGTGGCACCCACACTGTGGAACACCCTCCCATCAGATGTCAAGGAAATAAACAACTATCTGACTTTTAGAAGACATCTGAAGGCAGCCCTGCTTAGGGAAGTTTTTAATGTTTGATGTTTTATCGCTTTTTTAATTAATATTCTGCTGGGAGCTGCCCAGAGTGGCTGGGGAAACCCAGCCAGATGGGTGGGGTATAAATAAATAGATGATGATTATGCATGTCTAAAAAGTGTATCACCAACATGAAATGTTTGGAAAGCTCTGCATTAAACATTTCAAAGCGATGTAACAATTTATTTTGTTGTTGCTGCTGTCTTCTGTCCTGAAGGCATCACTTCACAAAGCTGTGAGGGGTGCATAAAATCATTGTGTTAAAAAAATAAAAATAAAAAAATAAAAAATAAATCCTTGACATGGCATGTGATTTTGCAGGGCTGAATTTAGGGCAGAGGAGCTTATGAGTTTTCTTCCCTCTCCCCCTTTGCCCCCCCCAATATGTATTTGCATACTGCCACCACAAGAGCACACTCAAATCTGAAACCTACCATTCCCAAGTTCCCAATCCATGTCGTAATTCTGGGATTCAGTATAATTCAAAATCAGCTGGGCGTTTGAGCTGTCCCACTGGTTGCCTCTCCTCAGCAAAGCGTTGAGTCCAAAGATCAGGTGCAGATTGGCGCAGCGTGCAAAGTCGTACAGAATATCCACTGTACTTCCTGTGAGCAGGTGGGAAAATAAGGACAAAGGGTCATGTTACGAGGAGGAAATCCCAGGAAAAAACTCCTCCCCACCGGAATCCTAGGTCAGAAGAATCATCTCACTGGAGAAGGTCCACCAGCGAAGATGAATCACAAAATCATAAAAATGTAGAGTTGGAAGGGACCTACAGTGGCTGCTTAAAATAATAATAAAAATTGCACGAACCACAGTTATACATTTTTCTTATCCTCTAGTTTGGCCCAAGTTCGCACAGTCTGAAACAGCATATAACAAATGTGTGGATATTGGGGTGGAAGCAGCAACTGCGAAGTTCGTTATATACAGTTGTGAAAAGAAGATTAATGCATAGGGTTACATGTTGTAAAGTTTAATTGCAGTCCAGAGTCCAGAAAAAAGCATTTGTAATTTTCTGCTTGTTATTCTTTTTTCTCTTAAAAAAGAATATCTTTTGTTGCAGATTGGGGGAGACCCAATTATTAATTAAATTAATAAACGGTAGGATTTCTGATTATGTGGAGTATTGAAGAGAAGATTGCAGGCCAATGGGAAAGCATAGGCTAAGCTTCCTTTTCAACCCAGGTCTTCTCCTGGGATTGAGGCGTTAACATGACAAAAGGTGTTGATTCCTGTAAGAGCAGGGTGGCCAACTCTCAAGAGACTACGATCTACTTTCAGAATTAAAAACTACCCCTTACATTTACAGAGCAAAATATCCTCTTGAATTACGTATATATCCAGCACGTGGAACCTTACAAAAGGACAATGTGAGTGGACTCTCCGTGCCCTTATCACAGCAAAAAGACTGATACTGATGAATTGGAAAAATAAAAATGCGGCTCCCTTCTACGATTGGATTGAAAACTTATACAAACTCACAAGATATGAACAACTTGCGAACAAAAGGCAGACTTGCCATGGACAAATTCAATGATATTTGGAATCCGTTCTTACAAATACTGTACAGTGGTGCCCCGCAAGACGAATGCCTCGCAAGACGAAAAACCCGCTAGACGAAAGGGTTTTCCGTTTTTCGATGCGCTTCGCAAGACGAATTTCCCTATGGGCTTGCTTTGCAAGACGAAAACGTCTTGCAAGTCTTGCGATTTTTTTCGCTCCCCCCCCTTTTTCTAAGCCGCTAAGCCTTTAATAGCCGCTAAACTGCTAATAGCGCTAATCCGCTAATCCGCTAATAGGGTTGCTTCGCAAGACGAAAAAACCACTAGACGAAGAGACTCGCGGAACGGATTATTTTCGTCTTGCGAGGCACCACTGTAATAGGCTAAGATCTGGCGAAGCACAATAACAACTTTGTAAGATATACAGTTTTGGGTTCCCACACCCCTCCCTTTATTTTCCCTTCTACACAGGTTCTGTTTCTTGTTTTATTTCTCTCTCTTTTATTTACGTCTCACCATGTTTAGTACACATATATTTATGTACTTTTTGAATTGTCAATAAAGATGTTAAACAATAATTAAAAAGAAAGATTCAGGAGACACCTACCCCAAATGAGCTGGTGATATACACAAAGCTCCACAAGAAGAGTGCCACAAGAAGGTTTCAAAGAGCAGCTATTTTGTGCTCAATAAACAGGTTCTCTGGAAGCCTCCAGATCCAGTTTTTTCCTTACACTCAACAGCTACTCATTGTCTTAGCCCTGTTCTTGCAGTTTTAGTACCATTGTCGACTTGCATACATAGATGGTGCCTCTTTTCCTCTCCATTAGGAGAGGGGCAAGAACCAGAGAACCCGCCATTGCTGCAGGAGGGTATTCAGCAAGGGAGGACATGACAAGGAGGCCCTTTGGAGCAGCAGTTATGCCAGGAGTCACATGTACTCCTCTTGTCTATTGGTTTGCTTATCCCTAAAGGTAAGGGTGGGGTGGGTGGTGCTGTGGTCTAAACCACTGAGCCTAGGGCTTGCCGATCAGCAGGTCGGCAGTTCAAATCCCCACAATGGGGTGAGCTCCCGTTGCTCGGTCCCTGCTCCTGCCAACCTAGGAGTTCAAAAGCACGTCAAAGTGCAAGTAGATAAATAGGTACCGCTCTGGCGGGAAAGTAAATGGCGTTTCCGTGCGCTGCTCTGGTTCGCCAGAAGCGGCTTAGTCATGCTGGCCACATGACCCGGAAGTTGTACTCCGGCTCCCTTGGCCAATAAAGCGAGATCAGTGCCGCAACCCCAGAGTCATCCACGACTGGACCTAACGGTCAGGGGTCCCTTTACCTTTAAATGTAAAGGTAATTAGCAGAGCTCATTAAGTTTCCAGACCCCGTCATTTTCAGCAAACAGCGAAGAGAGAGACCTTCCAATTAGCGCGTGGTGATTGCAGGCGTCTTACGCGTAATGGTTGTGTTTCGGGGCCTCTTCCTGGATTCTTCCCAGAGGATGACCATTTCCTGGAAAGGCCACTGAGACTGCAGTTGCTCTATGACATCCATAGGCGTGGATCTGAATCCACAGACATCTGCAGCATCTGTGGCAGCAGAGAGAGAAGGAGAGAGAGAGAAAGAAAGAAAACACACAACAGTGATCAGTGTTTCAGGGCGATAATCTCACCAGCAGGAACAGGGAACCTTTTGAAGTCCAAGGGGCGTATTCCCTTATGAGGAACCTCCCAGACATCCCAGAGCTTGGTGTTGAAAACACCAAGGTCACAGGTTCGATCCCTGTATGGCCCACTTGCATATTCCTGTATTGCAGGAGGCTGGAATAATGACCCTCAGGGTCCCTCCCAATAATAATAATAATAATAATAATAATAATAATAATAATAATAATTTATTTATACCCCTCCCATCTGGCTGGGTTTCACCAGCCATTCTGGGCGGCCTCCAACAGAATATTAAAATACAATAGTCTATTAAACATTAAAAGCTTCCCTAAAGAAATATATAATAATAAGAGTACGTTCATTTGTAAAAAAGGAATATACAAAGGATAGACAGGAAGTCTAGTGTGTTGGTATGTATATGATTTGGGGGGGATTGTTTTTTTTTTCCTCTTTGTTCTTTCTTTTTTTTGTTTCATTTCCTTTCTAAGTATATAAAATTTGTATATAATTTTTGTATACATGTTGGAAATTATATTATAGTAAGTCCTGTAATGTAATATGACATTTACCAATGAAATAAAAGAATGTTAACAAATAAATAAAATGCAAATTCTAATTTTTTTTAAAAAAAAATAAACATTGAAAGCTTCCCTAAACAGGGCTGCCTTCAGATGTCTTCTAAAAGTCTGGTAGTTGTTTTTCTCTTTAATATCTTGTGGGTGTTTATTATTTATTTACAGTTCTATGAAATGCAATCGAGTATTGGGACGCTGCAATAATGTCAAAAAAATTGCAATTTAAAAAATCGATAGATCCATCGACTAAAATCTGACTCTAAACTCATCAAAACTTCTTTCAGTTCGCAATCCTATCCAATATGGATTTTCCCGAATTCTTCGGGGCAAGACCATCCCCTAGCAAAGAGTATCAGTTGCCTGATAGTCTTGGAAAGAACCAGCAGCGCTGTCAAGGATTGTGTTAATTTTGCTTTATCTCGTGTGCAGAGTGCCTGGGGGAGGCCCTTGCGAAAGACGCCAAGAGGCCCTGTGTAAGAATACAGCCTTGTCAGCAGCTCCCAGTGCCTGAAACTGGATGAAATTGACATTTACAGTTAGTATAATAGGACTGCTGACACCCGTCTATGAAAAGCCTGTGCAGAAGTTCTAGAACAGATAATATTTTTTCCCCCCACTTGGCCTCACAGATTGATAGCAACCATTAATGCCACTAACAGAGGGAGCCTGGCTTTTGTTGTTTCAGCCAACTCAGGAGAGAGCAGGTTTTCCTGTGCTCAGTTTTCCTTGCGGAAAAGCTGCCTCCCTAATTTCCTAAAGCGAAAGGTGCCGGGTGTCGGGGTAACCTGAAAGCCAAGGCAGGCCTGAGGAGCCTATATCTGAGTCAGACAAATGGTCTCTCTAGTTCAGTGTTGTCTACTCTGACTGGCAACAGCTCTCCAGGGTTTTAGGTACTGTTAACGGAGAAATCTGAGGGCTCCCTTGGACAAAAAACAAGGACACCAGCCAGGAATACCAGAGCAAAACAGCAGCCAGTAGGCTTGGTCTTTATTGAAGACTGTCGCGACAGGACTCCCACCTGCCGCCAGGTGAAACAAGATGGAAGCCCCGAACAAAAGAGAACCCAGAAGGTTGACGGTTCAAATCCCCACAATGGGGTGAGCTCCCGTTGCTGGGTCCCAGCTCCTGCCAACCTAGCAGTTCGAACGAAAGCACGTCGAAGTGCAAGTAGATAAATCCAGGTCCAGTCGTGGTCCAGTCGTGGTCGACTCTGGGGTTGCGGTGCTCATCTCGCTTTATTGGCCGAGGGAGCCGGCATACAGCTTCCGGGTCATGTGGCCAGCATGACTAAGCCGCTTCTGGCGAACCAGAGCAGCGCACGGAAACGCCATTTACCTTCCCGCCGGAGCAGTACCTATTTATCTACTTGCACTTTGACGTGCTTTCAAACTGCTAGGTTGGCAGGAGCAGGGACCGAGCAACGGGAGCTCACCCCGTCGCAGGGATTCGAACCGCTGACCTTCTGATCAGCAGGTCCTAGGCTCTGTGGTTTAACCCACAGCGCCACCCATGTCCCAACCCCTGCAACCTATACATACATTTTGATACCTACATGTATCTACATTTTGATACCTTCCTCTTGTGTAGAGGCAATACCATTGAGACTGCATAATGATCCACACTTGGAAAATGAATCTGCTTTTTGCATAGAGGGTGGTGTCAACTAGTTTTTATGCTGAATATTCTTCATAATCTATCACTCTTTCATCTCTGAAAATCAAAGGCATTCATAATTGCTTTTGCCACCCAATGCCCATCTACTCTGACTCTGTGCTTGGGTGAGACTTGCTCATGTGTAAGTGTGCTGCAGCTTGCAACCTTTTGGCTCCAACCTACCTTGTTTAGCCAGCAAATTCTGACAAACCTCTTCCTCTGCCGTTGGTTTCTCTTCAGGATCAAAGATCAAGAAGTCTGTCTTGGTGCCACCAAATCTCACGAAGCCAGGAGATAAACCTCGCGCCAATGTGCGCAGTTTCGTAGAGCTGGGAAAGTGAGAATGCGGAGAAATTGAAAGGAAACACCTTTTCATCCTGTTGGCTTTGATTTGTCATCATCCATTCAGCTCATTCAGTTCATATCAGGCGCTTCTAGACTGTGGCAATTTTGGGTGGGGTTCAATCACAACTTGGTAAATTAAGGCAGTGCAATTCAAGCTGATTTGGAGCTTTCGTGAAATGAACCTGCTTCCCCAAACAAATAGAGTTTTTGTGATAAGGAAAGCAATGGAAAAGCAAGCTGGAAAGTGTAGGATAACACCAAGTTTGACACAACATCATCTAACCTCCCCAGAAACAAATCAGAATAAATGCTCAATAAACAGGCCAACCAGAGGTGCCCTTATTCTCTGCTCAGTAGTCCCAGAAACTATGTGTGGTACCCAAGTATCAGCCTACCGCTCCACAGTCTTGGTGCTGCACGTGTAGAGTTCAGCTGGGAGTAAGATGGGGACAAAACTGGAATGAGCTGTTTGCCATTAGCTCTGGCGCCATCTGCTGTTGGCCTCCCCACCTTCTGCCCTATCAGTCGCCTATGGGACCAGTTTCCTCTGTGTGTTAGAGAGCTGGGAGGGAAGATACGCCTGGAGATCCAGTCTTAGATCTCCCACATTGTGTGTGGTTTGGTGCTGAGCAATCTCCTCCAGTCTGAAGTGTTTAATTGAACACGGCTGTTGGAACAGAAAGCGAAGAGAACCACTAGGAGGATTTCCTTTGCCAAGCCTGACACAGCAGTGGCCTGTGACTCATCATGTGTTCAACTTTCTTTCTCTTTTGCCCATGTGCAATATTTGTAACTCTAAATATAAAGACGGCATACAGAAATTTTAAGAGTTTCAAAGCTTGCGCCAGCAATTTGAGCATCACATGAAAGGCTCTCTTCAAAGCAAACTTCTTGTGTCTGTTTAAGAAAGGAAGAGCAGCAAAATGCAGACAAAGTTTCAAGCTCTCCTGCCTGCTATATTTACTGACAATATACCACTATGGGTCTGATGTCTTTTAAGCATCCCTGCTAAAGATATTTCCTCTCCCCAGGGCTTAATCTGGATCAGGATTCAGCAGAATTCAGCTCCAGAATCTGTTTCTATCACCAGCGTCCAGAGTATCTGAAAGAATAACAACAAGCAATGCCTCTGGGCATGTGTGGAGTGCATTTCCCTTCGCTGCCAGGTAACTGCAGCCTGGTCTACTCACTCGGGATTAAGAACCATGGAGCTAGGCCATTTATTTGAACTATATTAGAGATTCTCTAATACTTTGTCATATGGTAAAACTGTTACTGGACTGGAGTAGATTAGTGGTGGTGGTGCATTGCATCAGGCACAGCTGTCAACTTTTCCCTTTTCTTGTGAGGAATCCTATTCGGAATAAGGGAATTTCCCTTAAAAAAAGGGAAACGTTGACAGCTATGGCATCAGGTGAGATCTCTCCTGATCCCTACGTGATAGGAATTTTGAGGTCTTAGATATATGTTAAATGTTCATAAGTGTACCAACCAAGCATGTACATAGACCAGCACAGGAAGACCAACCTGAAACCATTTTTGATTCCCAAACTGACCAAATGTTTTCTCTGCAAGGTCAAAGGAAAACGGAAAAGCGTCCCCATTGTCTTTTCCTTCACAAATCCTGTTTTAAGATATGAACAGGGTGTGAGGCTGTGACCTGGACTCAGGAAGTAAGACTGGCCAGGCTCCCCAGGCAATCCAATCAAGTGACCATTAAACAGGTAACCTGTCAGACGAGATAAACAAGTCACTCAAATTTCTGCTGTAGACCGCCTTTTCTGTGATGTAGGTATGATGTATCTGGGGGTTATGGTCTTGGGTTACACGCCTTCTGTGATGTATGTATGATGTTTGGAGGGGTGGTCTTGAGCTCCAGGGCAGGGAATTTAAAATGTCTATATAAGGCCTTGCGCACCATTGTTCTAGGTTCCTCCTCCCTCCTGCATGTGGTGAGGGGAGCACCCTGTTGCAACAAATCAATAAAGATGAGGCTTACTAGCTGCTTTGCTTCTCAATATTCTCTGGTTGGCCTCTGTTATTTTCTCCTACCAATAGGGAACCTACATAAAGGACTCTATATGGGCTCTTGGATACCCCATAAAGGAAAAAGGGCAGATTTTGTTTACAACACCTACACACAGAAAAAATAGCATATCAAGGACAAAGTTTTGCAAGAACCCTTTTTCCAGTTTTCCCTGTTATTTTGATGTTTGAATATTATGCTGAAAATGAATGAAATGCAGCTAAAATATTATGTTCGTTTTTCACATGGTCTAGTTCTTCCCCTGCCCACCCCACTAATATTCTTAAGAGGGTCTCTTTTCCAGTCTTCAGAGAGCAGCTGGAAGTAGGGAGGCAGAAAAAGGGTCTCCTTTCCTTCCACTCTGCAGTTTTGATCTGAAATTTTCAGCGTAGTACTGCGCCCAGAGCTCAGAAACTGCTCTCGCTAATGAAATTCCCTGTCACAAAATGCGCCCAGAACAGTGGGAGTTTCAAACGCTGCTTGTAACGTTATAAATGAAAAAAATATATTTTCTTTCTTTTGTGGGATCAAGCACAAGGCATCAGATATGCGCCTCTCATCAGCTAAATGGCAAATATACAGCAGCTCAGCAGCCACCAACAACTTCCTGTTTGGAGCTGATAAAATACCAGAGTTAAATAAAGGACTCGCTTGATACAAGCGATAACAAGTTTGTTTCTTACTCCACTTTTCTTCTGCTTTTGAGAGCCAAGGTTCAAAGGGCGCCCAGCGAAAGAACATGGAAATGAAAACTATATCCATTGTACACGAAGAAATGCTAGGAGGCTGTGTAAAATTGAGGAACAAAGATATAAGGAGTATGCAGATTCATTACATAATATGAAATACAGTTTGACATATTTGGCATGTTTCTAGACCTCAGGATGGTAAATGGGAGCATAATAATCTGTAGCCGGTTACAGAAAGGGGTGATCCCCAGAGTCAATACTCAGAGTAGACCCATTAAAATCAAGGAGTTCAAGTTATCCAAGTCCATTGATTGCAATGGGTATACTCTGGGTATTGACTCAGTTGGGTAGAACACAATACACGGATATTAGTGATTCTGCCAAAGTGGAAATAACAGACTTGGCATATGAATTCTCACAGTATTGAGCTGTATTCTGAGCTGAGATCCTGAAATTTGTACTCTGTAATTAAACTGGAGACATGTTAGCATATATGCCAGTTTTGTTCCTGTGTGGTTGGCTTTCATCAGGCTATGCTTCCAAAGCCAGTAGCCACTGTTAGCACATGCTCAGAAGCTAATCATTTTAACTCCTTCCTTTTGAATGGGGGAAAAAAACTCCCTTTATTTACTTTCCAGAAGGGGAGCTGTGTTAAATCTCTTGCAGCAAAAACTAATAATAATAATAATAATAATAATAATAATAATAATAATAATAATTTATTATTTATACCCCGCCCATCTGGCTGGGTTTCCTCAGCCACTCTGGGCGGCTCCCAACAGAACATTAAAAACACAATAAAAGATCAAACATTAAAAACTTCCCTAAATAGGGCTGCCTTCAAATGTCATCTAAAACTCAGATAGTTGTTTATTTCCTTGACATCTGACGGGAGGGCGTTCCACATGGCGGGTGCCGGTGCCATTTCCCCATCACATCATCGACTGCAAAAATCCAGTTATAATGTTTCTAAGTGCATTTTTTTGTGCTAGAGTGACAGAGTGCTTGAATCTACTTCAATTGTGCAAACCTAAATTCGCAGCATGTGTTCTTGAATCCCTCCTGCAAAAGAGTAACTGTCTGGAGGCACCCAGACAGATGCCACAAACCTTCTTCTAAATGTGCTTGAAATGTTAAAATTGGAATGTTTTTGGAGAACAATACCTGGGTTCCTGTTGGAGAATCAATTGGCTTGGAAACACCATGTCTTATCTGTGTTCAGCTAGCACAGCAGTGATCTGTCCAGTGTGGCACAGTGATTAAAATGTCTGACATTTGAGACATAGGATGAAATCCCCATTCAGCAACAAAGCTCAGTGGGAGACCCTGGGCCAGCTGGTATCTCTCAGTCTAGCCTACCCCACAGGGTTGTTGAGAGGAAAACCATGTACACTACACCCTGAGTTCCATGAAGAAAAGCCAGGATAAAAAAAAATAAAACAGAGTAAATAAATATCTGTGCTACCTCTGCCTCTTGTGAATCCTGCAGCCAGGAGATTTCTCTGGTGGTTACCAGTAATGTTTTTTAAAAAATAAAAACCATGGCTTATTTGGCTTTGCATGTATGAAAACCTCCTATCCTGTACTGCTCATGGCTTGAAACTCTGCTCTGGGAAATACAGTAGGGTTGCTATACCTCCGAAATTTCCCAGACATAGCCAGGATTTGGCCATCGGAAACAGTGTCCAGGCAGAAATCGCATTAATGTCCGGGGAAATCTGGATGTATGGCAACCCATGTCGTAAGTGTAAAATTTGGTGGTTGTTGTTTTTTTTAAAGTGAAAAAGTATTTTCACTTTTTGAAATATGGCAACCCTAGAATACAGCGCCTCTGCTCCAACCACCCCTTTACCCCTTTACAATACCCAAATTGCACTGAAGAAGAAGAGGAGTTTGGATTTGATATCCTGCTTTATCACTACCCTAAGGAGTCTCAAGGGACGCGGGTGGCGCTGTGGGTTAAACCTCAGAGCCTAGGACTTGCTGATCAGAAGGTTGGTGGTTCGAATCCCCGCGACAGGGTGAGCTCCCATTGCTCGGTCCCTGCTCCTGCCAACCTAGCCGTTCAAAAGCACGTCAAAGTGCAAGTAGATAAATAGGTACTGTTCCGGCGGGAAGGTAAACGGCGTTTCCGTGCGCTGCTCTGGTTTGCCAGAAGCGGCTTAGTCATGCTGGCCACATGACCCGGAAGCTGTACGCCGGCTCCCTTGGCCAGTAAAGCGAGATGAGCGCCACAACCCCAGAGTCGGCCACGGCTGGACCTAATGGTTAGAGGTCCCTTTACCTTTAGCTTTAAGGAGTCTCAAAGCAGCTAACAATTCCCTTTCCCTTCCTCCCTCACAACAAACACTCTGTGAGGTGAGTGAGGCTGAGAGACTCCAGAGAGAAGTATGACTAGCCCAAGGTCACCCAGCAGCTGCATGTGGAGGAGCGGGGAAGCGAACCTGGTTCACCAGATTACGAGTATACTGCTCTTAACCACTACACCACACTGTATGAATTAATGTGCAAAAAATATTGCAAGTCAACTGAGGACTCTTCCTTTTGAGAGAAAAAAGAGCATGTGATCTTCCTTTTGAGCCTCCGACACTTTGGTGCTTTGCAAGCCAATGTTGACATCGCCAACCCAAATCAGAGGCGGTTGAGCAAGTGGCCAGGCAGCCCCAAAATCTACACAGTGCTTTTAGCTGCTCCAAGGCTAACTACAAGACGGTATATAGGCTGCGTTTAACAAAAAACAACAACAACATATGTCTTGATGCATTTTAAAACTGCTGGAATGCAGCTACGTGTAGCAGAAAGAGATGTCAGCTATCTCAGCAGCAAGGGGAAACAGGATTCTCCCGGCATATCTCACCAGCCAAAGCACCCGGAGCGAACCACAGGAAATGTCAAAGCGAAAATGGTCAGATAATTAAAAGTGCATTTGAACTCCTTAATCCCATGGATGCCAACTCATTCATCCTTGCCACCCTACAGCCAGAGGGTAAAGTGGCAACTAGGAAAGGACGAAAATGTCACAGGTTGAGTCTTATAAAGAAAAACAATGACAATGTGCCTATAAAAAGGCCATGGAAGGCAGGGGTCACATGTGCACGATAGAATCCTAGAGTTGGAAGGGATCCTGAGGATCATCTAGTCCAACCCCCTGCAATGCAGTGTGATAGGAATTTTGAGGTCTTGGACATATGTTAAATGTTCATAAGTGTACCAACCAAGCACGTACATAGATCAGCACAGGAAGACCAACCTGAAACCATTTTTGATTCCCAAACTGACCAAATGTTTTCTCTGCAAGGTCAAAGGAAAATGGAAAAGCCTCCCCATTGTCTTTTCCTTCACAAATCCTGTCTTAAGGGCACATTTAAGATATGCATAGGATGTGAGCCTGTGACCTGGCTCAGGAACTAAGTCTTTATCATTACAAAAGACTGGCCAGGCTCCCCAGGCAATCCAATCAAGTGATCATTAAACAGGTAACCTGTCAGACGAGATAAACAATGCGCTCAGATTTCTGCTGTAGACCGCCTTTTCTGTGATGTAGGTATGATGTATTTTGATGCAATTATTTTTAAATGGGTTTTAGCAACTGCTGTGGTGGCAAGTGTAGGATTCCACATTAATTAACCCTATTTATCTAGTGAGATCTAATGCGCTCTAAGGTTACAATTTACAATCCTAAACTCTGAACCTTTAGGATCAAGGTCTGCAGGCTACAGAATAAATATACAGCCCTGCCAACTCAAGGTTGGGTCAGGCCAAGGAGGGGCCCTTCTGAATCCCTGGGGTCACATCAAGTACCCGACCTGGCTGACTGCTGGCACAAGGCCTGGAGATAGACCTCCAGGTTTATACAGTCATTACTGGGACCTTTCTAAGAAATCCTTTGCTGCCGCAGCGAGAAATTGAGAAAGAGGCAAGCATATAGCCCAGTGGTAGGCAACTTAAGGCCCATGGGCTGGATCCAGCCCAATTGCCTTCTCAAACTGGCCCGCGGACGGTCCAGGAATCAGCGTGTTTTTATATGAGTAGAATGTGTCCTTTTATTTAAAATGCATCTCTGGGTTATTTGTGGGGCATAGGAATTCGTTCATTTTTTGCCCCACAATATAGTCTGGCCCACCACATGGTCTGAGGGATGATGGACCAGCCCACGGCTGAAAAAGGTTGCTGACCCCTGATACAGCCCATTGGAGGAACAGTTTGTAGGCAGGAGGAGAACCTGGAAAAACTCCCATCCCACTTCAACAGCACTTGAAATCTTGGCAATGTCTACATCTCTATGCTTCAATTGAAGGACCAGAGACGTCATATTTAAGATGATGTATTGTTTCTACACTGCCATCAGTTTATATGGAATTTTACAGAGTTTCCCAAGTGAAATGGCAAGTTTAGGTCTCTGCCTGCGAGGAGCTTATGTTCTAAATTTGACAGTGCGGTTAGAGACCTTCTGTGCCTCTCATTATATACAGAGTGCCTTTTAACTCTGAGAAAAACAGGCCCCCTCTTCCTAACTAGGAATTATGGGCAAAACTTAGTGCAGAAAGTATTAGCTCGTGGCTGGCATGTTCAGACTTCTATAGCCCTTTAGTTAGAAGAAATTTGGACAAAGCATTTCAAAAAGGGAAGTTTCAGCTGCAGGCAAAAACCAAGCAAGAGATTTTTCAGCTTTGAAACAAGTTTTCACACTCCCTCACACATGCAAAACTTCAGGGAAAACCCAGCTTGGGACTTCCATTTTCACTCCCGAACCCTGCACCGAGCTCCGGCAACTTCATCCGCGGCAAAGCAGGCAGCAGCTCGTCAGGTGCAGCTTCCCCCGTTGGTAAACAGCCTACTCGTAAGGCGCAGCGGGCAAGATCCCGCACACACCCCAAAAAGGAGGGCGAAACCAGAAAACGGCGAGCCTGGCGTGACCTACCCCAGGAAAGTGATGAATCTGGGATCCGTGGCTAGGTTGGCATCGATGGTGAGAGACAGGAAAAACGGGCTGACCTCCCTGGCTGGCTGCTCGGGCAGCTGAAAGCTCAGCACGGCCGCCTCGCTTTGGCCGGGATCCGCCCAGGAGCCCCCGATCAGCGGAGCCCGGCAGAGAAGCGCCAGGATAAGTCCCAGCAGCGGCAGCATCCTGCGTCCCTACGCGCGCTTGGAGAGATCGAGAGAAAGGAGACCCTCGCCGGCACTTGCTCCTCCCGCTGCTATTTCTACTACTGCCACTGAATGCCTGCCTCTGGGAGGTGGAGGAGGAGGAGGAGGAGGAGGAGGGAGCGCGCATTTCTGCGTCCCAAGCGCTGTCCTGCCTCCTGTTGCGGCGTTTTGGGAAAGGCAAGAAACGATCCGCCCTCCGATTCAGTCACCCGACGCGCAAAGACGCGCAGAGGGGACTACCCAGATCAGGCGGCAGAGGCAATCTTGGAGATGGATGGGGAAGAGTTCCCACCTTCAGGGGGATCAGGCATCAGTCCCCACCCCCCCCCCACGTGCACGCGCGCACACACACACACTCCACCGAGACCTTAAATGGCTTGCCACCCCCAGGGGACTGAGCTTGAGGATATAGGTGCCATGGCCACCCAGAACAGAGTGCCTCTGGGCATGTACAGAGTGCAGCCCTCAGTAGCAGACTGGCCAAGGTCTAGCTTCACGTGGTGGTGGTAGTGGGTACCCACATACAGCACCCCCACACACACACCTGCAGCATCTGCCCCATAGGAGCCAACTTCTGGGGGCGAGGTCCCTTCAGCCTCCCCCATAAAATACTTGAGGGGAGCGTTTAACCCCCCCCCAAGTTGTTGGGCATTGAATGTTTGGTAAGGCATACTCCCAGGAAAACAGGTTTAGGATTGCTGCCTTTTGGAGGGATCAGATTTGGGGCCTGAGGGCAGCCTCAGGGTTGTGAGGATAAAAGAAGACCGCCATGAATAATACGAATAATACCCTGAGCAATTTGGCAGGCAGGTGAGATTAGACACACACACAGAGAGAGAGAGAGAGAGAGAGAGAGAGAGATTTGCTGCCTCTGCTCATGTTGCTTGCCAGTCCTCCCTATGCCCTCCATCAATGCCTCACCCCAATATTGTGATTAGGCACCGCAAACCTTCCAATGGGGGCTGTGTGATGACAGCCTTACATTTTTATGAATATAGGAAGATAAACATACAGCATAACAAAAACTGTCTTGGTGGGCCATGATATGAACGCCGGACTTGCTGGCTCTCGAGTTGTGCTGCTCTGTTTTTCATGGATAGGGTTCAAATGATGTTGGAGATAGAATTAATAGCCTTTGAAGCAATCCTATTTATGTTTGCAATTGACTTTTCCCCATGTCCGTTCTCTTCCACGTTTTGTCATTTGCTGTTTCCCACAAGCCACCTAGTTATTAGCAGAGCGAGCATCAGATCTGAGAAAAAGCCTGGGAGAGTGACAACCACAAAGTATGTGTGCATCATATTTCCCCTACACACTTCCTCCAAGGAGATGGTATATATACATGGCTTTTCCTCCTTCCCACTTCATCATCACGACAACCCTGGAAGGTAGGTCTGGCTGAAAGAGTCCCTTGCCCATGGACACTGTCTGAACTCTCAGGCTGAAGAGGGACTGGGGTCACCACATCCAAGTCCATGCTACTAACAACAACAGTGAGCGAGGAAAAACGGTTCCCCTTTTTTGCTGCAAATTCTAGTGACCTTTTCAAGAAAACAGGAACCCGTACTTTTGCTCGCATGCATTCAAGTAAAACTTTTGTATGTATCTCCAGGAAATCCACATCCTGTTGACTGGGATACACCTTGCAAATCAGAGCAATTTACATATTTCAGAGCATGAAACAGACTCCTCCTCCTAGTTTAGCATCCTGATTTCAGTGTTTGAGCCTATGCCAGAGGCAGAATGCCTCTGAAAATGCCAATTACTGACAAGCATGGGTTGAGGAGAGTGCTGTTGTGCTCAGGCACTCTTTGCGGGCTTCCAATGAGCATCTCTTTGGCCACTGAGAGAACAGAGTACTGTCACCTGTCAGTGTGGTGTAGTGGTTAAGAGCGGTAGACTCCTAATCTTCGTGTCTCCGCTCCTCCACATGCAGCTGCTGGGTGATCTTGCACTAGTCACACTTCTCTGAAGTCTCTCAGCCCCACTCACCTCACAGAGTGTTTGTTGTGGGGGAGGAAGGGAAAGGAGAATGTTAGCCGCTTTGAGACTCCTTCGGGTAGTGATAAAGCAGGATATCAAATCCAAACTCTTCTTCTTATGTCCTTGTGCCTATGGGAAGCCTGAAAGCAGGACCTAAACACAACAGCACCCTCCCCTATTGCTGTCCCCAGCAGCTGGCACTCAGAGGCATATCTTACTTGTGATAATTGAGGCAGAACATAGCCATTGCAGTTAGTAGCCATCGATAGCTTCCTCCACTCATAAATTTGCCCTATCGTCTTTTAAAGCTACCCAGGTTGTCAGCCATCACGACATCTATCTGGGTAGCAAAGTCCATAGTTTTAACCATGCACCGTGTTAAGATGTACTTCCTGAATAATGTCTGGATCAAGCCTTATGAGGAATGGTTGAGGGAGCTGGGTATGTTTAGCCTGGAAAAGAGGAGCCCGGGAAGAGATAGGATAGGTAAAGGTAAAGGGACCCCTGACCATTAGGTTCAGTCATGGCCGACTCTGGGGTTGCGGCGCTCATCTCGCTCTATTGGCCAAGGGAGCTGGCATACAGCTTCCGGGTCATGTGGCCAGCATGACTAAGCCGCTTCTGGCGAACCAGAGCAGCGCACGGAAATGCCGTTTACCTTCCCGCTGGAGCAGTACCTATTTATCTACTTGCACTTTGAGGTGCTTTCGAACTGCTAGGTTGGCAGGAGCAGGGACCGAGCAATGGGAGCTCACCCTGTTGCGGGGATTCAAACCGCCGACCTTCTGATTGGCAAGTCCTAGGCTCTGTGGTTTAACCCACAGCACCACCTGCGTCCCTAGGAGATAGGATAGCCATCTTCAAACATCTCAAGGGCTGTCACTCTTGTTTTCTCCTGCTCTGGAGGCTAGGACGGGAACAACTGTCCAACAGTGGAAAGGTCTCCATGGGGAGGTTGTGGAGTCTTCTTCCTTAGAGGCTTTTAAGCAGAGGTTGGATGGCCATCTGTCACGTATGGTCTAGTTGAGAGTTCTGCATAGCAGGGGGTTGGACCACATGATTCTCAGGGTCCCTTCCAACTCTACAACTCTATGAATCTCCCAACATTCAGCTGTTTGTGGCAGAGGCAGACCCTTTGGATTCATGTTTCTGCTGCCTACAGAAACGGAGCTGGGCTGGGGCAACAGCAGATGTGAAGCAGGGCACCAGCAGCACTGATACTAACCCGGCACCACTGTTGACCTTGACGTCGCTCACGGTCAGCCCTGCCCTTGTCAGCAGCAAGGACGCCCAGTGTTGGTAGCGCTGCTCTGCAGTTCCACACTACCATATGTAAAAGGTAAAGGTAAAGGACCTTTGGATGGTTAAGTCCAGTCAAAGGTGACTCTGGGGTTGGGGCGCTCATCTCGGGCTCTAGGCCGAAGGAGCCAGTGTTTATCAGCAGACAGCTTCCGGGTCATGTGGCCAGCATGACTAAGCCGCTTCTGGCGAACCAGAGCAGTGCACGGAAACGCCGTTTACCTTCCCGCCAGAGCGGTACCTATTTATCTACTTGCACTGGTGCGCTTTCAAACTGCTAGGTGGGCAGGAGCTGGGACCGAACAACGGGAGCTCACCCTGTCGCGGGGATTCGAACCGCCAACCTTCTGATCGGCAAGCCCTAGGCTCTGTGGTTTAGACCACAGCGTTACCTGTGTCCCCACTCTCTCTAAACAAGTGCATAATTTGGAAGTGCCCCTGAATCCTGCTCTGCCACGCGAGGCAGGAGTGTCTTTGATGGCTAGCAGTGCCTTTTACTGGCGACAGCTGTTCCTGGATCAAGAGAGCTTGACCACAGTTGTCCATGTACTGTTAAACTAAGGCTGGATTACTGCAATGTGTTCTATGTGGGGCTACCCTTTAGGTTTGCCTGGAGGACGCAGGCTGTTCCGCGCATGGCAGCTAGGTTTATTGTGGGTGGGAAGAGCAAACTACCACCAGCATCTTAACACCCGGCTGCCACCCTGCTACAAGGCCACGTTTCAGCTTTTGGTACTTAATGCCTATACAGTTTGGACCAGGTGACTTGAGACCACCACACCCCTTACGTGACCCGTAGGTCATTGTGTTCTGTGTGTTCTGCAGGAATTTGTCCTTTCAGCCCCCAAAATATCAGAAGCTGGCTGCACAGCAAATCAGAGCAGGGCTGTCAGTGGGGCCGCCTTGTTTTGTGGAATAGCATTCCTGTTGTTGGTGCCTATACCCTATGCTTTCCAAAAACACCACTTTTTGTTTTGACATGTTTCCCCTACTGGATGAAAGGTCTCTGCCTTGGATTTTCATTTGGCATTGTTTTAAAGCTTCTTCTCAGTTGCTTTTTGTACAGTCTTTTCGCTGTTCATGTCTGCAAATCACCTTGAGAGATTTAAGCAGAGGATGTTTTGTAAGTTGTCCCTCTCCGCAGAGGTGCATCTAACACCTTCATTATACATGATACCTATTTACACTGGGTTTTGATGCTTGTGATGTATGTTTTTGGCACAACTTATTTTTGTGACCCTAAGTTGTTTTAAATGGTTCTGGTTGCTGTAACCTGCCCTAGGGCTAGGGCTGGGCGGTATATGTTTTTGAACATGGCGATGTCTCACTAGCTAAACACTGTGATACGCCAATATGTTGCAGTGTCTGAAATAAGGATGGAGCTATATAGAGGCATTGGATGGTTTTATGGTTTTTCCTGCATTGTGATTTTTGCTGGCACCTGCTCTTGTGATTCACTGCCCCCGGCACGAGGCAGGGGAGAGCTGAGCGGGCAGAGTTAGCAGAGGCTGCAGAAATTGAGAGAAACATTGGCTGGCTTCATGGTTTTTACCATAAGGCGAGTTTTGCACGCTCACACATCGTGATTCGTGATATATTGTCAAGTCAAAAATTACGAAACTGATATCACGATATAGACTTCAAACCAGTTTTGGACATGTTTAAATCTAAATCAAACAAGTGTTGGAAATGTAAAGAAAGTTATTTTTATCATATGTGGTGGTCTTGTAGTAAGGTTAAAGCTTACTGGGAAATGATATACAATGAATTGAAAAGGATGTTTAAAATAACCTTTGTAAAAACAAACAAACCAGAAGCTTTTCTTTGGGGAATTATAGGGACAGAACTACCTAAACTGTGTAGAAATTTATTTATGTATGCGACTACAGCAGCAAGAATGCTACTCACTTCAAAATGGAAAGAAGCAGAAGTCCCAGCAAAGGAAGAATGGATACAAAAATGGTAAGAAATGGCAAAACTTTCTGAAAGAATAAGAAATCAAGCTAACAAACTTTTTATAAAAGAATGGAAATGGTTTATTGAATATTTACAGATAAATTACAAACAGATAAAAACATTGCCAGGATTATTGTACTAGCCTGAAGTTTCATAAGAGTATATATTTAAAGTAGATAATTAAATGAGCAAATTAAATGAATTTGGATATGCCGATATTTGAAAAATTAATTTAAGGAACCGCAAAAAGAGGGAAAAGGAAGTCAAACTCTGAAAGGTTAAAATGATTGTAAAACTAATGAAATGTGTAAATTTGAAAAGTATAAATAAAAACTTAAAAAAAGAAGAGTGTTTGGCATCTTCACTACCTTTCAGCGAGTGCTGAGGATGCACCTCTTTAACCTAACCTGTGATATCTCAGGTGTGTGTTTTCAGAATCTATCCTATTCTTGTAAGCTGCCCTGGGTTCTGCTGGTGAAGGGCGAATAATAAATTAAACAATCATCATCCCTGACCATTAGCTGTCCTGGCTGGGGCAGGCAGAACTGGAGTGCAGTAACACCTGGAGTTTAGCCATCCCTGATCTAAGGCATCTATTACTATTTTTGCTGCCAGGTCCAATTTGACTCCTACTTTGGAGTTCTGGAAATGCGGCAATAGGAATTTGAAAAAGCCACCTGTGTTCGCACGTGTTTTCAATGCAAAAATTGCAATTTCTGCTTCAGGCACATTGACAACACCAGCACATCTGTTCCGAAGAAAGGTGTGTTTTCAAATTAGCTTTAGTGCCTCCCAAGACTTGTCATCATAAATACAGGAAGTCACAGTTTAAAGGCGGTGGCACGTAAAGAAGGAGTAACCTGCCAATGAGTCAGCTGTTCCCAGGCAATCTCCACCCAGCAACAGGTTTTTCTACTTTAATCAATCACAGAGCCAAGTGGGTCCAAAGTGACCAAGTAAATTGAAATGACACAGGCTATTGAAACATACCTTCTGCTAATATTTTAATGTTTGATGTATTACAGTATTTTAATTTTTTTTTGGAAGCCGCCCAGAGTGGCTGGGGAAGCCCAGCCAGATGGGCGGGGTATAAATAATAAATTATTATTATTATTATTATTACTCTTCTATCTTTCCCCACACCTCAAACCAATAATACTTCTTTTCCAGGCTCACAGGAAGACCTCCTCCTCCCTTTGCTATTATGATGCATGAAAATAACCCAAAGGCAAATATTTCAACAGAGTTCTCATGAATTTTTGGACCGAGGCTTGCTCAACAATGCTAATGCACAACACACATGAAATTAGGCTTGTTGTTGTTTAGTTGTGTGCGACCCCATGGACCAGAGCACACCAGGCACTCCTGTCCTCCACCGCCTCCCGCAGCTTGGTCAAAGTCATGTTGGTAGCTTCGAGAACACTGTCCAACCATCTCATCCTCTGTCGTCCCCTTCTGCTTGTGCCCTCAGTCTTTCCCAACATCAGGGTCTTTGCCAGGGAGTCTTCTCTTCTCATGAGGTGGCCAAAGTATTGGAGCCTCAGCTTCAGGATCTGTCCTTCCAGTGAGCACTCAGGGCTGATTTCCTTCAGAATGGATAGGTTTGATCTTCTTGCAGTCCATGGGACTCTCAAGAGTCTCCTCCAGCACCATAATTCAAAAGCATCAATTCTTCGGCGATCAGCCTTCTTTATGGTCCAGCTCTCACTCCCATACATCACTACTGTAAAAACCATAGCTTTAAATATACGGATCTTTGTTGGCAAGGTGATGTCTCTGCATTTCAAGATGCCGACTAGGATTTGTCATCGCTTTTCTCCCAAGAAGCAGGCATCTTTTAATTTTGTGACTGCTGTCAGCATTTGCAGTGATCATGGAACCCAAGAAAGTAAGATCTCACTGCAAGGTGGCAGGTTCTCCAGGTCTAGGGAAAACAGATTGCTGGACTAGATAGGTCTTTCAGTCTGATGCAGCTGGCTCCTTTTAGTCCTTTTATATGTAAAGGACAGAGACAATCACCTAGATTTTTTAGGGTGGCATTGCCCCAAAAATGGCAATTACAATTTGCAGCTCTCTTCTGTGGAGCTTCTTACTTATGTTGACGTTTGACCATCCAACTCGCTTTGGTTTCTGAACCTGCTATGTGCCTTAAGTGTCTGCACACACCTGGTTAGACCCTGCAGTATTGCCATCAGTACATGGTAACTGGGTTTGGTTGTCTATAACACTAACTACACTCACCCAGCTGGCCTCCTCCTGTTGGAGAATATCCCACCCCACCTAGTTCCCTCGTGGACACGGCAATGGGACCAGAGAAAGGAAGAGGCAATGAAAGTGGCAGATAAGCAACATCCCTGCACCCCAAGAAATGATGGAACACTTGAAGAAGCTTTCCTGTCCCCTCCTCTCTGGTCACTTAGACCAAAGCAGTTTGCCTCGTGGAATAAGTTACAAAAGGTCCATAGGGTTTGTTCCCCAATAAGTGGAAGCTGCAGTGGGAATGCTGTAGTATAGACACAAGAGTTCCATTTGTTACTACACTACACATTAAAAGAGAGTGAAATATACATTCACCAATCTGTGAGATTTTTTGATGTCTGTTTTGGCATCTTGTCAATGTGCCATGGTGGGACACAAAGCCACAAAATTACAAAACTGTAGAGCTGGAATAGGGTGGATTCTGAAAACACACACCTGAGATATCACAGGACAGGTTAAAGAGGGGCATCCTCAGCACTCACTGAAAGATAGTGAAGATGCCAAGGGTCATCTAGTCCAACGCCCTGCAATGCAGAAATCCCAGCCCCTAGAACATGCCGTAGGGACATGTAGGTACAGCTCTATACATGTTTACGCAGAAGAACTCTCACTATGTGCATAAGATTGCAGTCTAATATACCAAAGTATATTTTAAAATAGCAACTTTTATTAATCCAAAATCAATAAATCATAATTCATAATGATTTTGTAATCCAGGTATTAAAGAGGCATGTTTATTGGATAGTTTCTTCAGTGCTGGCAAATCATGATTAGGTCTATACAATTTTTATGTTCAGAGTAGTTCAAGAAATTGATCTTTGCTTCAGAACCACAACCCCTTTCTAATTTCCTAACGTGGCCTTATGAAAGGCATTGTTTACAGAGACGAAGCAAAAATGATTTTCAAAAAGAAAAGAAGCACTTTATAACAGAAATAAGCAGATATCCATAGCAAATGATGATGCCACAAATGATAATAAGAGGTCTGAAAGATGATAAATAAATTTCAGCTTTGCCAAAGAACATCAGTTTCATAATGAACTGAGCAGGAAGTATAGAGAATTTTTTGGAGCTTTTATTAATAGTGAAATAAGCTCAGGTACATGTATAACAAACTATAAATAATTAGGGTAGAAAAATAATTGTTTGATTCTTGATTCACATGCTAGAGTGATTAGGAAGCCTCAAGTAATGTCTTCAGGTATTCTCAGTAACTCTTCCACTTCTTCTTGTAATGCCTCGGCCTTTTCAGTCAGGAGCATCTGCATCCAAAAACAACCATGTAAAGTCAAATTAACCTGATACAGTATAAGAAACATTTCTGAATGCATTGGGGGGGGGGGGGGGGGAGTTGACAGTTCTCAGGATGATGTATATTTCATTCTCCTGTAGCGGAAAGAGACTCACAAAGACATGACCAGTCTGATCCCTACAAAGCCTATATCACACACTCACACATGCCAGTTTCCAACATGCTGGCACCTATTGGTAAAAGCAAAAACAAAAACAGAACCAAGGAAGGGGTTATGCAGATGAAAGGGCAGGGCTTGATTCTCAGTGGCTATGGTCTCCAGGAGCAAGGGCTAGACTTGACCCTCACTCTTACGGCATCTCCAACTATATCTCTTTACTTTCTCCCATTTTAGTGAAAGCTTACTGTTCATAATGACTTAAGAAGAGCCTGCTGGATCAGGCCAGTGGCCCATCTAGTCCAGCATCCTGTTCTCACAGTGGCCAAACAGATGCCTGTGGAGAAACCAGCAAGTCGGATCCGAGCACAAGAGCATTCAGTCCTATGCAAAAAGCAGACGCTCATTTTTAGGCACCTTCCCCCAATTTCTGGTTAGAGAACTGCATCGCAAAATTCAGAGAAGTGCAAATTTAGAAGGATAATTGTGTCTTGGTTGGCATATTGGTTTGAAAATGTGCAGATTAGACCGTTCCCCATTAAGATTCACAATTTTCATCCCCATTCCTGTCGGTGCTTTTCACAAATTTTACTTGCCTTTGCAGATGAAACTATTTGCCTAGCTTGGCTTCTGGACAAATGCTCAATAGTCTTCACCAGGACGTCTGGATTTGCATTAGCCAAGTGTGCTAAAGTTTTATAACCTGAGTTGTAGAGTTGCTTGGCTCGAGCCTGAGAAAGTGGACAAAAGGCTAATTAAAAAAAAGAGGTGGCAACAAATCTATTCATCACCACCACCAAACCTCTAGTCTCTACCAACCGGTCATATTTCTAGCTACCGTTTCTGATCACTAAATCTTTCATCAAAACAGCCCTTTTTGTATATTAGCTCTGTATATTGATCAAGATCTTTCACCACCTCAACGCACACTAGCCTCAGTAAGTTTTATTGGGGACTATGATAAACACAGAATCAAACGTGTTTGTTTAAAATTCAGGGCTTTTGGAAATATTTTAATAATAATAATAATAATTATTTATACCCCGCCCATCTGGCTGGGTCCCCCCAGCCACTCTGGGCAGCTTCCAACAAAACACTAAAATACAATAACCTATTAAACATGAAAAGCTTCCCTAAACAGGGCTGCCTTTAGATATCTAGTTATATTTAGATATTTATTGTTATTCCCATGTACGAATGCTTTATGGTTTGTATTTTGAGCACATACACCTGTACTAAGAAGATATTTAAAATATTGCACCAGCCACTAAGCTTTTAGCTTTTCAATCCAGCATTTGATGTGGGGTTGCAATATCACTCCTGTATAGAGATGATGCAGTAGGTCTATTTAACAGCAAAACTTACTGAGGAAAGCTTTCAACTTTAGAAAGCTCACTTCAGGGCCATCTCCAATCTGTCTAGTCAATTTCCATAAAAATACTTTCATAAAAAATGACACCAGAGAACTTTGGCTCCATTGGCCAAGTTTATTTTGTCCTCCATCTTGTATTGAAGATGTGTTTGCTGCTCAGGGTGCTTTGCAACACATACGCCACAATCATACTGCAATGGTACACAATTTACAATTCCAAGACAACCCTTTTACTTAGTGCATTTATATACACCCTTTTAAATATGTATCCCAGGGTGGTGTTGACAGCTGTGCAGCTACAATTAATGGTGCATAAAATAACCAAAAGAACACAGAGTTTGAATAACATCCTCAGCAAAAACCGCAATCATTCACTATGACATATCAAACAGCAGCAAAAATCTGTTCCTGTACTGACCCCTCCCAAAGGAACATCATCTCAAAAGCTAACATGGCAAAATGAGACTTGCTGGAGTGATGGGGTCAGAAGCATAGGAATGCAAAGCAGGAAACTTCTGCTGCAGGAATTACATTTTTTTCAGAGCTTGCAAATGTGCTGCTCTTTTGCTGGGTAATAAAACCCTGCTTCCCTGGAAAAGAGAAAGCTGTACCAATCTCAGGTAGTAACAGTCACTTTGAGGGATTTTTTACAAACCATCTTTAAATTCTGCTTGGATTTGTTTGGTGAAAGAATACAGTCGTACCTTGTTTGCGACTGGGATCCGTTCTGGAGCCTTGGCCGCTAGCCAAAAAGGATGCAGGGCAAAGCGCCGCGTCTGAGCATGTGTGTGGAGCGGTTTGCGCTTCTGCGCATGTGCGAGCCGCAAACCCGGAAGTAACCGGTACCGGAATTTCCAGGTTTGCCACGAACGTTTGCTGGAATGGACGCTAGACAAGGTGGATGTTCGCGGAGGTATTACTGTAGTTATTCTGGTTTGTTACGCATATACTGACCTCTAAAACTCCTGCCACCTCCATAAGAGGGATAAGCTCTGCCTTAACACAGTAAGTTAGTCTCTTGGTAAGTTCTGTCAAGAGAGCTTTATAAACCCAAAATTCATTCAGCTCCTGTAAAAATAAAACATAATTTAAAATGTTAGGAAACCCTCATCGTTCAGTCTGGACACTGAGGTCTAGCTCTGAGGGTGAGAAGTGAGGTTACAGGGAACCAGGCAGAGGGCCTTCTCGGTAGTGGCGCCTGCCCTGTGGAACGCCCTCCCAGCAGATGTCAAGGCAACAAGCAACTATCTTACTTTTAAAAGACATCTGAAGGCGGCCCTGTTTAGGGAAGTTTTTAATGTTTGATGCTGTATTGTATTTTTAATATTCAGTTGGAAGCCGCCCAGAGTGGCTGTGGAAACCCTGCCAGATGGGCGGGGTATAATAATAATAATAATAATAATAATGATAATAAACTTTTGTCTGTCCATTTTTGTCAAAAAATTGTCTACCAAAATCCTGCCAAATTTCTGGAAGAGGAAACAGTGGAAGGTCACTGGAACAGATTCCTTGGGTACCATCTTAAAATGCAATGATTCAATAGCAATAGAAGGAGCTAACAGCAAGAAATCCTTTGCTTCTAGTTGACTAATTTCAATGTGGTCCTTTTTAAATTGATTTTTTAATTGAAACATGTATGAAAATACTGTCATAAAAGCACAACGAACTGGTTATTTATTCTCAGCTTCTCCACATGCAAGTTAAGTAAAACAGAATGTGCTGAATGTGGACTACTTTTAAGAAATGCAACTTTAATCAGTTCTGGAATTTGAAAGGGAAGCTGCGTGAACAATTTGGAAAATCTGAAGTAAAAGAAGTTTCTGAGCAACATTTCTGTGTTCCATCAATGAAGTATTCAGCTACTATACATTACCTCACAGAAATGTAGAACTGAGGAGGAGAACGATGCAGCTGAATTAAGAAGGGTTTGAATGAATCCTCGTGATATGTTGAATTTTTCTGCCACCTCCCATACGTTGTTCACTTTTAACAAAGCATGAAGAACCAAGGACAAGTAGAGTCTACTGGCTGTGCCAATGTCCACATCCTAAAGGAATATGGAGTATAATTAGAAATTGAAGACACAATCCAATGGAAAAATTGTTTGAATCTTTCAAGTTATCTGAAATAGTGGAACACTCTTACAATTTTAAATTCATCCATTTCTGAGGCTACCTAAACCATGAAATGCAACATAAGAGGCCACACAAGACAATTTCCAGCTAGGAATTTCAGAAACAAGTAGTCCCAAATATGACAACAAATAAGCTTTAGTATGACTCTAATATGATGCTTTTCCGCCATTCATGTGCAACTAATTTCTGATCTACTTAATGTTAAGGTACTCAAAATTTTAATCCAATCGTTTATGACCAACTCCAAGAAAGGAATCACAGAAGCTCCCCTGAATTCACAATTTTGATGGATAATCCATTCCCACAGTTATCTTTAGACACCTGAAATAAGAAATCTTCCTCTTACCATTCTGACAGCTTGTCCAGAAGCCTTTTTGGTAACAAAGCTCTCCGGAACACCAACAATCTCTGCTACTTGTTGTTCTGCTGGACTTAGCTGACTGTACTAAAAAGCAGAATTAATCTCAGATCTAAAGGAAAGTTACATTCTGCAGAAAACACAGGGCATGCTCTGTGCCTTGTGAGAGACATAGGAGAGTGGCACTGGACTCAACTGTACAGTGTTCTCCTCCCACCACCCAAACTTCGCATGAGAGCAGAGATATGTGCACACTGCATCACCGCAGGGAATCTCTGGGAATGAGAGGTCCCTCCATGAACCCTCCGAGTTCTCTTGTCTTGCCTGGGTGCAAGTTACTCAAATCATGCACGTGCTGGGCTGTGGGAAGAAGAGTCCCGTGACGTTAATTTCTAAAGGCAGTTGCTGCACACGAAATGAAAAACTTCAGACGTGTAACAGATAAAACACTCTTGAGGTATACTGCAAAAAATTCACTAGCTGCACATAAGTTTCAATATCTGCCTTGTAACAAATAATAATAATAATAATAATAATAATAATAATAATCCTTCCCCAGCCAAGGCCGGGCTCAGGGCGGCTAACAACCAATAATAAAAAACAAGTTGAATGAATACAACTTAAAAAACAAGATGAAAATACAACATTAAAACATTAAAATGCAGCCTCATCACAGGAGGAGAAAGGAAAAAAGAAATGCAAAAAGAAAAACCCAGGAGTTTAATGTTAAAAGGTCTGGATCCTGCATGTATCTGAGCATAATTTATTCCCTAGGATATTTAAGACTCCATATGCACAAGGAACAACTCTAGCTGTTCCACTGAAGCTGACAAGAGAGCCTTGTGCTTGCTAAGTTCAGAAAAAGAGAGGAAGGCTCCCAGGGATGCTATGTAAAGATATAAAAATCATCTTCTAGTTGGTTTTTTTTTTTTTTAAAAGGTTACCTGTCTAAAATAGATCATCCAGTTTGGGCTACACTGCAAAACCATACTGTACGGTGTTGTCAGGTAGATTAAATGTAGGCAACTTTCAAGGATTAGCCCCTCAAGGCCTTTCTTCAAGTCTGCATAGAGCGTGTCACAGTACGCCAAATCGATAGAACCTAAGATGTAATAAAAAGGTAGACATCATACAATGGCCCACATTGTACAGATCTGATCTTCAGAATTTGATGAGACATTTCAGCATGTCAACATGTTGGAAGACTGTTAAATGCTCACTACCCTTTCAGGGTGGCAAACCACTTGCTCTTCTTAGCAGGAAGCGCTGTCACCTCAAACTCCATATTTGATCCCCACAAACCAGGTCCAGCAGAGCTTTCCTTGATTCAAGGGGGCATCAGTTCTGTGGGGAAGTAGCCTTTCCTTATGTCTATGACATTCCACACTAAACTCATCACTATCATGGACATGCTTACAAGCATTGTAGAATACACAGTGTTGCTTTGTCTTTCCCATACCTATCTAGTTGGCTGCTCTGCTTGAAAAGATTGCTGAACAGAATGCTGGATGAGATAGGCTTTTAAGTCTGATCCATGTAGCTTACATGCAGATTGAATTTGTGGAGTACTGGGAAATTGCAGTTCCCTTGCAATACGCACCAGGAACATGTTTTACCTATTAATGTTTCCTTCCACCCCAATCTGACAGTCGGACAAGGTCTGAATGTGATTAAACTACAAAAGGAGGATATTTGGGGGGGCAGAAATGAGAAGCTAAAGAGATACTGGATTTATTTTTATACGTCCATACAAAATCAGTAGTTGAGCTGGGAACTGAGATCCATCTTGGCCAGGCTAAGACATTTTGATGAGTGAGGTGAAAATCGAATCGAATCAAATCAAATCCCTTTTCACTTCAGAAAAAGATACAGGCAGCAACCATTTTGCATGGAGGGTCCATTTTTTGTCCCTGCATGCGTTGGCAGAGTGAGCATAAGCCCAACCTGCCCCATTCTTCCCTCTTCCGGGTCCCGTGCATCAGCAGATGCACACAAAATGGTCGCTATCTGTAGCTATAAATTAAAATTATGGAGATTTCCTGCCCCCTAATTGCAGTCAGAATCCAATTCAAGGTAGCCACTTCATTCTGCCTGCTGGTAAGACTGGCCTTGCGTGACTGTATTTTAATAGATCCCAGAGGGAGGTTTTATACCTTTGTACGTGGCTTGACCCAACCTAGTGATAACTAGAATTTGTCCACCATCGCAGCTTGTATTATCTTTTAGGAGTCCATTTTGTTTCAGCCCTTGCAATACTTCCGTAGTTACATCCCGGAGGCTCTTTCCTTCAGGCAAGAGCTGTGGCTGGACACTAAACAAGGTTAGTTGCATGAACTGGAAAACCTCTTCAGGACTGGTTGCTATCTGTAGTGGAACACAACAGGACAAACGAGAGTATACAAAGACTAAAAAATACCAAAAAAAAAAAAAGAGTTTGGTGTTTCGTTATTCTACCTGAAACCTTCCCTCCCCCAATCAGTCTTCTTAATACAATCAACCAGTTTTAAGGTTTCAAAATTACCTTTAATCCAACCAATGATAAGATTAAACTCCGGATACCCTTGTTGAACTCAAGCAGGAGATTGCTGTAACAGCTTTCCAGAGGGCTGTATACTAACTTTTGAACCTTAAAAAAAGAGCAACAGCTATGTGAATGCAAATTATAAAATATGGCATATTTGTACCTAATGTTCCTAAAAGATTATCTTCTCCATTATGTCCTAACAAGATCTCCCCAAGATCTGCACTGCTTTAACCACTGCATTAACTGTGAATCAACTGCCCTGTTCTGTAATGCCTTACAAATCAAGTCATTTGCAGCTAGGAGTAGCATCTTCTCCGAAACTTCATGCTTATGGAATGACCTCTTTCTCGGGGAGTGGCTGTGACTATATAATGTCCATCTATTAATGAAACCTTTGGGCAGTAACAGCTCTTGGCTCTTTACAACTCCTTTTGAGTTTTTAGGATGTATGATAGTTTGCCCTGTCTTCTGCTGTTGCATTTTAAAAATTGTGGGTTTGCTCTGCTTGACTACAGCTTTAAATGCTGGTTGTAATCTGTCTTGAGCTATTTTGGAAAGTTATAAAAGTTTTAAATAAAAACAAACAAAAAGGATACAGAACAGAGCTATTCTCAGAGGATGCTTCCCAGATCTACAGATCTATTCCTCTTCAAATTTACTGGGGATAGTTTTCAATGCTAGTCCTACTCAGAGTAGATGCATCGAAGTTAATGGACATGATTAACTTGTGTTCAGTAATTTCAGTGAGTTTACTCAATGTAGAACTTAGCTGAATACGACACTGAGCCTTTTTCAGTGGTGACTTAAGACTACAATTTAGGAATTGGTTTAACAGATAAGAAAGCAATTATTTCAGCTGTACATACCTTAACAATGCCTATGTTTCATATTTTAAATATGTGGATTTATAATTTATAATCAGTATTTTATTTTTTCATATATCACATTTTTGTTTTAGAATGCTATCTACCCAAAGCCCATGCAGGCAGGCAGTTTATCTTATAAAACATTTTCTAAAGTCAGTATGTTATGTTACTGGGTGGTGATGCTATTTTATGATGAGATATCATTGGTTTTCAAGATGAGGTACTGGCCTTGCTTAACATATAATAAAAGAAAAAGGGCCTTTAAATATACTTCCTAAAAGGATGATCAAATTATTTCAGAGCACGCTTACATTTAAAAATTTGACCATCACCCCATATTACGCAATTGACTTATACTGATAAGTGTGAAAAGCAAATTTTTTTTGCTTAAGTTACCTGATTCCGGTCTTTCTCTTGCGCGATAAGAATGCTTTCACCAGCTTTGTCAATACCGGCACGGCCAGCTCTGCCTATCATCTGTTTATACTGGTTTTTCTTCATGAATTCTGTTGCAACATATGGAGCTCTTAAAATGACCCTGTGGAAACATTGAGAATGTGTTTTAATTATCGTATATAATGTTCAAAGAATTTGATTTTTTTTTAAAGTATTACTAAAATGAAGAAAGCAAAATGCATCAGATTGTTGGAACCCCAACATTCCTCAGAATTGTTACAGTGCATACAGTTATACAAATTTTTACACCATAGCAACTTTTGACTTTGGAGCACCTTTTATTTCTGAAATATGCTCTAAAGGCATGTAAGAATCTGGCCAACATTGCATGCAACAGGGGACACAGCAACAGTATCCTTAATAGCCAAACTCTAGAATTCCGTTATGTTCTCTGCCTGCTGCTACTGAGAGAATCAAGAATAGTTAGACCAAAAGACAAGTATGCTACATCCAAGTACTGTAACTTGATTTAGATTTAATCATAGAATTTTGTAGTTGGAAGGAACCAAGAGGGTCATCTAGTCCAACCCCCTTGCGATGCACGATTTGTCCAACATAGGGCTCAAACCCACAATTCTGAGATTAAGTCTCATGCTCTACCGACTGAGCTATCCTCAGAATTAATGAGTAGGCAGCAGCTGAGCAGCAAAGGAAACACCTGAACAGTTCCTTAAGGAACACTAAAATCATCAAGACTAATCCTGCAAATTCCGTTCCTTCTTCGTCATGGCCAGAAGTGCTTCAAGGAGGAATCATTGAAGAGTGAAATGAGACTGGAAAGGGAAGTTACTCGCTATCTCTAGTACTATACTGGTCATACGTGAGCCCATGCAATAGGAACTACAGAGCATCTTCACACCAGACCCTGAACGCAGGCCTAGTACATACCAACAACAAATAAGGGGGTAAATCTGTTTCTGCAAATTATCACTTCTGACTCCTGCATTTCTTTTGTGTATGGGAGGAGGGAAGGGGGCTCAGAGGACAAAATGTTCTATGTAAAAACATTTCCCTGCATACAGAATGCTAGCACGTCAGGAAAAGGTCCCTGAGCTCTCGTTTTCTGGTCAGCTTCCGATGCCCTGCTGGACCCCTGCCTCTGGCTTCATGCTCCTGAGTGAAGGAAATGTTAAAATCTGTTCCATGCTCCACATGATAAAAACAGAAAGACGCAACATTTCTTAAAGATTAACCTTCGAGCTGGCAAGTTAACCCCAGCAGCAAGGGTAGAGGTGCAGGTAAGGAGACAGAGGATTCCTGAAGAGTAAGCTTCCTCTATTCGTTTTCTTTCCTCACTGGTAAGGCCACTATGGTGATAGGAGATTCCATATGGAATTGTTTGCTTCAGTACTGGGCAAAGTCTTCCATTGCAGATGTTTCTCAAATCTGTAAGAAGATCGCGTTTTTCTTTCTCCTTCAACTTTTTATAGTCTCTAGGAAAGAAAAGTACACTTAGATTATGTTTGCATACCAACCATCTTGGCTATTCCACCTGACTTTCAATTTGAACTTAGCCTGATCTTTTATTCCCCTTCCTTCCCTCCCCCTGGCCTTTTATGAAGATTACCCGCTCTGGGATCCCACAGCTAATTCTCCCCTGGTCTCCTCGCTGGCCCAAATAGGACTAATGTAGCCAGCTAGCCCTGGTGATCATCTAATGTTTATTGGATGGATTTCCCCCCTAAATTGATTTTTGAATTCTGAATTTATTGTTATTCACGTTTTATACTGTATTTTATGCTGTTTTCTGTTGCATCAATTGTGTTTTAAATTTGTTGTTAGCCGCCCTGAGCCCGGTTTTCTGAACCGGGAAGGGCAGGGTATAAATAAAAATTTACTTATTTATTTATTATGTGTCACACAGTGCTAAATTATTCATAGTCTCTCCCTTTCTCCATCAACATCGCTGCCACAACACAGAATTATATGGTACTTCAAAGGTTGTTATTCTGGACACAATAGTACCATCACACCCTGCAGTACTCAACAGTTTGCTCAAGCTGCAGATATAATCCTACAGGGTTATACATGATCCTGTTTGATCAATGCATACCATTCTGATCACTCTGCTTGCAAAGGGAAGAAACAGGCCTCTGTATCAACATTAGTAAATTCCGAGGTTAATTGTAAACACGCCAATCAAGTAAGTATATTGCATCCAGGAAGCATACCTGTTCAAGTGCTTGCAAATCATTTCTGCTACGTTTTCACAGTTCTTTTTAGTGGGACAGAAGACAAGGCAGGAGTACTTTGGAATAACTTCCGTCACCAGCGCAATAAGGTGATCAGGGTCAGTCTTCTGCAGACCAGTAGAATACTAAAAGATAACACAGTTTTGTTTCTGTTCTGGATAACTTTGTTGTGCCTCAGTTACCGGTAATCAAAATATTCAAACAAAACTTCAATGTATTTGACGTTACAAACTTATCCATGACTGAAGCCTCCATTTTAAATTGTTGCTTTAAATGAAAAAATAATAATACAAAAATAGCACCCATTTCTTTTGTCATTTTAGTATCCCCCACCTAAGGATACTAGAATCAGGACCATACATTCTCTGCTGGTAAAATACACACATATCAAACATTATCTGTAAACAAAGTAAGCAATTCTATTATTATTACTACTACTACTACTACTATCTAGACTGATTTGCATTTTTAGAGCCAGTTGTTTTTGTTAGACACAAGGAAGTACATGTTGAAGCATATTACTTTAACTGGCTATGGATAAATGTTAAAGCAAAACTTTTAATGCTTATTGACATTACCTTGAAATTAAGAAGACGTGAAAATCTAAAGCCATCTTCCGCTTTGTTATCAACTTCATAGATTGTGTCTCGTATTTTTACATATTCTTTCAGTTCGACCTATATTTTTTCAAATGTACATAGAATAATTAGATTATGACTTCTATTGAGAAAAAGCCATACTGCGGATGTAATGTGGAAGGCATTTGAAAAGAGAAGAGTAGCTTATTTTTTTTCTTAAAAGAAAAAAAAATGCATTATTCTTTTTGCCTTTCCTAAAAATCACAAATACTGTAAATTGAAACACTTTCTTGAATTATGGTGTCTGTGGCTTTTACGTTTTGTAAGATATTTTCCTTATGACTTGTTTTACAAAGAGGAATCCGTAAACTCATCTTTGCCACAATAGTGATTAGAAGGTAACATATTTTAAAGAAATTTGACCATATAAAGCTAAACATTTGAAAGGCTAATAATGAATGCTATGTTCACTGTCAAATTAAATGCCTGGAAAAAACAACAAATACCACTTTTCACCAAATTAAATGCCTAAAAAGCTCAGAAAGGAAAAATGCCTTCTCATCCCTTCAGTTAGTTCAAAATGGTCAATATGCAACATTTACCTCTAAGAAAGTCAACAAGTTCTCTAGTCAAATACATACTGGTCTGAAATTACTGGTGTAATATTCCGCTTTCAGGAATTGCTGCAGATCTCCAACGTTATTTAAAGTTGCACTCATTCCAATGATCTGAGTGGTTTCTATACAAAATATAGCAACATACTTTGAAATATTACCCTCAATGTATCATAGAAGAATAGTAAAGGAAAGTCATAGTATCTCATATTTCAAACAGAACAAGACAATCACTTTCTTCATTAGATAAATAGCAAGAGCAGCATCAACCTCATAATCACCCTTTTTGACTAATTGCACTGGATATTGTTAAGACTGACCCACAAAATGCAGCCCTGGATAACTCTAAGCTGAGGTGGCAAAACTTCCTAAGTCTACAGTTACATAATAAAGTATTTGTATATCTGAGGCTGCAATGGTACCGTATTTTTTGCACCATAACACTCACTTTTTTCCTCCTAGAAAGTAAGGGGAAATGTCTGTGCGTGTTATGGAGCGAATGCCTGCGGGTGGCGGGGGGGGGGATCTGCTGCAGTCGTGAGCAGAGGATCTACGGTTCCCCTTCCTTCCCTCCTCCGTGGTTACAAAGCATGGATCCACATGGATCCTCAGGATTTTGCATTGGGCTACTCCAAACTCACTGTCAGATCACATGTCTGTGGCCACAGCATGAACCACAAAAATCATATATCCACTATTTCGTTTAGAATATTTTTTTTCTTGTTTTCCTCCTCTAAAAACTACGTGCGTGTTATAGTCTGGTGTGTGTTATAGAGCGAAAAATACGGTATTCAGATTAACTGGGGAATAATTTCAGTGGAAATCAGTGGGACTTGCTGCCAAAATAAGCAGACAAAACAGAGCTATCCCTATCATGAGGCAGAGTGAGGCAGCTGCCTCAGGCAGCAGTGGCTGTTCTTCCTAAGACCCATGGCTGTACCTTTCTGTTGAAGGAAAGAGCTCTCCTTGCTACATAGCCTGTTGCCTCCCATGCTCCCTCCATCCTAGGGTGTAGCTTGAAAAGGTGAACAAAACAAAAGATAAAGAGGGTACTTTTTATCACATGTGGTGGACCTGCCCCAAGGTGAAAGACTTCTGGGAGAAGATTTATAATGAATTGAAAAAAATGTTGAAATATACATTTACTAAGAAACCAGAGGCCTTTCTTCTTGGAATAACAGGTTTGGAATTGCCCAAGAAAGATGTTAAATTATTTTTGTATGCCACAACTGCTGCTCGAATTTTATTAGCTAACAAGTGGAAAACACAAGAAGTACCAACAGTGTAAGATTGGCAGATGAAGATGATGGACTTTTTGGAGCTAGCCGACCTGACTGGAAGAGTTTGTGACCAGAAGGAGGAGGATTACCAAGAAGAATGGACGAAATTTAAAGACTATTTAGTTAAATATGTTAAGTTAAATTAATTGGAGAAGCTTGCAAATACAGATAGGCTTAGGATTTAATCAGGTAATGGGATGAATTAGTATGTTTAATACTGAATTGGAAAGGAAAACAAAAAGATGTTAAGTGATTAAGTTAATTTTATAAGAACAGTAGTTTTGGAAAACCATTAAAATGATATACACTGAAATTCAACCAGGGGGATACGAGGAAGTCACTTAACAATGTTACTAAGTTTGGTTTAAATACGGTAGAGATTTATGTTTATTTATTTATTTGTTTGTTTAAAAAACATTTGGAAAATCAATAAAATTTTTTGGGGGAAAAAAGAAAAAGTGAACAAAACAAACCTCAGTATATACAAATAGGCTACTTGATTTGTTTAATTTGTATTTCTCTTTACCATCTTGAAATAATTTTAAACTTCATGTTGCCAGTGTTATTTGATGTTTTATTTTGTATCGCTAACAGCTGCCAACTAACATGCTCTCTGAGTGGCTCACAAAAATTAAGAATGAAATACAAATAAAAAATACAAAACAATACAAGTGGAATATATTTTATGCTTCCTGGGCTCTGGGGGCTTGAGATGAAAAATAAGCATTTAAAACACTTTACATGTTGAAATATACTATTACACAGACAAATTACATACGTTTTTAGAAACGGCACAATTGATGTAGCTATTATTTGAGTCCAAGACGTGCAGAAATTACTTACTGCTTGTATAAAGAATCTTTGCAAGAGTCATTTCTAGAACAGCCCCACGACTTCCTTCTCCAACCATGTGCAACTTCAATTAAAGAAAGGTGTAAAGAGATCATGAGAGTAGGAAAGAATCAGAACCCAAGAACACTATGAACGTTAAAATGGAGATCAGATTTCTTTGGCATACATGCTGCATTTTGACCCACCTCCCTCTTTAAAGCTATAGGCTTGGTTCTCTGGCATAGTGTGGGGAGACCAATTAATGTCAGTCTCAAAACACATTTTTATATTTTGTGTTGGTTACAATTGAATCCAAGTATGTGTAATATTACTAGTTACCAATACAGAATCTTGAATATATTTCAACCAGTTAGGGATTATTTAAAAAGACAAGTGCCCATTAATATAAATAAGTAGCACAGTGCAACTTCTACAAACAAGTTTGAATTTATAAATAAATTAAAAGCATTTTAAAATAGTTTCAGGAGTTTTATAACAAACCTCATCAACCACAACTAGACCCAGGTCACCAATTCGCTCGGTTTCGATCAAGGAATTCACTAGGGTGTGCCCTCTTTCAATAGTAGCAATGTACAGAGATTTCTTAAGCCTTCTTTTGATTGGAGGAATCCTTCCTCTACTTCCTGCATATTCTTCAACCAGAAAACCTAGTTCCATTCCAAAACCCGACAAACCAGCAACCTACCATATGCAATAAATAAACAATAAAAACACAACTGAGAATTCTTTTTTTACAAGTATTATCAAAATTTTATACCAGTAACATGTTTGCAAGCAGCTTATAATAGAGACCAGCTGCTGCAGGCAAGCTTTATTTCACAGCTATTTTTATAAGGGTTCAGTGGCACTACATCTCAAAATCAGTAAGTAAAATATCAACTGTCAAATGAAGAATGCCTGTCCAGTGCTGTGCTCATTTCCTCAGAAGTGAATCCCACAGAATTCAGTAATTCCAGTTAAGGAGACCTACCTGCATAAAAGAGCTTTAAAACAGCTTCCTTTGATTATCTGCTCCCTAGGGCTCCCACACTTCATCTTTAGACTGATCACATGCAGACCCCCGCCATTTAACCACCAGCCAGTTACCATATTTTTCGCTCTATAAGACACACTTTTCCCCTCCTAAAAGTAAGGGGAAATGTGTGTGCGTCTTATGGAGCGAATGCAGGCTGCAAAGCTATCGCTGAAGCCTGAACAGCAAGAAGCCTCTTCAACATTTGATTCAGAATATTTTTTATTCTTGTTTTCCTCCTCTAAAAACTAGGTGTGTCTTATGGTCAGGTCCTATAGAGTGAAAAATACAGTATTTCCCCCTCTCCCACTCGTTTTGTTTATCACTAGCCTGATTAAGAGTACTAGAGAAAGCTTGCACACTATTTGGGGGCATTTCTATTGGCCTGATCATCCTAAAATGGATTTTGGAACTCCCAATTAAGTGTGCACAGGGTTGCAGCCCATCACTTTCAGAAATTTATGCAAAAAAGTTGAAGTATACTACAAGGATGCATAAGGATAAAAAGCCTATTATTTCCACACCTTCTCCTGGACTATAGCCACGTATGGTAGGATCATTAAAACATCCATTTGTTTGCAGAGTAATTCTTGAAGAATTAAAATTTCAGCTACAAGTGTTTTTCCACCGCTGGTTGGCAAAGAGTATATTAAATTCTTTCTCTGCTGCAGGGATTCTAACGTTAAACAAGCGTGCTGCCAGTCTGTAAAAATAAGAAGACAGGTGTTACCCTTCTATTCAGTGATTAAAGATCAAAATAAGAGTCTTTTGGGATTCTGCAAATTGTTCACTAAACAGGATCATTATTGGTCAATTTGTTAGAGGATGGTGCTGATAATTCCAAGGTTACAGGTTCAATCCCCATATGGGACAACTGCGTATTTCTGCATTGCAGGGGGTTGGACTAGATTATCCTCAGGGTCCCTTCCAACTCTATGATTAGCACAGAATTTAATACTACAACAAGCAGTACAGTGGTATTACCATAAAGTTTGTCAATTCCTCTGAACTCTGCTAGCAGCTCCTTGACCTTGGTTGGCAATCCATAAAATGGACCAATGTCAACAAAGGAAGCACTGTGAGTTCTCTCAGCAACCCCAATCTCTTCAGATACAACAGCCTCTTTGAGTTGTTTGCTTTTAGACACCAGTGAAGCAGGAGCTCTTGCATTTTCAGTCATTGCACTTTTGAGATGATCTTTGAGACTCCTCCTCCTTGGTTCAGACAAAGAACTTGTAGATGGTTCACTATCTTTTTTAACATTGTCTGTATCATGACAATGAGGTACATCTGATATCTTATCAGGACTTTGATTCTGGTGATAGGCTCTTTCTTTTACATTTGCCACTTTGTGAGGATGAATCAGGCATTCCTCTGATTGTTCAAGAAATAAAAGCTGTGATGATGGCAGGTTTTCTAGACTATCACCATGAGGATCTAGACTGCTATCCTTCTGCTCTTTCATAGTGCTTAAAAAATCATATTTTCTTCTGCTTCTGGAGTCGGTGGTTGATTCTGGAATTGGCAGTATCTGTTCTATATTCTTAGCATTTTGTAGCTGAACATCTCCACATACTGGCTCGACATAAGTATTGCAATCTAGGTTTTTAATATCCAGGACACCATCAGTGGACTTCATGCATCTTTGCTCTAGGTCATGTACTTCAGCTAACAAAGAGTTGGTGCCAGAAAAACTGTCATAATCCCCAAACAATTCAACTTCACTGTCAAGATACTGCAAGAAATAAAAATCCGAATGAGTTTTTATAATATTTAGCATTTACATTACCTTAGAGAGTTTAATGCAATTCAGACACATTATCTCAATAACCCTTATGGCAATCTATTAAGGTAGAAGAGTAATATTATTCTCACTGTTCAGAAGGTGAACTAAGACATAATTTATCAAGGACCATCTAATGAGATTTTGCATGAGACAAGTTATTGTTTTTGGCTCTGTGTCATTAACAGCATTCAAAAGTGGGAAATTAAACAGCGAAACTTTCCCTGTCTCATGCTTTAAAAGCTTCCTCTGTTTAGCTTGCTTCAGGTTATTTTTAGAAGAGCATAAAAATGATGGCAGTTCTACTAAGATTTACAGGACAATGAAATGTGACCCTGGTTCAAACACTGACAAAATTCATCTAAAATTCACTAGTTTCTTCAAATTAATGTTTAAATTAGATAGATTCCAACAGTAAAATGCACAGCATAGGTTTGTTTCATCTGCCAAAAAGCCAATTAGCCTCCACAATCACTGTTGTCAAAATTTCTTTACAAGTCTCACAGAGCGGGAAGGGCTTGGAAAACATTACTCTGGATTCCTTTCTACATTGGAAGCTGGCTCATACTGAATTGCAGTCCCTTGGCTTCACCTAACTCAGTATTACAACTGAAAGGCAGTGGCTATCCAAGATTTCAGAAAGAAGCCCTTCCCAGCTCCACCTGGAGATGTCAAAAGATTGAAGTCTGCATGCAGAGCAGATGCTGTACCACTGAGCAATGGCCCTTGCCCTTTGGGGAAACATCCCAGAAAAGCAAACAGGAAGACAACACAGCAGATCCACCTCCTCGGCTGGGCTCCCCCTTGCCAAATCCCACGAGGGCCACCCCTTCCTGCTGCACTTCTGCGAAGGGCCACATGCACTGACAGCACAAGAATTCATACTTCCAACCACAGTGCCGCTGCGCCTAACAGGTGCATTGCGCTGGGTGGGAATTATTCCTGAAGTCTTGAGTATACTCTGTGAAAGGCAGCAGGGAGCATCTCCTTTTGCATGCAGGTGGTCTCAGGTTCAAATCCCAGGGAGGGCTTGGAAACCTTGGAAAGCCAGTACTGGTGGGTGAAGGTAATATTGAGCATGACAGACAGGCAGATAAATCCCTCTGCTCCTAAGCCCACAGGGGAAGGGCTGCAGCTTAGTGGGGCTCTCACTTGTGGGGTGCCTCAGAGTTCTGTCCTCTCCCCCATGCTTTTCAACATCTACATGCAGCCACTGGGAGAGATCATCAGGGAGTTTGGGCTGGGTGTTCATCAGTATGCGGATGATACCCAGCTCTACCTCTCTTTCAAATCGGAACCAGTGAAGGCGGTGAAGATCCTGTGTGAGTGTCTGGAGGCGGTTGGAGGATGGATGGCGGCTAACAGATTGAGGTTGAAGCCTGACAAGACAGAAGTACTGTTTTGGGGGGACAGGGGGCAGGCGGGTGTGGAGGATTCCCTGGTCCTGAATGGGGTAACTGTGCCCCTGAAGGACCAGCTGCACAGCCTGGGAGTCATTCTGGACTCACAGCTGTCCATGGAGGCACAGGTCAATTCTGTGTCCAGGGCAGCTGTTTATCAGCTCCATCTGGTACGCAGGCTGAGGCCCTACCTGCCCGCAGACTGTCTCGCCAGAGTGGTGCATGCTCTAGTCATCGCTTGCTTGGACTACTGCAATGCGCTCTACGTGGGGCTGCCTTTGAAGGTGACCCGGAAACTACAACTAATCCAGAATGCGGCAGCTAGACTGGTGATTGGGAGCGGCCGCTGAGACCATGTAACACCAGTCTTGAAAGACCTACACTGGCTCCCAGTACGTTTCCGAGCACATTTCAAAGTGTTGGTGCTGACCTTTAAAGCCCTAAACGGCCTCGGTCCAGTATATATGAAGGAGCGTCTCCACCCCCATTGTTCTGCCCGGACACTGAGGTCCAGTGCTGAGGGCCTTCTGGTGGTTCCCTCGCTGCGACAAGCCAAGTTACAGGGAACCAGGCAGAGGGCCTTCTCGGTAGTGGCACCCGCCCTGTGGAAAGCCCTCCCACCAGATGTCAAAGAGAACAACAACTACCATACTTTTAGAAGAAATCTGAAGGCAGCCCTGTTTAGGGAAGCTTTTAATGTTTAACAGACCATTGTATTTTAATATTTTGTTGGAAGCCACCCAGAGTGGCTGGGGGGACCCAGCCAGATGGGCGGGGTATAAATAATATATTATTATTATTATTATTATTATTATTGGCAGCACAAGGTCCCAGGTTCAAATTCCCCGCGGCTGTTCTTTAAGGGCATAGGCTTGCAATCCTGGAGATGCTGCCAGCCCGTGTAGGCAATACTGAGCTCGATGGATCTGTGGTCTGAGAGGAGGTTGGGGCCCAGAGTCAATGTGGGTACCTCATCCTCCGCTTCCCCGGTGCTCAGCTTCTTGGGAGCCGGCGGGGAGCGGGAGGAAGTCCGGCTGCAGCTCCCCTTTTCTTCGGCAGGCTCGGCTCCCGACCGCTGCCTTTTCTGCCGCCGCTCCCGCGCCCTCCTCACAGCGACCCCGTCGCCCTCCATCGGGCAGCGGCATAGCCTAGCACCGGGCTCCCCCGCCAAGCCGGCACCGGGCGGGCGGGCGGCGGAGGAGCAGGAGGAGAGAGCCGTTTCCCGTGAGGGTAAGCCCCGGCTCCATCACCTCCCGTTTGCCTTCACCCCTCTGGACACAAATGGAACCGCCCAGCTCGCCTCACAGCCGCGTTCTTGCCCCTGGGAGGGCGATTCCAACTGCTATAGAAAGAGGGGGAAAGGAAGAGATATAGTTGACCCGAGCAGCTCCGCCTTCCCCCTCAACGGCTATTGTTCTATAATCTATAGGACATGGCATTACGGCGGCCTTCCGCCGCACCGGTGCCCTCTTGGACTACAACTCCCATCAGCCCCAGCGGAGGGCAGTTGTAATTTGTATCAGGGCAGTTGCAGTTTAAAATCCCCAATAGGCAAAGGCTGTGAGGGCTATTTGTGTGTGATTGAAGGTGCGTGCAGGGTGTTACGTCACTTCCCGTTCATGAGCCCTTTGAGGAGAAGCTTAGGAAACGGAAATGTGGGTATAAGAAAACTCGACCCAATGACCGTTGAGCGAAGGCGGGGCAAGGAGTGAAAGCCGTGCTACGATTGGACTCCGTGTTTTGTTGACAGTTCGCACTGGGGGCCCTTGCGGCTTCTTCCCGGCGCGGCGCATGCGCGAGGCCTAAAACGTGTCACGGGACAGGAAATGTACCGAGAGGGAAGGATTTAGGTGCTGCTCTGTGCGTTTTCCGCAGCGGAAGCTTGGAAGGCGGAAAACATGGCTGCCTTGGCGATGGCAGCCAAGGACTCAGGGCGAGTTTTCTGCCTCTTCGCTGGCGCAAGGAAGGGCGCTGTTTCCTCTGGTGCAGGTAAGAGACGGAAGGTCCCAGGGAGGGAGTTTGCTTCTTTCGCTAAGGCGTAGCCTGCCTCAGGGCCGGATTTAGGTTTGATGAGGCCCTCAGCTGCTGAAGGTAATGGGCCCCTTTATATGGTCAGCTGTCCTTTGTCAACAACAAATTGTCACTGTTTTTTGTGTTGAATATATGTTATATGGTAATTTATGGACCTAATAAGTATCTAAAACCATTTGGACATGTTGCCTTGCAACCAGTCCATGCAGAATGTAAGGTAAAGGTAAAGGGACCCCTGACCATTAGGTCCAGTCATGGCCGACTCTGGGGTTGCGGTGCTCATCTCGCATTATTGGCCGAGGGAGCCGGCGTACAGCATCTGGGTCATGTGGCCAGCTTCTGGCGAACCAGAGCAGCGCACGGAAATGCCGTTTACCTTCCCGCTGGAGCGGTACCTATTTATCTACTTGCACTTTGATGTGCTTTCGAACTGCTAGGTTGGCAGGCGCAGGGACCGAGCAACAGGAGCTCACCCCGTCTTGGGGATTCAAACCGCCGACCTTCTGATCGGCAAGTCCCCTAGGCTCTGTGGTTTAACCCACAGCGCCACCCACGTCCCTATGCAGAATGTAGGCACCCTATATATAGAAGTGAGCAAACCAGTGATATTTTAGGGAGCAGGCTAGCAGGCAGGGCCCATTAATTACATCATTGGAGCCTACACAACATAAAACACTGTTGCTGTATGTAGGTTTTATTTTATTTGTTTTTTAACTTATATTTTGGAAATGTACATCCAGTTTTTTTTTCCTTTAAAATTTTTGGGGCCCCAAGAAAGTGGGGCCCTAAGCTATAGCTTGTTTAGCCATCCAGCACTGGCCTGCCTTGTGCAGGCTGGGGGAACGGATAATAGGAACACCTAAGAGCTTTAAGCTTGAATAAACAAAAGAAATGGGCACCGTTTTTCTATGCATTGCAACGTAGTAACATGCAGCACAAAACCTATGTACGTTTATTACTAGGAAGTAAGTCGTCAATAAGTGGGCACACTTTTGAAGTGTTAAAATAACTGCTTCATATTTCTTCAGAAGGGACGCGGGTGGCGCTGTGGGTTAAACCACAGAGCCTAGGACTTGCAGATCAGAAGGTCGGCGGTTCAAATCTCCGCGACGGGGTGAGCTCCCGTTGCTAAGTCCCAGCTCCTGCCAACCTAGCAGTTTGAAAGCACGTCAAAGTGCAAGTAGATAAATAGGTACCACTCTGGTGGGAAGGTAAACGGTGTTTCCGTGCGCTGCTCTGGTTCACCAGAAGCGGCTTAGTCATGCTGGCCACATGACCCGAAAGCTGTACGCCGGCTCCCTCGGCCAGTAAAGCGAGATGAGCGCCGCAACCCCAGAGTCAGCCACGACTGGACCTAATGGTCAGGGGTCCCTTTACCTTTTTTATTTCTTCAGAATAGCATGGGTGTAAGTAGCTCGAGCTAGGCTTAAATCCCTTATGCTCTACAGATATATTTAGGAAGAGCAGCTCCTCAAGCAAACCCTGAACCACATTATATATTAACTCTATAATTCTGTTCATTACGGCACTATTTGTAGATGTCCAAGGGTCTACATAACCCCATTGTGAAGCCAGATGTCTAGACTTACATATGCATTCATTGGCTCAAGGGCTGAAGCGGCTCAGCTTTTTCATAATGCTCATCAGTGTTGTATTTCAGAGTTCTGAACCTAGTGGAACTGAGGCTGATTTCACTAGAATCTGCACTTTGGATTTGGCTTGGTCTGGAATATTTCCCTTGTGCGTGTTGGACCTTACAAAAGCCTTTAGAGAGAGCTTGTGTCACAATAATTTGTTGATGACATTGACTTGTGCTGATCCCTAGTAGATACCATCCACACAGGTTGTGGCCTATGCACTGCATGCTCGGCTCTTTCCATCTTTTTTTTTTAACTTGGTGTGCATTCTTACCCACCCATTTTAGCAGTGAATGCAATTAATTAGAAAATCTACTCTGAGGGATTTCCCCCGTTTGATCATCTTTGCATCCAACTGTGTGTCGTGGAATGCCAAAGCTGGTGATTGGGAGCTTTCCTTAGCCTGTGTGCACTCTTTCTGAAGTAGTTGAAATCAATAGTATAGTACTGCTTGCTGAATTCAATAGGAACACTACATTGCACCTCCTCCAGCCCACTTGGCTTCTGTGCTTGCTGTGGAGGAAGGGAATTTGCTTCCTCTTGAGGCTAGCATGAAACTAAGGGGGCTGAAAGAGGAGAGTGATCTGTTCCTCCTCTACCAGCCTGCTCATTCCTCTGCATGGATTTCCATACAGCTGCCTGCATGGGACTCTTTCTCATGTGTGGTCACTATGTTAAATATAAACACAAAACCTGTGCTAACATCAGGGGTGGGGTGGGGAACCATTGCTGGTATATTAATGCATATCTGTTGGGTTATGATAAATCTCCACAAAAGTATTAAAAAGGGGAGATGGGCTTTGGGTACTTTAACATTAATTCTTTGCTAGCTTTAAATTTCTTGTGAATACTTAAAAACATGTTGTGAGTGTGCTTTGTTACATATGTCTTTTCCAGTTGCATCATGGAGACGGGAGTGTAGTTCATATAGTGAACAGTTGTCCAGTAATGCAGATATGGTAAGAAATGTGTGTTACAATTAACATTCTAATCAGCCTACATATTTTTGAAAGTTTTCAAACTCAAAACATAGGATGGTAGTGGTTTGCACAGGTTGTACAATGACAATAAAGGTATTATTATTATTAAAGAAAATGTGTTGCAACTGCACTTTTTGCTGTGAAACTGCACAGGAGTCAGTATAAAATATATAAGAGCGTAATCAGGTATTTCTACTTTATTTAAGGCTCATTATCAACTGTAGACTGTAAACATAGAAGACACCTTGTTGGAAGATAGCCGAAGTAAAAATGAGTGTTTCAAAATTACAGTGTTTACAACAATCTTAATTTATTTACTCTGAAAACTGTGACGCATAAAATACAGAACTTGTTTGGCAAATAATTAAAAGAAACTTTGTGTCAAGTTGGAAAGTGGTGCCAAAATTACCAAGGAAGAATGGCTAAGGCTGTCAGTGGTAGCTAACCACAACAGCTATGCCTCTGAATGCTTGTCTCTGGGATTGACAGGTGGGGAGACTGCTGTCTTGCTCAGGTTCTGCAAGTGGCTTAGGCATCAGGTTGACAACAGGCTGCTGGCCTAGAAGGTCTCTTGGTCTGATCCAGCAAGGTCCTTATGAATCTCCCCAGGTGATCTTAGGCCAATCACTGCCTCTTAGCCTATTTTATTTATTCATTTATTTCATAAAAAATTATATACTGCTTAATTGTAGAAAAAACCCCTCAAAGTGTTTTACAAAAAGGAAAAAACAATAAAAAACTACAACCATAATTAAAAACATACAGAAGGTTAAAACCACAATATAATAGATTAAAACAAATCAAAACTCACGCAAACTTTCTAAACATCTGGGTAGGCTTGTCCAAAAATGAATGTCTTCAGTAGGCACCAAAAAAGAATACGGTGAAGGTGCCTGCCTGATATTAAATGTTTGACCACAGCCTGGTATAAATTACACTAGCCAATGCATGTAAAACAAAGTGCCAGAAATATGGTTAAAATTTCTACCCCGCCTTTCCTGTACTAGGATGGTACACAAGGGATTGAGATGTAGCAACATTTTATGGGCTGAGTACATATATACGAGGGGAGACAATCAAGAAGATTGATCAATGACGGATTCTGTTCTTACATTTAAAGTTTAATATAAGAACTATGTGGCAATTTTAAGATAAGTTAAAAAACTGCCCAGAAGCAGCCTTTTGCTTTTTTTAGACTATTCTATAAAACAGTTCTAACTAGAAGCCCCATTTGGTGGGTCAACCAAATAGACAGGTACCATATATCTATGCTAGAGTCCAACCTAGGGCTGATTTTTGTGTAACATTTGCAAGGCACTTGCCCTGTATGATAGTATCATGTCTGCTTCAGCACTTAAGCCAGCAGTTCTCAACCTGTGGGTCCCCAGATGTTGTTGGACTACAGCTCCCATCATCCCTGAGCTCTGTCCTTTCTAGCTAGGGGTGATGGGAGTTGTAGTTCAACATCTGGGGACCCACAGGCTGAGAAAGGCTGACTTAAGCAGTCAGTACTAAAAGAAAGTAGAAAGACACTTCTGCTAAAACTATTTCTGTTTCAGCCTGTGCCAATGGACAATCCCTATAAGGAACCCCCTAAAAAGTGTGTCTTGTGTGGGGTAGCTGTTGACTACAAAAATGTACAGGTAAATTCCTCTGTATTTGTTGTGTTTGTTGTCAAGGTGTACTAAAGAAGGCTGAGCAAAATCCGGCCTATGCTTATCAGAGGAGATCATACTAGTTCACTTGTATACACTCCTACGTGTTACAAGAATACTGCTTCAGGGCGGTACTTTTGCAACATTTCTGTTCCTTTCATGTAGCTCTGTTCACCTAGGAGTGAATGCCACTGGCACTAAATATGTAAAATTAAAATTCACTCTTTTAGAATACACTCAGGAATACGTGCAAGGAAAATATAACAAGATCAGTTGCATGTTGGAAATCCAAAGTATGCCTTGGACATATGCCAAATCCCCATGGTTATTTGACTTAAGGTGCGGAGGCAGGATAATTGCAGGAATGCAGAATACTGTGCTTGCCCAGCACATGCGGTTGATAGGGTGTCACCTTGCAAGTACAATAATTCTACACCTAATAACCAAGAGTAGGAGGTGTAAAGCCAAGTCAAGCAAGCATAGAAACAGGATTGCATTTGGAATAAAGTATATAACATTGCTGCATCTCTTAACCATGGCTATATCAGGATTATCTTGTGGGCTCATGTGCTTCTTCTCTTGCATACAAAATAGTTTCTATACCTGTGGTACAGTGTTAAGTTTCACCCACTCTTAAGTGCACGGGGCCTCTACTTTGGTTTATCCTACCAATCCTCTGGTCTTCCTTTGGATTTCCACTTTGCAGACTGACTGGCCATACAAAACAGAAACTACATTTTAAATTGTTTTCTGCTTGTGAAATTTCAGTACTTAATTTTCTTTAAATATGGCATGATTGGTATGTTTAAGTGAACTGTGGAGATTTGCTACAAATATGTAAAAAAAAAGAAGAAATCAAAATGTTGCTTAATATTTGTTAATTTTTTCCTCCTTCAACAGCTTTTATCACAGTTTATTTCACCATACTCTGGTCACATTTTTGGAAGGCATATAACAGGTATGTGAGAGATTTAGCAGTATTATATTGAAGGTAAATGCTTTTCACTAATTAATTTTAAGGCTATTTAAATAGCCAGCCACCTTTGACCTGTGCATCATTCTGAATTATATTGAATTTGGTTTCTAAAACTTAAATCGAGACCAGTCTTGAGTGCTTATATTTTTAAAAGCCCCTTATAGGTTTAATCTGCATTGATAAAGGAATTGATCTTTTGATGTTTTCAAATGAAGTGGCTTTTTAGGATTTTTTGATTTTACAGGCTTATGTATGAAGAAGCAGCAAGAGGTTGCAAAAAATATTAAAAGAGCCCGACAACTGGGTGAGCATCTTTTTAAAATATGGAGGTACTTAGATGTTTTGCAAATTGCTTTGTTTCTAAAGCTTCTGAATTTATTATGTTGCAGGATTTATGTCGGTTACATATAAGGACCCAACATTCCTCAGCGACCCTAAAGTATGCAGTATCAAATATCCAGAATGAATTATGTTAAGTGTACTTAATAAAACTGATTTTGTAACTGATTTGTAGTCATTCCTGGTACATCCTTAATAAGCAAACCACTAGCACGTCAGATACGATCCTGTTAATTCTGCTGTATACAGAGTACAAAGGATTGCCATGTGAATGGCAGAATGCTTCTCCTCTGTGCTAATAATCATGTCATTCTTCAAATGGCTATCATTTTGTATGCAAGATGGAAAACATGCTGTCATAAAATGAAGTAAAAACTTTATAAAGAAGAAAACACATGCTGTCATGCCTAACAATAAAGATACCTACTTGGAAGCAAGTATCTATGTCTAATGGCGCTTACTCCTAGGTAGGTGTAGGCTTGGCGCATCTGTGTGCTATATTACTATGTACTATATTGCTCCGTGTGGAAAATGGAGTAGTGGAACACAATCAAAGGCAGTATCATGAATGAAATATTTGTACTAAGGTCTTGCCCATTTCTCTCTAGGCTGACATGAAACCATGTTTAGCCTTCAATTCAGCCGCTTTGCTTTCAAGCACAGTATGTTACTTAATCGGTTATAACCATTTTGTATCCTACTGCTGACAGAAGACTCTGATCCAGTGGTGGTGGTGATTTCCCCCTGCTTTCCTCTGCAGACCTGTGCACCACCCCCTTCTGCTCCAGAGGGTTGGTGGACCCTTTGGAATTACCGTATTTTTTGCTCTGTAAGACTCACTTTTTCCCTCCTAAAAAGGAAGGGGAAATGTGTGTGCGTCTTATGGAGCGAATGCAGGCTGCGCAGCTATCCCAGAAGCCAGAACAGCAAGAGGGATTGCTGCTTTCACTGCGCAGCGATCCCTCTTGCTGTTCTGGCTTCTGGGATTCAGAATATTTTTTTTCTTGTTTTCCTCCTCCAAAAACTAGGTGCGTCTTGTGGTCTGGTGCGTCTTATAGAGCAAAAAATATGGTACATGGGAGGCAGCATGAGAACCTGAAGAGGGGAGGAACTAGTGAAAATCACCTCTCCTTTCCCTCAAGAGAAGCCTCCACTGGATCAAAGAGGAACAACTGGATAAAAGCCAAGAAATATTGTTGCATTCTTAGTCCAAACATGGTACTATCAGTACAGTACATTTTATGCTGAAGTCTTCCACCAGGGATAATCCCTGTGGAAAATAAGGAATACAAAATCTACTGAGGAAGAAACTAGACTATTTTGTTTCCCCCCCCAAATTGTGGGGTTTAATGCTGGTTTAATTTTTGATGGGTGAGTTTTCATAAACAAGACTCCCCCCCCCCCCCCCCGAAACCATGAACAAATGGAGAGTTATATAGGCAATAATTTCTGGGGAAAAAGAAATCCTTTATCTGTACTGAAAGGGATTAAAAACTTGGAGATATTCTGCGTTCTTCAGGCTCTTTTGTAACATCCTCATCAGGTTCGGTGTCACTGGTTGGAATGTTTGTTTCTTGGTCACTGTTCTTTTGATCCTCCCGAAATAGATTTCGACGAAGTTTGAAAGATCGTAGCCTTTTGAATGGCTTTGGTCCACTTGTAGTTACAGTAGCCTTTCGCTTAATTACCTGCCTTGTCTCAGCTTCAGGGAAACTATTTTCTTTGAACGTTAAGGTCAGCCAGTCCATTATTCTTGTGTTGTGGTCAATGTTGCAGCAATGCTTAGAAATCTGTCTTCCTTTTAAAGTAACACTGCTTGACTGCAGTCCAGAATTTGGGAAAAAGTTTTGCAAAGCTTGACAGAGGAAAATATTTTCTTTCGATTCATCTGGGTGACTTTTCTTCGTTTGGGTAACTTCTGAAACAGACAGAGGGTATTTTCTTTTGATACAACAGCTACATTAGCCTACAAGACTTCCAACTGCGTAGAATAGCAGCTGCTTGACTGGTAACTATTTAATGAGCAGTCCTAAGACTTTGGCAAGCCTCAAGTCCCTTGATTTGGATGACGTGACAAACTATGGTTAAGGAAAGGCAAAAGCATGGGGCCTGAGACTTGCCGAAGCCTTTTCATATTGTGCGAAACTACAGCTTAATAAAACATCCAACCATAGCATATGTGAAATAGCAGCTCATACATTCTAAATATCTGAACTATTTGCTTAACATGCCTTTTGCAACATCAGGGTCATTTCTAGACAAGTAAGTATCAATAATAATAATTTATTATTTATACCCCGCCCATCTGGCTGGGTTTCCCCAGCCACTCTGGGCGGCTTCCAACAGAATATTAAAATACAATAACCTATTAAACATTAAAAGCTTTCCTAAACAGGGCTGCCTTCAGATGTCTTCTAAAAGTCTGGTAGTTGTTGTTCTCTTTGACATCTGATGGGAGGGCGTTCCACAGGGCGGGTGCCACTACCGAGAAGGCCCTCTGCCTGGTTCCCTGTAGCTTTGCTTCTCACAATGAGGGAACCGCCAGAAGGCCCTCGGTGCTGGACCTCAGCTTCTGGGCAGAACGATTGGGGTGGAGACGCTCCTTCAGGTATACTGGGCTGAGGCCGTTTATATATCTATATATCTATATCAGAGGTAGCCAGCCTGGTGTCATCCAATTGGCTGTTGTATTCCTAACCATTACCGACCCCTGCCAGCATGGCCAGGGGTCAGGGTGGTGAAAGCCGAAGTCCAATAACAGCTGTAGGGCACTGTGTAGCCTATTCCTGATCTATGCTCTTGATTCCTATTGTAGAATTCTGAGTAGTGCCTGATTAAGTGTGTAAGCTCTTTTTACAGGAGCAAAGGCTGACAAGTAAACTGAAGATGCCAAAGGTAAAGGGAATCCAGTGACAATTCATAAGCGCACCCCTGCTTTAGAATCAGAACCAAGAGATTGAATTTAAGATCCTAGGACAGGTATTGAAGTAGGAACCTGTAAATCTTATTCTTCTGTCTCCTACATTTCTATGGAGCTTTCACTAAAAGGGAATGCGGGTTCCTATTTCAGCTCTAGAAGATTACGTACCCTGTAAGTTTAATGACATGGAACAGAAAGTTAGGTGTTTTAAGTTACCTGCAGTTTGCATCTGTTCTTTTTTCCTTCGTACTTCTTGTCTCAGTTGATCTACTTCTGCTAGCAGATTCTCTACTGATCTTTCACTATCTGCTACTTTACTGCCTATATTCTAGGAGAGAGGGAAAATATGGGACACCTTGTGGAATAAATTGTCATCTTATCCGTATACAAATAATTCATAAAAAAGCTTAATCAAAATGTTTAACAGCTAACTGATGATGGCTATCCTCTACCTCCACAGTTGGAAGTAGCAAGGCTTCTGAATACCAGCTGCTGGAAATCACAGAAAGGGAGAGAGTTGCTCTTGCACTCATGTTCTGCTTACTGGTTTCCCACAGGCGTCTGGTTGGCCACTGTGAGAACAGGATACTGGAGTAAATGGGCCACTGGCCTGATGCAGCAGAGCTATTCTTATAAAACTGAGGCACTCTCTATGTGCGCTGTTGGAGACTAGATAATGCTGTCACCGAACACTTAACTTCCTGAATAAAAGTTGTGTGATTAAGCTTTCAGGTGACCCCAGAACAACAGGTTTTTCTGGAATACAGCCTAAATAAGTGTAATTCTGCACATGGCACTCATTTCCCTACCTATGGTTATTTCTAGGATACACAATAATATTATATCTGCCTGGTGCACAAGTTAATGGGGTTTACTTTCCCCTAATTTCCAGCTTCAGGACATTTTGCGTCAACATTTCTTCATATAGATTGTGTTGCCAAACACTTATTTCAAACTTTGTGTTACTGGTTAAAAGGTGCGTGAGAAGTTTTCCAAAAGCATGTAACTTACCTCCATTTCCTCCTGCAAGGTGGCAGACATTTCAGCAGTCTTCAGAACCTCTTTTAGAGACCCATCTTCATTAAAAAATTCTGACCTTTTGATACAAAAAAGAAAATATAGAATGTACTATTTCCATCTGCCATTTTATGCAAAGTGGATTTTGAAATCTCTAAATTTTGGCACTGACAATTGAACACAACCTTTAAAAAAAGGTAAAGGACCCCTGACAGTTAAGTCCAGTTGCAGACGACTCTGGGGTTGCGGCGTTCATCTCACTTTACAGGCTGAGGGAGCCGGCGTTTGTCCGCAGACAGTTTTTCTGGGTCATGTGGCCAGCATGACTAAGCCGCTTCTGACAAAACCAGAGCAGCACATGGAAACGCCATTTACCTTCCTACCACAGCGGTACCTATTTATCTACTTGCACTGGTGTGCTTTTGAACTGCTAGGTTGGCAGGAGTCGGGACAGAGTAACGAGAGCGCACCCCGTCGCAGGGATTTGAACCACTGACCTTCTGATCGGCAAGGCCAAGAGGCTCAGTGGTTTAGACCACAGCGCCACCTGCGTCCCTTAGCTGACATGAAAACCTATAGGAATAAGCAGGAAATCTCAAGCACTAGGGCATTTAGGAGACAATGCTCGCTGATGGAATTGCTGGTTAAAATAAGACAAGTTTGTTTATAGCAAGTTAAAAGTCAAACTCCAGTGTAGTGAGTGGAGTTCTTAAAATAATGCAAGTACATGTTTTTCCTTAGTAAACATCAGACAGTCCAGCTTTCTAGGCTGAAGCCTACCATCCACCCCTCTTTTTAAAAATTACTTATCCCAACAGTGAAACTGAGCCACTGATAAATAAGAGGGGAGAATCCTGAGGTTTGCAGAATTAAAACAAAACAAAACTTATTAACACCGCCAAAAGAGGAGCAGCACTTAAAACAAAACAAAAGTCCAAAGAGGACTGAGCATGCTCGTAAGATATAAGCAGGCACAGAATGCTGAGTGTCAGGAGAAGAGAAAAATGGAAAGCCAAAGGAGGAAGGTGAATTGGCTTGCTTGGCCCTCATTGTGGTCTGGTTCACATATAGCACTAAGCATAAATGCACAAGCTCACAAGTACCTGCAGCAGAAATTGCAAGCACTTTGCTCCTGCCTGAACCTGGGTTTGTGGTTTGTCTCACTTGACAAACTGCAAGCGATAGCCAAGGTTTGCTCTTGGCTCACTGTCCAGTGTTTGTCGGAGGGAGACAGACCACAAGGCTGAGGTTTAAATACAACACTATGCCAAACAATGGCTTTGTTGCAGGTAGCACAGCACCATGAGGACTGAAGGAGCAAAGTGGCCACTATTTCTGCTTTGATTACTTGTGCACTCACGCTTAGCTATGGTTTAGCTTGATTTTACATGCATACTGGGCCAATTTGTAATATCCAGGAAGAGGCCATAGCTGGAACAGCAGCACTCATATTAGGGGAGATGAAGACACACTGTAGTATTTTAAAATACTTAAAAATGGAAAGCGTAATGCTGGTGGTCAACAAAAGGGGTTTAAAGACTGTCTCAAGGCAAATCTTAAAAAAATGTAGTATAAACACTGACAACTGGGAAACACTGGCCTGCGAGCGCTCCAGTTGGAGAACAGCCTTTACCAAAGGTGTTGTGGGCTTCTTTGAAGGCACTCAAACTCAGGATGCAAGGGAGAAATGTGCTAAGAGGAAGGTATGCTTGGCAAATCCACACAGTGATCAACTCCTGCCCGGAAACCAATGTCCCCACTGTGGAAGGAGGTGTGGATCCAGAACTGGCCTCCACAGTCACTTACGGACTCACTGTTAAAACCGTGTTTATGGAAGACAATCTTACTTGGCTATGAGCCAAAGAAGATGATGTATTTGTGTGTGTATATATGTGCATATATACACACGCATACAAATATATATACAAATACACACACACACACACACACACACACACACACACACACACACATCTATGCTGCTAGCTGGCAATCATTTGGAGTAACCAAAAACACAATGCAAAAAATTAAAACATCCTTTTCATACCTGTGTTTTGCAACTGCTCTACAATAGCCGGAAGAAATACATGAACTGGACGCTGTATGATATCCGTGCTCTTCTGCCATTCTCAGATTGGCAATAACAAGAGGAACTTTCTGAAAAGGACTTTAGAAAAGGATAAATAGAAGAATTTAATATAACTACAATGGGAAGGTTTACTGAGTGCACGAAATAGTGCCATTCCATTATTAATTCTTAAGACAACTTACCGTATTTTTCGCCCTATAGGACACACTTTTTCACCTCCAAAGATGAAGGGGAAATCTGTGTGCGTCCTATGGGGCTTTCGCTGAAGCTTGGAGGTGTGCACCGACCCCTCTCACTCTCCAGGCTTCAGGAAGCTATCAGCAAACCTGGGGAGCCCGCGGATAGCAGCCTGCTGCACGGAGCGCGGGGAGCGCTGAAGCAGAGCGCCCCATGCTTCGGGCAGACATCGGGCAGCCCCACAAGCTCGGGGGACAGTGGGGAGGCGGAGCGCCGCCATCCCGCTGTTCCCCGACCTGGTTTGGATTCCCCGACCTGGTTTTAGGGGGGGGAAATAAAGGGAATTTTTTTTTCCTTTATTTCCCCCCAAAAAAACTAGGTGCGTCCTATGGGCCGGTGTGTCCTATGGGACGAAAAATACGGTACTTTTAAGAATAGTTGTATAGGATTGCTTTGTGCGTCCCACTAAGTTCAATGTGGTTTACTCCCAGGTTTCCAGCCTTACAAAAAAATCTTATACATTCTTACATGGGAGTTAAGTCTACTGAGCCCAGAGGAACTTACTTCTGAGTAAACTTGCTCAGAAATATGCTTTTAATATTTTAAGATTGAGCACTGCTCAGACACAAACTAATCCCGTGGTTGTCTTGGAACTTACGAAGATGGTGTGCAATGCCTAGTGCAACTGCTATTACCGTATTAACTAGACTCTAATGCGCCATTGAATCTAATGTGCACCTTAATTTTTGCAATGTGATTTGGCCAAAAAAGATGCGCATTAGATTTGAGTAAATACAGTATTATGCTTCGTGACAGTTTGCTATTACTTGCACCACATCAGCTCTCAAGCTTTTTGTGCTAATGTGATGTTGGGTCTCTCCCGCACATTTCTGTAGAGCTAACACAAGTCTAATTATGTGCAAGATTGCAGCCAATGATATCAAGAGTAAGAAAGCGAAATTTCAACAGAAAGAAATGATTTCCATTGCAAGATTACCTCCAAATTTCAAAGGAAAGGGATTAACCCAAGAAAGTGATTAGCTATATTTCAGTGAGTTACAGAAGTACACTAAAGGATAATGAATATACTTACCCTTCTTGCGGTTTATGTAAGGCATATTCAAGTTTGTAAGTGGATAAATTTGAAGACGCTGGGCTGAAAGTCAGTAACAGAAAAACAAGGCCCTGATTTGCCAAGTGTGACTGTAAATGCTTATGAAGAAGTCGCTCTCTGAACGTCATTGTCTGGTCAGTATTACGCCTGAGTTTGTACCAGCCCACCACAGTCTGGAAAAGAAATGGCAATCTGAAAATTAGATACAGCTTCTTTAAATAACAACAACAACTATTTATTATTCATACCCCGCCCATCGGGCTGGGTTTCCCCAGCCACTCTGGGCGGCTTCCAACAAAACACTAAAATACAATAACCTATTAAACATTAAAAGCTTCCCTAAACAGGGCTGCCTTCAGATGTCTTCTAAAAGTTTGGTAATTATTTTTCTCTTTGACATCTGGTGGGAGGGCGTTCCACAGGGCGGGTGCCACTACCGAGAAGGCCCTCTGCCTGGTTCCCTGTAACTTGGCTTCTCGCAGTGAGGGAACCGCCAGAAGGCCCTTGGCACTGGACCTCAGTATCCGGGCAGAACAATGGAGGTGGAGACGCTCCTTCAGGTATACTGGACCAAGGCCGTTTAGGACTTTAAAGGTCAGCACCAACACTTTGAATTGTGCTCGGAAACGTACCGGGAGCCAGTGTAGGCCTTTCAAGACTGGTGTTATATGGTCTCGGCGGCCGCTGCCAGTCACCAGTCTAGCTGCTGCATTCTGAATTAGTTTTAGTTTCCGGGTCACCTTCAAAGGTAGCTCCACACAGAGCGCATTGCAGTAGTCCAAGTGAGAGATAACTAGAGCATGCACCACTCTGGCAAGACAGTCTGCGGGCAGGTAGGGTCTCAGCCTGCATACCAGATGGAGCTGATAAACAGCTGCCCTGGACACAGAATTGACCTGTGCTTCCATGGACAGCTTTGAGTCCAAAATGACTCCCAGGCTGCGCACCTGGTCCTTCAGGGGCACAGTTACCCCATTCAGGACCAGGGAGTCCTCCACACCCGCCCGTCTGCTGTCCCCCCAAAACAGTACTTATGTCTTGTCAGGCTTCAACCTCAATCTGTTAGCCGCCATCCATCCTCCAACCGCCTCCAGACACTCACACAGGACCTTCACCTCCCTCACTGGTTCTCATACCACTTACATAATGACTGAGAGTCACCCTATTGCTGGTGCTAAAAGGTGATTTTACCTGGGTTCCCTAAGACTCAGCTTAGCTTGTCTTCTGAGATGCACTGGAATTTCCACCAGCCAAGGTACTAGGCCATACTTAAAATGTCTCTTTGATAACAACCTTGTGCCCATAATGTGAAAAGTTGAAAAACCATGTCACTGCCAGAGCAACTGTTTGCATGTTCGCTCTGAAGTATGGTCCATTGTATTCAATTGAGCTTCTTTGCCAATAAGTATGTGGAGATAGCAGTCAAAAGCTGCAATTCTAGACACACTTATATTTACTTGGAGTAAGCCCACTGAACTCACTGGGACTTACCTAAAAGTAAAACCTGCCTGTACATGTCTAATAAGAACCAGTCTGTAGGATATTATGCATGCATTTAAACAAGAATATAGTAGTAATCTATAGTATCCATACATTTCTGTTTTGTGAAGAGGTTAGTTCTAAATGCAAAATACCTTTTTGCAACTCGACAACATATTATTCAGCAGTGGCTCGTTCAATTCTCCTGCCGAGTTGTAAAAGCTGGAAAAAATAAGAGGAATCCCAAGGGCAACAGATGCTGAATCAAAGACATTTCTAGAGTGGCATTGGTTTTTATTACTAAGCTTCATACATTTGCTCATACAGCAGATGAACACAGGGTATAAGGATAATTTCAATAAAAATACAGAAATCAAATTCTTTGGAAGAGAAGGAAGTCATGAAGAAAATCATGTAACATCTTCTACCCTAAAATAAAAATCACTTTGATTTATTGACTCTCCATATGTATTATTAAACATCAATTGAAGGCATATTTATTTACCCAGGTTTTTGCCACGTGATGACCCTAGCACCAATATGTATTCAATGATTGGTTGCTAAAATTGGTGGTTGATTTTTTTTATCCTTGTCTTTAAATTTTGGTTGGTTGTACATTGCCCTGAACTCCTATGGAGGACATGCAACTAATAAATGCCCTGAATAAATAAATAAAAATACAGTGGTACCTCGGGTTAAGAACTTAATTCGTTCCGGAGGTCCGTTCTTAACCTGAAACTGTTCTTAACCTGAAGCACCACTTTAGCTAATGGGGCCTCCCGCTGCTGCCACGCGATTCCTGTTCTCATCCTGAAGCAAAGTTCTTAACCCGAGGTAATATTTCTGGGTCAGCGGAGTCTGTAACCTGAAGCGTATGTAACCTGAACTCTCTAAACATGCTTCCCTTGCTTACTTAAACAGCAAACATTTATCTGTGAGCAAGCCCCACCGAAATAAGTTTCCTTAGGCGTGCATATTCTGTTACCATGATCCAAGGCTCTGACTGAATCCAACGCATGAAGTGCTCCATGTGAGGGTTTTACTATCCCCTTGTATGAAACAGAATTCAAGTTTCTTTCTGAAATAGGGTATAGCACTTACCTGAAGGGTTGGTAGCATGGAATGTGACTTTGTATATCTGAAAATGAAACGACATCTTACTTTCCCCTGAATGATTGTGTACGCATAGCTCTGCACAATGTGCTCTGCTGACAGTAATAACTGAATTCTGTGTTCAGTCACAACCTTACAAGATACTCAAATACTTTTAATATTTATTACATCTGCTAGTCGCTTTGTACAAAAAAAGTCTTAAAGTGACTTAAGATGAAGTACTGCTAAAATCAACTAAAAGTCAGAAAAATTAAGAACAACGTACAATATAAAATTTCTAAAATGCTCACCCACATTCCATTTATATACTTCAAATAGTGGATAAGCAAAAGTCCATGTGACTAAAGAGCCTTGAAAAAGAAGTATACAGCTGGGTATATCCACTAAAATCACACATCATAGGTATTTTCTCTCATGTGTATAATGACACACAACCTACTACAGTAAATTTGAAGATCTATGTAATTTTTCTTACTCAAAAACAAAGTAGACAGGCCTTTGATCACATTTGTTCTCTTTCTGCTGCTCTGAAGAGATAGGAGTCTCAAGGGAGCATTATGAAAAGCTGTATAGAAAGAAAAGAACTATACAGCCACAGGACAAACCTGGAGATAACACTATTCCTTGTGGGGGAGGAAAGGACCAGTTGCGGTATAAAATAGATTCTGCTGCTAAACACCATGGAATCCCACAGAATGACTTCACAGCAGCTCAGAAGCAATGCAGTACCATCACCGCATTCAAATATACTGGTACGCTCAAGCACTAATAATAATATTTTACAAGCACCACATAATGTTCATTCCGCCCCAAAGGAAATGCATCAGTTGGTAGCTGACTTACCAATTGTATACACAACTTCAGCACCATCCATCTGAGAGTCAGTAATGATGTCCTTGGCTTCAGATTTCACCTCCCCAAGGAGGAATCCTTCCTTTGCAATTGAAGAAACACCATAGTTACGCATCACTCCACTAGCAGGAGCTGTATAGTCACTATTATTATTGTTACTGTGATCCACGCGACGGTCACCTCCAGACTGGATTATTGTAACTCGCTCTACGTGGGGCTGCCCTTGAGACTGACCCAGAAACTCCAGCGGGTGCAGAATGCCGCGGTGAGACTCCTCACGGGGTCCTCGCTGCGAGATCACATTCACCCAGTGCTATACCAGCTGCACTGGCTCCCGGTGGAGTACAGGATCAGGTTTAAGGTGCTGGTTTTAACCTTTAAAGCCCTATACGGCCTAGGACCCTCGTACCTGCCAAGGAGTGTGGTGGAGTCTCCTTCTTTGGAGGTCTTTAAGCAGAGGCTTGACAACCATATGTCAGGAGTGCTCTGATGGTGTTTCCTGCTTGGCAGGGGGTTGGACTCGATGGCCCTTGTGGTCTCTTCCAACTCTATGATTCTATGACCTACAGGACCGCCTCTCCTGGTATGTCCCACAGAGGAACTTACGGTCTTCAAACAAAAACATCTTGAAGGTCCCAGGCCACAGAGAGGTTAGGCTGGCCTCAGCTAGAGCCAGGGCTTTTTCAGCTGTGGCTCCAATCTGGTGGAACGCTCTGTCACAAGAGACTAGGGCCCTGCGGGACTTGACATCTTTCCGCAGGGCCTGCAAGACAGAGCTGTTCCACCAGGCCTTTGGGCAGGGCACAGCCTGACTCCCTCCTTTGGCAATCTTCACAGAACTCTAGCCCAATGGTTGCCATCAATTTGATTTGAATTAATTTTATAATGAAATGATTTTAGAATGTTGTATTATTTTATTGTTGTTAGCCGCCCTGAGCCGGCTTCGGCTGGGGAGGGCGGGATATATATAAAATTTATTATTATTATTACTAAACCATGTTATATTTTGAATAAAAAAATATCAAAGCGGTTTGCAGCCTACATTAAAACATCAAATAAAACAATCCCGAATAAAACATTACTGAAGAAAGTAAAATATAATGTATACATCCAAAGTAACAAAATGAACAGGAATCTAAAATAATAGATTTCAAAACGAAACATTACAAAGGAGGTCAACTACAGAATGCATATTTAATGCAGCAAAGTTAGCAAAAGAAAGCAGAACAAAACAAAATTTTCAAAAGAAATCATTACTAAAGGAAGTCAAATATAAAACGCTCATTTAAAACAGCATAATTTAAGGGCTGGGCCTGGGCGGAAGTATTTGAGTCGTCTCCCTTCAAAAAGCAGATAAAATCACACCCTTTGCCACTGACTAGTCCCAAACTTTAGCAAATTTGGAAGCATATTCTAACATTAAACTAACTATGGTTGCTTCCAGGTGACCTGACCATGAAGCAACCATTATAGCTGTTTTGCAAGGAGGTTAGGCGACGTTGTGTCAAGCGAGTAGTGGCTATGGAGTGTCAGACTACGACTAGGACCCGGGAGATCTGCGAGGAGGGAAATTTGAAATACATGTATCTCAAGCACGCCCAAGACACAGCGGAGACACACAGCAGCATTTTATGGAGACGTGAAATCTTCCTGGGGAGGAGGGGAAGCTCAATTTAAGCCGTGCTTTTAAGAGGGGTCGCAGAGAGGGTTACGGTCCCTCTGTTGTTACAGACCCACGCAGGGCACCGGGCTGGCTGCGCGCACAAAGCACTCGGGTTTGGGAGTCACACGAGACGCGAGGCAACTCTTCCCAAAGTAAGTGGTGGAGAGGGGGGTCTGCGCGCGTTACAGCTCAGTCGCTGTCTAAAAGTGGGGAATGCACACGTGCATATATACACGCATGCATACAAACATATAACCAGGAGGGAAACTTGGTGCGGGAAGGGGCAGCCACGGCAGGAGATGCGCTCTCAATTGGCCTCTGCACACACACACACACACATACACAACAACAAGACATCCCGGCTCCCTTTTACGCATAAAGCACCCGTTCTCCCATTAAACAAGGACAAGAGGTGCCGGAGCGAAAGCACTTCCTCGGGGTAATCCGAAGGCACCCCCGTCCACTTCGTGCGTAATGGCGAGGGGGGATGTTAGCCAACGCGGGGCGAAGGGCACCTTTTTACGCACAGTGTCGGAGCCGCTGTTGACATGGTGGAAAGCGAGCGCGCCCACGAAGGCGCCCGAGAGGAGGGCCGTCGTGCTCTCGGCGGCTGCCATGGCCGGATCCGCGCCCAACGGGCCTGTTCAGCCGCGCGGCGGAAGGCGGGAGAGGCCGGCGGGGAAGGAAGCGAGGCCGGCTGCGAGAGGAGCAATGGCCGCGCCCGGCCCTGGAGACCCGACGAGGGAGGAGGCGGAGACATCGGGCGCCCAGAGGAAAAGAGGCCGCCCACTGGCACACAGAGAAAGGGATCTAAAGGCATCTATATTTGTCTCCGTCGATCGAAACCAAATGAAGACACGTGTGTGTGTACGTACGGAATCAGTACACACACGCACAGCGTTTATCTGGTTTTTATTAAGATACACGCGAGAAACAAGGAATCATTGCAGGTGTTTTTCTTTGGCTTTTATTAACACACAAACAATAAACATAAGGAAACACACACACACGTGCGTTTTTGTTCGGTTTTTATTAACAAACAAACCTAAGGAATATATGTATATTGCACACCTTTATTTGGTTATCTATTTATTTTGGTTCCCTTCCCCCCATCGTGGTCAGCACAGTGAGTGATGATAGGAGCTGTAGTCTGAAAACAAATAAAGGTATCTAGGCACAATTTTAATTTATATAATTTAATTTATACAGCAGTGTGAATAAGGTTTTCCTTTCCAGTTTTTAAGCATCCTTCTTGCCTGCCTCAAAAGTAGTAGATAATTCAGTGTATACAGATGGGGGTGGTGGTATGCGCACTCCCAAATAGTTAAAAGCCAAAAACCTAATAGGAACTTTAACCAGTTATTGAATTAACCATTGCACTTTGGGTTTGAGGTTAAGGAGGAGCATTCAAGAGTTACAAATTATTTTTGACTGCTATGTTGTGCAACTATAGCAGGTTGACAACCTTCATTTCAATAATAATACATACTATAACAACACACACCTCAGGTTTCTTGTACTTATAATGGTTGGGGAGGGGACAACTCATGGCACAAATACATTATATACCCTCAAGCACTGCCTACTAGTGTGGATGGGATTTTAGAAGCATAAAATTTGAAAGTGAACACTGCTAATATGAATGAATGAATTTATTAATACGGTCACAGACCAGCGTCAACACACACAATATCACAGATCATAAAAAAATATATATCAGAAATACAGAGGACAATATGAGTATAACAAGGATTTAAATATAAAAAATTAAAATTAATTATTAGCGTGCCCCCTGTAATTAACATTTGGGGGTTTGGTCATTATGGGATACCACTTGCTTCCTGCGATTAATTGCAGACGCACAGAATGTGGCTACATTTAATGTAGTCTTGGGATTCTTGTCCTCTAGCAGTAGTTTTAAACTATGGTGTTCCGATTCTTTCCTGGACTTTTGCAAAACAGGTGTAATAAAAGTCAAACGTATATCCTCATAAAGATGACAACGTAATAGTACATGTGAAGCAGTTTCAACTTCCAATGAGCCACAGGGGCAAACCCGTACTGTGTATGGTACTGCTAATATGTTTTTTATAACCATGTGCATGGGAAACGTGCTGTCAACTTCATGTCGGTGCTAATCTGCTATATATTTTGGAAACCTGTTCATTCTCTGTGCACCTGGGAACCTCTTAAGAAACCGTAACCAAATTTTGCATGGTGTTCTGGAGATGAGGAGCAGCCTTTCGTCTACATTTGGGGTGCCATTTTGAATCAAGATGGCGGAATGAACCTTTCAAAACGGCACTGATTTTACCCACGGATCTTAAAACTGCATTTATTTATTTTTTGACTTCTTAGAATTCCAAAACATTGCTGGGTACAAGGCTGCTGGTATGATTTATTTCAGTTTTACTCTGCAATGGGTTCATTGAACAGGTGGTGGACTCTGAGGCACTGTAAGAAAACCTGTAGGAACTTTTTTTTTTTAAACAGTCCAAGGTTCAGAAATAGCAGTTCTTTGGAGTCAGCATTTCCCTCTCACCTAATTTAACAACCAGTTATTATATGATGAGAATGCAGACAGTGCGTGGACAATGACCTTTAGCATCTTTTATGGCAGAGTTTGCCAATAGTTGTGTCATTAAAAGAAGATCACGATTAGGCACATTTTTTTTATAGCTGAATGATAATTACAAACAAGGTTAGAACAATTTTTAAAATTCCACACTGCCTTTACACCTTATACAAGTTTTCTGAAGCAGTTTAGCATACAAACCTCTGCATGTTACTTGGATGTAAATTCAGCTGTGTTCAATGGACCTTACTCCCAAGTAGGTTTGCAACCTGAGCATAAAAATCCAACCGAAATAAGTAATGATTGTAATCACCGTGAGCTCAGCTTAAGAAAGACAGAGATGTTTTAAATGAACAAACATCAGCAGCAGACGACGCTAGCAATAATTTAAGATGTACAGTAAAAGTAATTGTAACCGGCTAGGCTTCTATTCTCTGCAGAGCTGTTGTTGTTGTTTAGTCGTTTAGTCGTGTCCGACTCTTTGTGACCCCATGGACCAGAGCATGCCAGGCACTCCTGTCTTCCACTGCCTCCCGCAGTTTGGTCAAACTCATGTTTGTAGCTTCGAGAACACTGTCCAACCATCTCGTCTTCTGTCACCCCCTTCTCCTTGTGCTCTCCATCTTTCCCAATATCAGGGTCTTTTCCAGGGAGTCTTCTCTTATCATGAGGTGGCCAAAGTACTGGAGCCTCAGCTTCAGGATCTGTCCTTCCAGTGAGCACTCAGGGCTGATTTCCTTCAGAATGGATAGGTTTGATCTTCTTGCAGTCCATGGGACTCTCAAGAGTCTCCTCCAGCACCAGAATTCAAAAGCATCAATTCTTCGGCGACCAGCCTTCTTTATGCAGAGCTAGGTTTACCTGCAGAGCTAGGTATGCTTAAATTCATTGATTTTTAATGGGCTCAGGTGCAGCTAACTCCGTATAGGATCGGGTGTGCATGTTAAAATACTACGCCTGATAGTTGACGCTAAGCATGTTATAGTGCAGGAATGGAGAACATATGACTCTCCTCATGTTGTCAGAAGTGCAACAGCAGAGATCATTCTGTGGGTGACTGAAGGGTTAAGTCAGTTAATCAAGGGGTGGGTGGGTGTTGTGTTGTTTAGCAACCAAGCAGAGTGGCGTGTTCTTTGCTGAGTTAGTGTGTGCTCTGATTGGCTATGCAGTTCTGCAGTTGTCCTTTGTATGTTTGGTTGTTTACGACCCAACATAATTGACACATGCTGCCAAAACACTTCTCCTGGGTCCCATCTGCACTAAACATTTAAAGTAGTACCATACCACTTTTAAGAATCATGGCTTTCCCCCAAAGAATCCTGGGAACTGTAGTTTGCTAAGGGTGCCAAGAGGAGATCTCCATTCCCCTTGTACGGCTCCAGTTCTTATTGTTGACATCCACCTGTCTTGTGAGACAATGGTGTGAACCTCTGGTGGCAAAGTCAAATTGCTGCATTAGCAGTACCAAGTGACCTCAGGGTGCAAGCCTGGGCAGTGGTTTAACAATACAGTTTTCTCCCCAAGACACTCTAGCATGGGCGTAGCCAAGGGGGAGCAGGGAAGGGCAGTTGCCCCCCCCCCGAATCAATAAAAATAAATAAAAATACATAGCAAACTGAGGTTCTTCTCCCCCCCCCCCACGAAAGGCCTGCCCCCCCACAAAAATCCTGGCTACGCCTATGCATCCTAGGAATTGTAGTTCAGTGAGGGGAATAGGAGTCTACTAACCAAACTCAGCATCCTTAAAACTTCAGTTCCCAGGATACTTTAGGGGAAGCTATAACAGTTTAAAGTGTTACGGTACTGCTTTAAATATACAGTGCAGATGTGAATGTGGTTGTGGCGCATGCCTTAAGTGCAAGTTAGACCATAGCTGTCAACGTTTTCCTTTTTTTAAGGGAAATTCCCTTATTCCAAACAGGATTCTTTGCAAGAAAAGGGAAAAGTTAACAGCTATGAGTTAGACCTATCCAGTGCTTTTTTCTCCTAAAAAAAAATGTTTAGGGGTTACTCTCATTTTCCTACTCATATCGAAATACTGGCCTCCAATGAGGCCAAACCTAGATTCACAAAATGTTTAGGGGTATGTGTACCCCTGCGTCCCCCTAGGAAAAAAAGCACTGGACCTATTTGTGATCTTGCGGATCATAAAACTTCGTATTGCGATGCGGAAATAAAACCTGCTTTCAACTGAGGTCATTTCCTTTTGTTTCCTGCTATTATTTCATGTCCCTCAAAATACCTTTCCCTTCCCTTCCCTTGACTGATAGAAAACTCTCCCCAGCAGCTCTGCCTTTGACAAACAGCACAGCTGTTTAAATAAGTGAAACCTGAACCATCGTAGATAAATATCTGCAAGGCAAGGTGGTTTCCCCTGACAAAGATGTGGGGGCCTTGAAATGTGTCACTGCACACAAGCACAGCAAGGAACACATAGGAATACTGATGGCTCACTGCGGATCAGAGCATGTTTCTGTGACCTTGAAAAGGGAGCTGGTATAAAGTTACATGTTCTCCTCTCTCCCACCCTGAGAAGTGTGAATGGGCGCTCCATTGTCCAGGGGAGTCTGCCCATACTACAAATATTGGATACGTACACATAGAAGAATAATTTATTTGTCTTTCACAGACCAGTTGAAGCCCACATACAATATCGAGGAAATCATAAAACACAATAGGGATACAAGAAACGCCATACACATCTGGACTTGGGATCAGAGACAGTGCTCCTGATCCCCCAAACTGAAGGTGTGTGTGTGAATGAATTTTATTATTTCGGTCACAGACCAGTTCCAGCCCACATACAATATCAAGGAAGTCATAAAACATGATAGGGATACATTTGAATTTGCAATTAGGTATAACAGGGACACTACAGATATAGCAACAGTTTAAAAAATATATAAATTAAAACTTAGTCACTAACATATAACCTAAAATTATCATTTAAAGCCTTAATCATTATGATAGCACAGCTTGTTCCCTAAGTTTTAATGGCAATCACACAGAATTTGGCTACCCTTAATGTGATCTCAGGATCCTTGTCCTTTACCAGGGATTTTAGACATTGAAGTTCGGATTCATACATACACATACCATATATTTAAAGCACGAGACTTTCCCAAAGAAGAACTATAGTTTACCCTTAACAAACTACAGTTTCAGGATTATTTGGTGTGCATGCATTCTTCATATGGTTTATTATACCTATCATGTTTGCAGAGAATTCTCGCCACTCAATATTCCACGACTACTGAGCACGCTTAAGCCACACCAGAATTTTATTTTATTTTTGAGCTGCAGGGGGAGGGTGTGTGTGGGTTGTCTGCTTAGTTGCTGGGGGTTTTTTTTGGGGTGGGGGTAGATTTGCAAATCTTCGAATTCCACTGAAAATGCTACTACCTCTCACATGTTTCTCAGTGGGGCAGTTCTTGTTGCAATCCTGTCGGCTGGGACTTAACTACAGAAGGACTTACTATAACGCAGTGGGTAAAATGATTGTAATCAAGGCTGGCCCCATATCTTGCACTATCCACACCCTCGATACTTAAAACCACTTCTTTAGTCTGACTGATGCAATAGTTACCCGCGTTCATCTGTCACATACTTATGTAATGCGTTAATGCGAGATGTGAAACCCTGCCAATTGCTAGCGTTTCTATTTAGATTGAACTTTGCAACAAGTAAGCACCTAGCCTAGTTCTCCAAAGGGGATGGTTACCTTTTGAACTCTCTTACATATTTAGCGGAGAGGTAGCTGGCTGTTTTAGCCGCTTATTTTGATTTCCCAGCCTCAAAGCCTCTTGGTAGGAACAGGGTTTTCTAGAGGAATGAGGAAAGTCACATTAGCACAGCTGAGCCAAGCAGTTGCTGGACTGAAGCTTCAAAAACCCCTGTCTATTGGCCATATCTGTGATATAATTTTCGGGTTCCGAAGAACGAAAGAGAAGCCTGCTGAATTAGGCCAGTGGCCCATCTAGTCCACCTCCCTGTTTTTGTAGCCGCGACCCAGATGCCCGTAAGAAACCTTCAAGCAGGACCCGGGCACAAGAGCACATTCCCCTCCTATGGTTTTCCAGCAAACCAGCGTTTGGAATCGTACAGTGTTGGGAGAGAGAGCATAGCCATCATGGCTAGTAAGCCATCGATATTATCCTCCATGAATTTGTCCAGTCCTCTTTTCAAGCCATCCACGTCAGTGATTACTACTGTCTGCTGTGGCACAGAGTTCCATAGTTTAACTATGTCAGGGGTCGGCAAGGTTTACCTCACCTGGGCCGGTTCACTCCAGCGGAGATGTTGATGATGATGAGGAGGAGGATGATAATTTATTATTTATACCCCACCCATTTGGCTGGGTTTCCCCAGCCACTCTGGGCGGCTTCCAACAAAATATTAAAATACAATGGTCTGTTAAACATTAAAAGCTTCCCTAAACAGGGCTGCCTTCAGATGTCTTCTAAAAGTCAGATAGTTGTTGTTCTCATTGACATCTGGTGGGAGGGCGTTCCACAGGGTGGGTGCCACTACCGAGAAGGCCCTCTGCCTGGTTCCCTGTAACTTTGCTTCTCGCAGTGAGAGAACCGCCAGAAGGCCCTCGGCGCTGGACCTTTTGCTCATCCTGAATCTTCTAACATTCAGCTTCATCAAATGTCCTCAGGTTCTAGCATTATGAGAGAGTGCCTGACCGTTTTCTCCCTCCCGCCGCACGTGCAAAATTTTATACCCTTGGAAGGGGAAAGGCCACAGCTGAGCAAAGTGATGGATTATAACCCGCTGCTTGTCACCGATAAAGATACAAATGGCTTCCTCCTTCAGTGCTCTAGGATGACCAAATCAAGAAGAATCCAGGATCACCTAACTAGGTTAGAGGTCAGGCAGTACAGAAAGGCATTTAAATGTTCTCATACCTGCAAGAGTATGTCACTGATCATTTTAAGTCAGCTGTCCTGTGTTGCCTAATCATGTTCTTTCAACCATTTCCTCAGATGACACCTGGAGTCAGAGAGCCAATATGCGCCTGAATACCAGGTGTAGGAGGGAAACCAACAGGAGAGTGTGCTGCTGTGCTCATTAAGCATCTGGCAGGTGACAGTGGGAATAGGATGCCGGACCAGATGGGCCTTTGGTCTGATCCAGTAATGGTTATTTTTGTGTTTTTATGACAGAGGCAAATCTAAAATTACAGTGAGGTCAAGTTCCTGGGTGACAATACATTTCCTTAAAAAATAGGATTAGACAAATTCATGGGTCATAAGGCCATCCATGGGGGATGCGGGTGGCGCTGTGGGTTAAACCACAGAGCCTAGGGCTTGCCGATCAGAAGGTCGGCGGTTTGAATCCCTGCAATGGGGTGAGCTCCCGTTGCTTGGTGCCTGCTCCTGCCAACTTAGCAGTTCGAAAGCACGTCAAAGTGCAAGTAGATAAATAGGTACTGCTCTGGTGGGAAGGTAAACGGCGTTTCCGTGTGCTGCTCTGGTTCACCAGAAGTGGCTTAGTCCTGCTGGCCACATGACCCGGAAGCTGTATGCCAGCTCCCTTGGCCAATAAAGCGAGATGAGCGCCGCAACCCCAGAGTCCGTCACGACTGGACCTAATGGTCAGGGGTCCCTTTACCTTTACCTTTAAGGCCATCCATGGCTACAACCGTTGTAATTAATTATTATTATTATTATTATTAAATTTATATACTGCCCTATACCTGGAGGTCTCAGTGTGGTTCACAGAATAAAATCAAAATATAAAAACCACAGAATACATAAGCACGACAATCTATGTGAAGACCAGTTGTTGGGAATCTCAGATGGGCAGGGTCGGAATGAGCTGCTCTGGCACCCAGGGGTGGAGTGAGCGTCGAGTGTCCCGGAAGGCGGCGTGGTGATGTCATCCCCCCTCAGGGATGACACCCAGGGCAGGCCACACCCTCAGCACCCCCTTCCTCCCCCAGTGCAGGTGGGGAGACTTGCTACCTCAGCAAAGGCAGTGACGGTCCTGTGTGAGTGTCTGGAGGCAGTTGGAGGATGGATGGTGGCTAACAGAAGTACTGTTTTGGGGGGACAGGAGGCAGGCAGGTGTGGAGCACTCCCTGGTCCTGAATGGGTAACTCTGCCCCTGAAGGACCAGGTGCGCAGCCTGGGAGTCATTCTGGACTCACAGCTGTCCATGGAGGCGCAGGTCAATTCTGTGTCCAGGGCAGCTGCTTACCAGCTCCATCTGGTCCGCAAACTGAAACCCTACTTGCCCATGGACTGTCTCGCCAGAGTGGTGCATGCTCTGATTATCTCCCACCTGGACTACTGCAATACGCTCCATGTGGGGCTACCTTTGAAGGTGACTCAGAAATTGCAATTAATCCAGAATGCGGCAGATAGACTGGTGACTGGGAGCGGCCGCCGAGACCACATAACACTGGTCTTGAAAGACCTACATTGGCTCCCAGTACGTTTCCCAGTGTTGGTGCTGACCTTTAAAGCCCTGAACGGCCTCAGTCCAGTATACCTGAGGGAGCGTCTCCACCCCCATTGTTCTGCCCGGACACTGAGGTCTAGTGCCGAGGGCCTTCTGGCGGTTCCCTCGCTGCGAGAAGCAAGTTACAGGGAACCAGGCAGAGGGCCTTCTTGGTAGTGGCACCCGCCCTGTGGAACGCCCTCCCACCAGAGAAAAACAACTACCAGACTTTCAGAAGACATCTGAAGGCAGCCTTGTTTAGGGAAGCTTTTAATGTTTAATAGACTATTGTATTTTAATATTTTGTTGGAAGCCGCCCAGAGTGGCTGGGGTATGTATGTATGTATGTATGTATAAATAAATAAATAAATACTATTATTATTATTGTTGTTGTTGCTACTGCATTTAGGGAGTCTGGTTGGCCACTGTGAGAACAGGATGTCAGATTAGGTGGGATGCAGTCGGCTTTTCTTCTGTTCTCCAGGACATGTTGCTGAATACACCTGCAGCTGGGGTGGGGGGGCTGACAGTAGTTCCGCCCACTGCCGCCGCGGCCCCCATGGGTGCCAACTTGAATAATGGGGGGTGCGACAGGTAATCCAGATCCCGCCCAATCGATCACAGGACGGGGCGCACCCACACTATTTAAATGGCAATGACTGTCAACTGGGGCTAGGGATGGCCGCCTCAACTATTCTATTGGAGTTGGCTCCTATGCTGAGATCACAATGTGGCCGTGAGCGAACAATCGAAGGGGCGGGATCCCGCCGCGCGCCGGAGTTGCGCCTCGATGGCGCGCCCCCAGGAGCCTTCGCAGGGAGACACCCACGCCGCTCATGAGATCGGGGAAGCTCGTCTCTTGCGGGGCTCGGCAGGAGCTCCGCTCCTCCTTGACCAACCCGAGTCCCAGCTCCGAACACGCCTTCCTGGACGTAGTCTCCCTCCTGCCCAAGCGCTCGCCCGGCGGCGACAGCACCCTCGCCAACAGCAGCCTTGCGCCTTGGGCGCAAAGGAGTTAAGTGGGTGGAGCTGCGCCGCGCGGAGAAAGAGGCGGCCTCTCCGGCGCTGCTCTTTGCCCAGCCTTCCCCCGGCGAGCCCGCACGGACGGCTTCCCCCTGCCGAGGCGGGGCGCGGCGAGCCGGCGTCCGGCTCAGGCGCTGCAGCGAGTAGGGCGTCTGGGGAAGCCAGCGCGGCGCCCGCAGCCCTCGGGATGGAGCAGCTCCTGGATCTCCTGCTGCGCCTCTTCGGCTTCTGGTTCTCCGCGGTCTTCCTGCTCATCGTGCTGCCCTCCATCTTCGGCGTGTCCTTGGGGATCTCGGAGCTGTACCTCAAAGTCCTGGTGAAGACCTTGGAGGTGAGTCGCGGCTCTGCGCTGCCTGCGCAAAGGGCGACGCGTGCCGCCCCCTCGGGGCTGCCTCTCCAAAATGAGCCGCAGAGCTTTCCTCCCTGTTTCCCGATCCCCCCCAAGGTAACGCTTCGCCGCCTGCTTTCTCCTTGCTGCGCTTCCCCCCATTCCGCCCCCCCCATGCCCTAAACAACAGCTGACCTTTCTTGCGTGATTCAGCGGTTTGCAACGCGGAGGAGGGCGTGGACGTCCTCGCACCCGCGATGCTTTTTATTTTTATTTTGCACTTCAATGAAATGGGCCTTTGGGAAGCCCCGAGAGGGTCTCGGACGCGAACAATGGCAGCTCTTTAGGGATCCCCTCCCTCCCTAAAAATCCTAGATTCAGTTCTGCGGAGGAGCGAACGCGAGGCTGACCTCCAATTCGTCGCTGCGCCTGTCATTCAGTTCTCCCAAAAAAATCCATTTTCGCGTTGCATCCCCGGCGTTAGCCAATCGGGGAACGCAGATACGCGCACACCCAAAGATAATAAAGGGCTATAGGCTCGAGAGATGTCTCCTCTGTGTTGTTCCACCGACAGGTTAGTGCATTTAACCCGCCCCGCCCCCCATAAAATACGCTTTATGCTTATTGATTCTGCTTTGTTGTGAGATTATGTTGGCTTCACTCTAGAGATGTCTGCAGTGCCTCGGATAGTTTCTTCTTATGGGGGAAAAACGGCCTACTGGTCTTATTTAAAAGCCTGAAGGACATCCGTTCTCCCCCATGCAGAGCATCTGGGATGCATCCTTCCCATGTAGTGCCTCTACCTCATTTTTGTGTGATTTCTGGTTTCCTTGTTTTTCTAGAGGTTGGTTTTATCCTTATCCTCCCTCCCTGATGGTTTGGGCTACAGCTCCCATCACTGCTGGCTGGGGCTTATGGGAGTTGTAGTCCAAAACATAGGGAGGGCACCAGGTTGGTTAAGGCTGGCTCTCATGATATATATATTAAATGCTTTGGACACTTATATATATGCAGACACACAATGGCAGAGTCAAGCCAATAGAAGAAAAGATTGATGGTGAGCCTATTCATGGAGCAGGTAAAGAAAAACCTTGTCTCCTCTTAACAAAATGCATAGTTGTTGCGATGGTAAATTCAGTCGCTTGCCAGAGCCACCCAGCCTATTGTCAGCAGCTCCCAAGGCCTGTTGACATCCAACCACCATGTGTAGAATGCAAGTGCTCTCCAGAGACTGAAATCTGATCTTCAGGAGCATGACTAACTCAGCGTCCTCTTCTTAAACCGTCTTGCTTGCCTTTCATCGTTGGAAGATGAGTTATGGGATCTTGGTTTATTTTGGACTTGCATCTGGCTATTAATGAATCTTGTTTGTTGGGCAACAAAACCAGGAACTTAAAGGAAAAGTGCTTAAAGCAAAAGGAGAACAATTTAAGGCTGGAGGTGGACATAAAGAGTTGCCCTTTGGACTCCACTTACTGACTCGTGGTGGAATAGCAAAATACTGTCCTGCAATATTTTTCTTCATCCGAAGCAGGTTTTAATTAACAGTGCTGGGAGAGAGAATGGACTCTATTGTCCTTCTCTCCCTGTATAAAGCTGCCATTCAGTTGCCTTAGACCCAGAATCGTGCTTATACTCTTGCGATGAAGTCCTAATTCATCATGCAAAGGGGTTATGCCCATAGTCAGTTTTGTTCTTGGTAAATAACGCAAAGGATGCTTCCAGACTCGCTCCTTTTGGGTGGGATTCAGTCACATACTGGCCAATTCAGGTTGTGCAATGAAAGCTGATTTGGAGCTCTCTTGACAACAACACTGCTTCCCCAAAAGGCTGGTCATTTTGCAGTAAGGGCATGGTGGGAAAGTGTGGGATGAAACTTGCTTGATCTAATCTCCCCGCAAATCGTGATGACTGCACAATAAACAGGTCATCTGGAAAGGGACCTTGGAGTCACAGCTGTGGTCTGCTGTGTGAAGTTAGTATTGCAAGTTGTGGCATTTCATGAGCATAACAACTTCATTGCACTGAGTCTTTCACTGAAGATATAGGGTGCCTTTGTCTTGCATCAGCTGCAGCATACATAAATATGCCTTCAAGAGCATCGTTCAGAGACCATAGGTAAAGGGAACCCTGACCATTAGGTCCAGTTGTGACCGACTCTGGGGTTGCCCGCTCATCTCGCTCTATAGGCTGAGGGAGCTGGCATTTGTCCGCAGACAGCTTCTGGGTCATGTGGCCAGCATTACTAAGCCACTTCTGGTGAACTAGAGCAGCACATGGAAACACCGTTTACCTTCCTGCCGGAGCGGTCCCTATTTATCTGCTTGCACTTTGATGTGCTTTTGAACTGCGAGGTTGGCAGGAGCAGGGACCGAGCAACGGGAGCTCACCCTGTCACGGGGATTCGAACCGCCGACCTTCTGATCGGCAAATCCTAGGCTCTGTGGTTTAACCCACAGCGCCACCCGCGTCCCTTCAGAGACCATACTGCTGTACTAAACTTCTTAACATTGCTAAACATCATGACATTGCTGGATCTGAAGGCCTTGTCATGGAAGTCATAATTAAATGCATTCAACCACTGTCACAACTTGGAGTTTCCACACCCTGAAACCATTTATCGACTAGTGCTGGGACATTGTGATCCAGGCCTTGGACACATAAGCATACATAACTGTTCTGTTGAGATCAGTGGGGCTTTCATTCAAGTCAGTGTGCTTAGGATGATTATGAAGATGATTAATTTTGTATACCGCCCTTCATCACAAGGTCACAGGGCGGTTCACAACATAAAAATACACAATAGTGTTGGAGGTGACAAGAATTAGCCAGATGCTGTTCATCACAGGGTCGACTATGAATAGTAGAGCCTTAAAAACAATCGGCTGTCTCTGTTTACTTTCTTCATGGGGTTGCTATGAGGATAAAATTAGATAGCTCCATAATAAGCATCCCTGGGCTCCTTGGTGGAAGAAAAGTAGCGGATACTGCTTTGATTCCAGGACTCAACACAGCTAAAACAAGCTAGCTGGGAATGAGGGCGAGACGGGGCATGTCAGTGCAGAGGGGATCCTTGCTGGATCGGGCCAAAGGTCCAACTAACCCAGACTTCTGCTCCCCAATAACCAAGGAGAAGCCTCTGGAGAAGGGCATGAGCAGGGTTTGTAGGACAGTAGAATAGGAGGCATGTGATTGATTAGTAGAGCCGCCTCCTGGTTCACCAAGAAGCGGTGAAGTGTTCGCTTCGGCAGCACATATACTAAAACAAGAAGCGGTGAAGTTCGCAGGTTGAACCCCTAATATCGCCAGGTAAGAGGTCCCCTGCTGAAATCCTGGAGGAATGCTACCTACTAAGCTCGATGGAGATCGCCGAAGAATTGATGCTTTTGAATTATGGTGCTGGAGGAGACTCTTGAGAGTCCCATGGACTGCAAGAAGATCAAACCTATCCATCCTTAAGGAAATCAGCCCTGAGTGCTCACTGGAAGGACAGATCCTGAAGCTGAGGCTCCAGTACTTTGGCCACCTCATGAGAAGAGAAGATGCCCTAGAAAAGACCCTGATGTTGGGAAAGATTAAGGGCACAAGGAGAAGGGGACGACACAGGACGAGATGGTTGGACAATGTTCTCGAAGCTACCAGCATGAGTTTGACCAAACTGCGGGAGGCAATGGAAGACAGAAGTGTCTGGCGTGCTCTGGTCCATGGGGTCATGAAGAGTCGGACACGACTAAACGACTAAACAACAACAAAAGCTCGATGGATGGTCATCGGACTTGGTAGAAGCCAGCTTCCTGTATTCCTGTGAACAGGTCCTGAGGGTACTCTAGAGACCCAAGAGTCATAGCTGAGGCCTTAACTCCTTTGCTGTCATAGCTCTGTGGGAGTAGGCAAGGAGACAGGTTTGAAAAGGAATGGGAACTGAAAAATATGGGTCAAAACATCACTCCACACAATGGTGGGTAGCCACGATGGCTGTGTTGTACCTCCACCATTGGAATACCAGCATTTGGGAACTGCAAGGCAAGTGAAGAGAGTGTTATTGTGCTCAGGAACTGCTTGTGGGCTTCCCACCATAAGGGTTTGGGTAGCTATTGTGCAGGACGCAGGTGGCATTGTGGGTTAAACCACAGAGCCTAGGGCTTGCCAATCAGAAGGTCGGTGGTTCGAATCCCCGCGACGGGGTGAGCTCCCGTTGCTCGGTCCCTGCTCCTGCCAACCTAGCAGTTTGAAAGCACGTCAAAGTGCAAGTAGATAAATAGGTACCACTCCAGCGGGAAGGTAAACGTTGTTTCCGTGAGCTGCTCTGGTTCGCCAGAAGCGGCTTAGTCATGCTGGTCACATGACCCGGAAGCTGTATGCCGGCTCCCTCGGCCAATAAAGCGAGATGAGCGCCGCATCCCCAGAGTCGGCCACGACTGGACCTAATGGTCAGGGGTCCCTTTACCTTTAGCTATTGTGCAGTGTTCAAAATTTGGCAAGCACATTTTGCACCTGGCTTTCGACCGCTTGTGGCCAGGTGAAGATGCCTGGGTACCAGCATGGCGCCTGACATCTCCACCATCTGGGGATCATTGGATCTGTTTTCACACACTAATACCCCATCCTATAGAATTCTATCAGTTCTATTTTATCTGCACAATCGGAATGAATTTCTGAATCCAAAATGCTTTTTCTGTGCAGCCTGAGCAGGAGCAGTCACCATTAAGAAAAAGAGGTCAGAACAGGCCAATATATATATGTAGACTGTCCCTGGATCAAGTAGCTTTTCTTCTTTTAAGTTCTTAAAACTCTTAACCTAGCTCAAGGTTGTCATCGGAACTAGCCTAGCCAGATGTTTAACTGATAATCACAGTCAGTCAACCATTTGAAAAATAAGAATTTAGAGCCGTCTTGCCCCAAAATGGCAACATCAGTTTTAGTTGAGTTGCTGAAACCTATTTGATTGGAACTGGTTTGCGTCATCTGTTCCTGTGTACTCTGTGGGGATTAAGTTATTATAGTTGTTAGGTGTTACCTTGTTGAAGTAGTCTGTTGTTTGAAAACCAGTAAGATTACATATTACTACTACACCTTAAAACCTGTAATTATATTATACAGTTAACAGGGATGAGGATCACATGTTACAATCTGCATGCAGGTTTCAGATTAATTTCTACTGAGAAATGCAATCAAAAGATGTCCAGATACTTGTTTTAAAAACTGCCAGCGAGGAAGGAGATTCCAAGCAGAAGTGTTGGTTTCTCAAGAACATCTTTCTCCCTCCTGCTCTACTTCTTCCTCTCCCCAAAACATGAACATATGGGAGTTGTTGGCGTGTCTTTCAATTTTTCATATCATTGTTGACATACATGAGCAGGAGAAGACTTGAGTAGGTGCTGCTGGCTGTTTTTCAAGCTCTTTCCTCAAATCCATTTATAGATCCATCTTCAGACTATTTATCTTGGACTGGTAGCTTAGAGCTCATACCTGGATTGCAACCAGCCATGCCGCAACTCCCTGTCCCTATAGGTGATTGGAGCAAATACTGTTTAGTGCAGAGGGGTAGGTTCTTCATTAGAAGGCTTGAAGTTGAGGCTAGATACCACCTTTTGAAGATGCAGTAGAAATTCCTGGACCAACAGGAGGTTGTTGCTAGCTGCCACAACTTTGATTGGTTGTGTAGTGCTGTCACAGGCGTGTGATCCAACCGATCTATGTGGGAAGCAGATTTCTGGTGGCTGCGATGGTCTACTTGCAGAAGTTTCTTTTGAGTTGGGCTGTGGTGACAAGCCTGTAGATAGGAAAAGGCAGTGAGCATGAGCTGGGGCTGAAATAATTGTTTCCTATGAACCTGGCTTGGCATATCTACCTGGGGTGGTGGTGGGAGGAGAATGGCTCTTAATGTCAGAAGAATGCTGCCGGTTCAGGGGCAAATGCCCATCTAGTCCAGCACTTTGTTCTTACGGCGGCCAAGAAGATGTCCATGGAAAGCCGGCAAAGAGAACAAAAAACTTAAAAGCCACATTGACAGGGCTTGAGCTAGATGACCCTTGACTTCTCTCCAATTCTTTAATTCTGTGGCACAGTAGCAACTAGAATATGATTGAAGGTGTGGTGCTGGTTTTTTTTTTGTATGGAAAACTTGAGAATGGGGAACTGAATGCTCAAGTACGGTAGCTATTAGCGCATTACCAATACAGTATTAATTCAAATAAGTATATCTCTTAAGGCAACTCTTAAATGGATAATAGTCACCATAAAAACATACATACAGTCATACCTCGGGTTAAAGTAGCTTCAGGTTGAGCGTTTTCAGGTTGCGTTCTGCGGCGACCTGGAAGTAACGGAACGGGTTACTTCCGGGTTTCGCCGCTAGCGCATCAAAATGATGTCACTTGCATGCGCAGAAGCGGCGAATCCAGACGCGCAGACACGGGTTGCGTTCTGCTCAGGATGAGAATGGGGCTTCGGAACGGATCCCGTTCGCATCCAGAGGTACCACTGTACCAATAAGATGTTAGAAATGATAAAAGGATCTCTTGCGAGCATCTCTTGCAACAACAATATTTAGATCAGGAAGATGAACTAAATCAGAATTAATACTGCACATTTGCCTTATCTGTCCCTTTTCTTCTTTACAAAACAGTGGGCCACGCTGCGTATTGAGAAACAGAGAGAGGCACAGAGGCTTCCTTCTTCAAATGGTAAGGGTTTTCTTAAAAATTAGAACTGTTGCCCCATTATAACAAGAATGGCTGTTTGGAAGGGGGGGGGGGGAGAAATGGTCCTGAAATCTGATGTAAAAATCTTACAATACTTGGCTGTCATCTAATGGTAGAGACACTCATGTGGGTCCATCAAGGGTGTTAAACCAAGTCTTCTGTATGGGGGTCTTGATGTGATAGTCCTGGAACCCTGATTGCCTGACCCACAACTGCCTGTGTTAGTCATTTGGGACGCATAAGTGTGGCTTTTAAGTAAAACAACTTTTGCAATGTTTTCCTTCCTGGATGCTTAGAGGAGGTTCCTTCTTGCCCCAGGTGGCTGTTTACAAGCTTGTGCGGATCCATTTGGTTCACGTTGCCCAAAGACAGTGGAAGTTTTGTTCACTAGTTGCCCTTCCTTTTCATAATTTTGGAAAGTGATGCCGGATTGCAAGCTGAGCCCATGTCCCCTTTAGTAAATAAGGCCTCTATGTCAGGTTTGAGAAAGAACAACTCACTTCATCCCTGACCATTTGGCATGCTGGCTGGGGCTCATGGGAGTTTGGAGTCCATCAATATTTGGAAGGCTCACAGCTTAGCCACCTCTGATGCAGATGCACCCACTGGGTTCCAGGTAGCTTTAATTAGGAGATTAATCAATCAAGCAAACATTTTGTTGATTAATTGGTGTGGTAGGTGTTAAGGTTGGGCTCAAGCAAACATAATACAAAATTATGGTTTCGGCACTACATAGACTAGTCTTGGGGGACGCGGGTGACTCTGTGGGTTAAACCACAGAGCCTAGGACTTGCCGATCAGAAGGTCGGCGGTTCAGATCCCTGCGACGGGGTGAGCTCCTGTTGCTCGGTCCCAGCTCCTGCCAACCTAGCAGTTTGAAAGCATGTCAAAATTCAAGTAGATAAATAGGTACTGCTCCAGCAGGAAGGTAAACGGCGTTTCCGTGCGCTGCTCTGGTTCGCCAGAAGCAGCTTAGTCATGCTGGCCACATGACCCGGAAGCTGTACGCTGGCTTCCTCGGCCAATAAAACGAGATGAGCGCCGTAACCCCAGAGTCAGCCATGACTGGACGAAATGGTCAGGGGTCCCTTTACCTTTTTAGACTAGCCTTGAAGAATTTGTGTGCTTCTTGCACAAAGCAATTCTCAGTCTTGGTCTCAGGCAAACCATAGTTTATTTTTTCCAAATGACCAAACTATCGTTTGTGCTTGCCTGCAAACCAAGACCACAGGTTTGTCAGTTTGGTACAGAACACTGTTTTGCACTAGGAGTGGAGAGATGCGGATTCGAATCCCCGCTTGGCTGTGAAGCTCGCGGTGTAGCTTTGCACCAGTCACCTTTTCTCGGCCTATCCTGTCTCACAGGGCTGTTGTGAGAATGAGAATTGGTGTGGCAGAGAAGAGCCATAGATATTCCCTAAGCTCCTTTGGCGGGAGGGTGGCATTTTTTAAAACAACAACATAGTAAGTTGATTAAATCTGTCCTTTCTCGGATTTACTTTACTTGCTCTGGTATCTTTAGTTGCAACACATTTTTTCCCCACTTGATTCCTTTGCACTTAAGGAAAGGTGGTTGCTTAATACAACTTCCATTTAACCAAGATTTTGAAATTGTGGTTTCAATGCTCAGCGGTTGTCAATAGGCCATGGTTGACCGGGTGGAAAAGAATTACGCTGCTTTTACTTTTGTCATCACTAGCTTGAGGTTTTGAAGACTTCTGTTGTTACTGCTTGATATCCCTACCCCACCCAGAAGAGGGTAAAAGGAGGGTGGATTCACTTCTCTGAATGTTTCTTTTACCCCTGTGCTGTCTCTGCTTCCTGCTTCCCTGGCATCCCTTTGAGGCTTGCTCCAGTTCTCTCTGCGAATGTGACCCCTGCTTTACTCAGTGTTGCACCTCCTTCTTCTATAGCGCATTGTTAGCTAAAACGCCGCCCCGGGCTTGCATAATTCATCACTGTCAGGCCGGCCTCGAGGAACAAGATCTGTGGGGAGTCTCTTCCCTTCACCAGCTGTTGACTTGGAGGATTGTATTATTCTCTTGAGACCACAGAAACAACTCTTTCATTCCCCCCCGCCCCCCGTGCATTGCATTGGGGACCTCGGGTTGTTCCAGAGTTGCCCTGTTATCTCTCCTCCGGTTTGGGTTCCAGCGCATTGGGCAATGGTGCGGCAGCCAGAAATCCAGCCTTTCCTCCTGACTCAGGAAAGATAGTAAATATGTAGTTATCAGGAAAACAGAAGCTTCACTTCCTGAAGTGAATTTTCCCAATTGCCGCAGGTGGATGAACAGATGGGGAAGTGGGTGGGTTCTGCTTGAAGCAGCCATGATTTTACCCTGGGGGAAAGCAGCTGACAGGTAATTGAGGGAAACACCTTGTTGTTGTTTAGTCGTTTAGTCGTCGGACTCTTCGTGACCCCATGAACCAGAGCATGCCAGGCACTCCTGTCTTTCACTGCCTCCCGCAGTTTGGTCAAACTCAGGCTTTTAGCTTCGAGAACACTATCCAACCATCTCATCCTCTGTCTTCCCCTTCTCCTTGTGCCCTCCACCTTTCCCAACATCAGGGTCTTTTCCAGGGAGTCTTCTTTTCTCATGAGGTGGCCAAAGTATTGGAGCCTCAGCTTCAGGATCTGTCCTTCCAGTGAGCACTCAGGGCTGATTTCCTTTAGAATGGATAGGTTTGATCTTCTTGCAGTCCATGGGACTCTCAAGAGTCTCCTCCAGCACCATAATTCAAAAGCATCAATTTTTCAGCGACCAGCCTTCTTTATGGTCCAGCTCTCACTTCCATACATCACTACTGGGAAAACCATGGCTTTAACTATACGGACCTTTGTTGGCAAGGTATAATTATTATTTATTTATTAGGGCCACAGCAGAATATGCCCATTTTCAGGTCACTGCCTCTGATATTCTGTAGGGTGTGGCATCATGAGTAGAATTTTCCCAGATTATCTAAGTAATCTTACAAGTCTACACAGGGGCAGGTGGTCTTTTAGGTAGCCAAGCACACTGGAAGTGCGATCCCCACTCAACGGAGCAAGCCATTAATGTAGGACCAAAGCATCACCTCTACCTCCACACTCCCAATCAATTTATGCAATTGGTTATTTGAAAGCTGGTATAGCAGATGTGTTGCAGAAAGCTGATGATGGATGAAGTAATTCCAATTGGTTTCAGCCAAACCACATGTGGGAGCAAGGCTTTCCCGCCCAGGGAGTCACCGGGCTAATGGGACTTTGGCAAAATTATTTTCTGCTGATCTCTTAGATAAAATGTTGACGCCCGATCCCTTTAATGGCAGGTATAAACTGACCTTGTGGAAATGGTACCAGGTGTTGCCTGGAACTTGTGTTGCAGATAATTGACCTGCCTATTGCCTGGCTTCGTTTTCTCATTGAGCTATAATGTGCTTTTTATTTATTTATTCCCTACCTGAAGTTATCATACAGAGGGACCAGACCACCATGGAGAAAGCCATTGCTGGCCTGCGCCATGGGGACTTTGAGCTCTCCGATGTGTTTTACTTCTGCAAAAAGGGGTATGAAGCGATTGTGGAAGATGAAGTCACCCAGAGGTTCACCTCGGAGGAGCTGGTCTCCTGGAACCTCCTCACCAGGACCAACGTCAACTTTCACTACATCAGTTTACGGCTGACCATCGTGTGGGTCATTGGCGTCTTTGTGCGCTACTGTCTCCTGTTGCCTCTTCGGTGAGCCTGTCTCTGTGTGTGGACGTAGGAAGCTGCCTTTAAACAGAGTCAGGGCGTGGGCCCATCCACGTTCACCATTGTCCACACCTTGAGTAGCCAGTGGGCAACCTGTCCAGACGATCTATCTATCATCTAAAATTTAAAAAAATCAGTGAAAAAATAATGTGAAAGAAAAGAAAGATGAATAATGTGAAAGCAGGGTGGATTTGATTTAAATCAAATCAATTTACAGTGGTACCTCTGGATGCGAATGGGATCCGTTCCGGAGCCCCATTCGCATCCTGAAACGAACGCAACCTGTGTCTACGCAGGTTGTGATTTGCCGCTTCTGCGCACGCACGTGAAGTCATTTTGAGCATCTGCACTTGCGTGAGCGGTGAAACCCGGAAGTAACTCGTTCCGTTACTTCTGGGTCGCCGCAGAGTGCAACCTGAAAACGCTCAACCCGAAGCTACTTCAAGCAGAGGAATGACTGTAAATCATGATTTAAATCGTGGTTTAAATCACTAGTTAGTAAGAGAAGCCAAGTTACAGGGAACCAAGCAGAGGGCCTTCTCAGTAGTGGCACCCACCCTGTGGAATGCCCTCTCACCAGATGTCAAAGAGAAAAACAACTATCTTACTTTTAAAAGACATCTGAAGGCAGCCCCGTTTAGGGAAGTTTTTAATGACTGATGTTTTATTGTATTTTTAATATTTTGTTGGAAGCTGCCCAGAGTGGCTGGGGAAACCCAGCCAGATGGGCGGGGTATAAATAATAAATTATTATTATTTAAATAATTTTTTTTTACAGAAATACTCATTCTTGCTGGGATAATCTTAATGTTTACAACAAGATGAAGGTCTCATTTTTGGAATAATAAATTTTCAGAGTAGTTTTTTCAGTTATATCAGAAATTACTGATTTGGTTATGCTATTAGAAATACATAGACAGATAACTTATTAAACCTCACAATAATTTCATAATTAACCGTTTATATTTGGACAACCTTTCTGCCGTACTTTATTAGAAGGAGAGAAAAAAATCATTTCCTTAATAACAATTGAAACTATTTATTTAACAAAAACTGATTCTGTGTATATAAATTTGCAAAGGAACAATGGGATTAAGGTTTTTCCTCAACTCTGTTATGTTTATTTTAGAACATTTTTCCCGTGAAGGAAAGGCATGTTATCTCTGCAGACACAAATCCACACTTTAGAGTCCTGCAAAAACAAGCATCTGCGATAATATTGTTTCGTTAGAAAAACTGCCCCAAATAACCTTACAGAAACCTCTGGAAGAGCATGACATTGTGAATGGATCAATGGAATTCATTTACCAAAAAAATTAAACATTGCATATAACGTCTCATGCTAAATAATTAAAAACAAACCCTTATTTCCTGATGAATAGCCTTTGGGCTATAATGTAAATTAACTAGAAAACTATCTTTAGAAAGATTTTCCCTCCAAAAGCATTTAATTTTAAGAAGTCGGATTTAAATTAAAAAACTAATTTTTGGACATATGTATTTTTAAAATCATTGATATTTATCCACCCTGTGTGAAAGGAAAGAAAGAGAAAAAAACTCCCATTTATTCAGAAGGAACCAGTCGAGCTTTAGCAGTTTTAAATGAGCAAGGGCCTGGTGCACAAACGCTGTTCTCTGCTCAACTAGCCCCTGAGAACAAGCCCAAACTGCATGCCAGGCTGAAGGTTTATGTGCAAACCAGCACCGGTTTCTTTTTTAATAGAGTGGATTAACAAGCCTAGCTGCGACTTAATGACATGGCACGTCTATTTGGCAAAGGGCGGTAGCTCAGTGGCAGTGCACTTGGTTTGCTACACAGGCGGTTTCAGGTTAAACGCCTGGGCTGGAACCATGGAGAGCAGTGGCTAGTCAGTGTTACCAATGGCCCAATGTGGTATAAGGCTATGTTGTCGCTTGGTTTTCTGGATGATTCCTCCTGCTGGCCTCTGAAGCCCGGCAAATGCTCTCCTTTGCTATTCTCTGTCACTGGGGTTGAGCTGAGATGGACCCTTGGACTCTGCAGGAATGCTGCAAATAACATACAAGCTTGAGTTAAGTATTATTATTAATTACACTAGTGGCCAAAATTGTGGAAACCTTTTGGGAAAAGTGTATTTCTGAGGTTTGATGGCTCACAACACCACTTTCTTTTTGAGTAGCACCATAAAATTATATATCAATGGAAAGATAATTTAATGAAGAATGTAATGCAACAAAGTTTGCTCAGTTATCTGTATTCTATCAAAAGTTATAGCCAAATAACCAGAAAAAGGAAGCATAAGTTGCTTAGGTTGATATGCAGTATGTAACCAATGAGCATGAGTGTTTAGAGAGTCAATCGGGTTTTGTGAGCCATCAAACCTAGCAATACTTTCCCCAAAAGGTTCCCACAATTTTGGCCACTAGTGTGTATCCCAGCTTGCCTCCAAGAAGCTCAAAGTGACAACATGGTCCTTTCCCTCCTCATTTAATCCTCACAACAACCTTGTGAGGTAGGTAAGGCTAAGACACAGTGACTGGCCCAAGGTCACCCAGTGAGCTGAGTGGGGTTTTGAACCCTGGTCGCCCAAGCCCTACTCTGACACTTGGTGTTTCCTAAATTTGGGCCTTCAGCTTTTTTTGGACTACAGTTTTCACCATCCCTGCCCACTGGTCCTGCTAGCTAGGGATCATGGGTGTTGTAGTCCAACAACAGCTAGAGACCCAAGTTTGGGAAATAGTGCTCTAAGCACTAATCCACACCACAATACGTGACCCAAGCCCTTGCCTGAAGACACACGATGCAGTACTTTGCTGTAGCCAAGGTGGTCAGTGCCTGGATGGGAGAAGGATGATGATGATGATGATGATGATAATAATAATAATACTACAGTGGTACCTCGGGTTAAGTACTTAATTTGTTCTGGAGGTCCGTTCTTAACCTGAAACTGTTCTTAACCTGAAGCACCACGTTAGCTAATGGGGCCTCCTGCTGCCGCCGCGCCGCTGGAGCATGATTTCTGTTCTCATCCTGAAGCAAAGTTCTTAACCTGAAGCACTAGTTCTGGGTTATCAGAGTCTGTAACCTGAAGTGTATGTAACCTGAAGCGTATGTAACCCGAGGTACCACTGTAGTAGTAATAATAATAATAATAATAAATATATTATTTATACTTTGCCCATCTGGCTGGGTTTCCCTGTGAACCCAAGTATGCTACATGGTTATGGATATAGTTACATTTTAAAAACTCATCAGGAGGCCAAAAGTATGCACTTTAAGGAAGTCTTTCTCTTCCAATCAAACTTGTTTGTCAGGATTTCCAATTGCAAATTATCTGAAGGTGCTCCAAGTAGGATCTGACGGTCTTGAATGGATAATGCATTTTGGATTTTCCCTTCTGTTTCCCCCCCCCAGGGTTACCTTGGCACACATTGGGATCCTTTCCATGATTTGCGGCAGCACGCTGGTAGGCCAGCTTCCAAACGGGGAGTAAGTGGATATCCTTTGCATCAGTAGCTTTGGGAAAAGAAGAGGTTACGAAACAGAAAACAAAACTCCACCTCCGCCTTGGGCCAACCTCTTGCGTCAATGCAAGCTGTTTCTTAGAATTATTGGAATGCCTAATTGACAGCTGGGATTCGCATAACGTTGTGCTGTGCGAACCTTTATAATCTTGTGGGAGCAAGTTTCATTATGCGCTGTGTAAAACTAATGGCCCATCAGTTTTGCCAGAAAAGTTCTTATAAACATACGTGGCTGTGTTTATAAGAGGGAAAGCAAAGGAGGAATCTCCATTTATGGAGACATTGAAATAACAAGCAGAGAGATGGGAACCAACTGGCGACAGAATCTTAGAGACTTGGGGTGTAAAAGTAATTGATAAGGGGAGTGCGAGAAGAGTGAGAACTAAGTGGGGAGCTGCTGGATTTTGTAGAGAAGAGGGTGTCCATTATTTTTGGGAGGCCACTTTCCCAAATCATCCATTTTCTGAATATGTATCTTTATAGACAGAGCTACTGAACTGTTTATTCTTCAGCTTGTTTGGAATGCTGACTCCTCTTTTGCTATCAAGAAGTTGAAATTAGGTTGTGATGTGTAAATAACCAGTGCTGCAACTCTTAGATTCTGGAAAATGTGGACCTAATTTAGATTTCTAAGGCTGCTGTTACACCCAGTTTTTCCTGTTTTGCAGAACGAAAGACTGGCTGAGTGACCTTGTCCACCTCACCTGCTCCCGGATCCTTGTCAGAGCGCTTTCTGGCAACATTTATTACCACAACAAGTGAGTGAAAGAAAACAAAACCCCTTCTCAGGACAGAAGTTAGATAAGTTCTTTTCTGATGGTGCCAGGTAGATCAAGGTGTATTTTGTTGCTGCTGCTGATGTACACATCAGGCAGAATCAAGTGGTAGAATGAATTGTACCACCAGAGTTTACAAGTCTGGGATCACATCTTTTTAACATTCTGTTGCGTAAAAAAACAAAACACCTCTGCAAGTAAACTGCTAGCACAGCAAGGAATGGATGGCGCTTCAACTCTTTTAAGCTGAAGTGCTGTTTGCTTAACTTAAAGTAAGTTTTGTGTGTGTTTTTGGGCCCCTCCAGACAGGTGTGTTGTTTTTGCAGGTACATTCTGCACTACTTCTATGGTACATCAGTAGTTCCCTAGTTAATGGTGGATTAATGCTGGGCTGTCCACACATTCCTTCCACTTCTGCAATGCATTATTGTACTTTTGCGCTGGAGCACAACACATCTGGGACAACCTGTCCATCCGTCCCCAGTACATTTGTGGTCTAAACAGTTACAAAATTTTTGTGGGAAGCAAAAGGGCAGCCACCAATTTGAAACAAAGAAATTATGTCCACCCTAAAATCTTTGCAGGCTCAAATGGTATGCAGAGTGGGATTGCACATAACTGCCCCTGAAAGCATCATGAATACACAGTGAAAAGGACGCTTGGAAGGGCCTGTTGTGTTTTGTTGTGAGATGGATTCAGAAACTTCATTTTTCCCCAGCTGTCTCAAGTGGTACAGCCTACTCTGTCATCTCTGGGCTCTGTAACCTGCATGATGCTTCTGCCCAGTAAGAAGAACAGGGCTTATCTGGGCTTATCTTTCCCTGCTCAGATGTCAGCATCCTCTTCCGAGTATAGTCTGTGGGCCTTTGGAAGGGGCAGTGGGTAGTGACATGAAGCAGGGCCTTTTTGGTGGTGATGCCTTGACTTTGGAATGCTCCCAAGGGGGGGGGGAGACTTACCCAGTAGCTATTAATAACTTTATTCCCCACGAAGTTGTCTGAACCTCTTTAAAAGCCATCCAAGTTGGTGGCCATAGCTACTTCCCGTAGGAGTAAGTCCTATAGTTGTAACTATGCACTGTGTGAAAAAGTGCTTTCTTCTATCTGTCCTGAATATTCAGCTTCACTGGATGCCTGAGTATTATGAGATAGGGACAAAAACCTTTCTCTATCCACTTCCTCCACAGCATACTTAATTTTATAAAAGTTTTATCATGCCCCCTCTTACTTGACTTTTCCTTGAGCTGAAAGGTCCCACAAGTTGTCTGTGTAGTGCCTGTGTGTGGGCCTTCTGGGGGTTAAAGACCATTAAAAAAATGCCAAGTCCAATTGCTTTCAGAATACAGTGGTACCTCGGGTTAAGTACCGGAGGTCTGTACTTAACCTGAAACTGTTCTTAACCTGAAGCACCACTTTAGCTAATGGGGCCTCCTGCTGCTGCCGCGCTGCCAGAGCACGATTTCTGTTCTCATCCTGAAGCAAAGTTCTTAACCCAAGGTACTATTTCTGGGTTAGCGGAGTATGCAACCTGAAGCGTATGTAACCCGAGGTACCACTGTATGCTTTTTAAAGTCTGTGCGCTGCTTTAAATGTCTTGCTTGTGGCTGAGAATTGCAGCTTAGAAATGTTAAATGTTGACAAAGAATGCATTTTCTTTTGACTTTTAAATGGCAACACTGCTCATTAAGCCTTTACAGCGAAGAATACTCACGTGTAACATGCGGCAGGTTTATGGGCATCTCGCAGCTGCTTGTCCCCTACTGCAAAGTTGTGAAAAACTTGTGGTGTCCTCCTGTCATTTTGCAGGGAGAACAAGCCTAAGAAAGGAGGAATTTGTGTTGCCAACCACACATCCCCAATAGACGTCATAATCTTGACCAATGATGGCTGTTACGCAATGGTATGTCTTAAGTCTCATGAGTTTTGCAATTGCAAGGACTGAGAGTTGTAAAGACCTCTGTACATGAAGCCAGCGTTGAACTGTAGCTACTTCCTAGTTGCTAATAATTGAAGCCATTGCTTCGTGTTGAGTTGAGAAAACTCTTGATGCAAAAAGGAAGAGGAACTGGTGCAACTGATTTAGCTATGCAGCTGCACAGAAGCACTTTTCATAGTTTTCACCTGTCAGTGCTATCAGTGTGGATAACACTTGACATTGCTTAAGAAAGCAGGTCTCTGTCCAGAGGAGCTTACAGTTGACACTGAGAAACAGAGAAAGAAGAGGCAAGGGTAAATAGGGAAAGAAAATGAGGAAGGTTTACTGCTATAGCGAGGCAGATATTCAAAGGCTGTGTCTTACCTGTGTGTAGGGTTTCCAGAAAAATAGCTCCCCATGCAAAACAAACAAATATTGTTGACATGCTTGCCCAATTCACTGCCACGAAGGCTTTGTTCAGTGGTGTCCAAACTTTTTTCAGAGAGGGCCATATTTGATGAAGTGAAAGGCCATGAGGGCCGATTAACCAAAGTTGTTAACCTTTGAACTTTTTAAAGGATTTTACCCCAGGAAATAAATTGCCACAGGGGCCAGATTAAATTGACCAGTGGGCTGAATTGGGCCCCTGAAATTGTCTTTGGACATGCCTGGCTTTGTTAATCAAACAAGTGGCAAAGGCCCCATCTGCACCCTGCCTTTAAAACAATGTTCCATCACGTGGAAGATGGAGCAAGCTTGCTTTCTCCTACTCTGGAGAGCAGGACCAAACCAATGGATTCAAGTTACAAGACAAGAGATCCTGACTAAACGTCAGGAAGGGCTTTCAGACAGTAAGAGCTGTTTGACAGTGGAACGGTCTCCCTCAGGAGGTTGTAGACTTTCCTTCCTTCGAGGTTTTCAAGCAGAGGTTGGACGGTCATCTGTCATGGATGCTTTAGCTGAGATCCCTGCATTGCAGGGGGTTGGAATAGATGACTTAAGGGGTCCCTTCCAACTCTACAATTCTATGATTCTATGAATAAGGGAAGTGACAGTAACGTGCAGTAGGAAGTGTGAGATAACCACCTCCCCGACACAACGTTGTTAACCTCCCAGCAAGCAGAACAGAATGGAAGCTCAAAAACCAGATTGTGGGCACTTAAAGATGACATAATCATGTCCTTCAAGAATGACATCACTTTCAATGCATGGGGCGGGGGGGATCAACTCCACTCACAAGGCTCCTTTATAGTTTTAAAAGGGAACTATTTTGAAGGAACTCCCTGTTGATTTGATTTTGTCTTTTTTTTGGTGGGGGGACCTTACAGGTGGGCCAAGCTCATGGGGGCCTAATGGGTGTTATTCAGAGAGCCACCGTCAAAGCCTGCCCACATGTTTGGTTTGAACGCTCCGAAATGAAAGATCGCCACCTGGTGACGAAAAGGTATGGGCTTTGTTGTTGTTTTACCCGAACACCAAGAGACAAATGGCTGTGGGTTGCTCTAAAGCAGGGGTCAGCAAACTTTTTCAGCAGGGGGCCGGTCCACTGTCTCTCAGACCTTGGGGGGCGGACTATATTTTTTTGGGGGGGGGGGAATGAACGAATTCCTATGCCCCACAAATAACCCAGAGATGCATTTGAATTTGAATTGATTTGATTTAAACTGATTTTATAATGAATTGATTTTAGAATGCTGTATTATTTTATTGTTGCCAGCAGCTCTGAGCCCGGCTTCGGTTGGGGAGGGCGGGATATAAATAAATTTTTTTATTATTATTATTATTATTATTATTATTATTAAATAAAAGGACACATTCTACTCATGTAAAAACACCAGGCAGGCCCCACAAATAATCCAGAGATGCATTTTAAATAAAAGGACACATTTTACTCATGTAAAAACATGCTGATTCCCGGACCGTCCATGGGCTGGATTGAGAAGGCGATTCGGCTGGATCTGGCCCCCGGGCCTTAGTTTGCCTACCCATGCTTTAAAGCTAACATATTTGTACGCTTCTTATTTACTGCACGGAAAAGTGTGGCGCTCCTTGTGTTAACTGACATCGGGGATTAGAAAAGTAAGGTAAGAAAGAGGGCCAGGCTAATGGTGTGCAGTCTCTCTGAAATGTCATTGCGTTAGTTCTGTCCATTCATAAGCTTGCAAATGCAAATAAAGGTATAGTCTGCCTCAGGGTGGATTTGATTTAGCTCAAATCAATTTAAGTCACGATTTAAATCACTAGTCAGTAAAGCTTAATTTAAATCTCTTTTTTTTTTTGCAGAAACACTCATTCTTGTTGATATAATCTTAATATTTACAACCAGTTGAAGGTTTCATTTTCGGAATGATAAATTTTCAGAGTAGTTTTTTCAGTTATATCAGAAATTCCTGCTTTGGTTATACTATTAGAAATACATAGAGAGTTAATTATGAAATTATTTTGAGGTTTAATGAGTTAACTGTGTATATTTCGACAATTTTTCTGATGTACTTTATTGGAAAGGGAAAAATAATCATTAGTAACAATTTACACAATGTATTTAACTAAAACAATAACATTATAGCATATGTATCCATGTTTGTTAACTGATGTGGTTAAACATTTTTTTTTTTAAACTGAGTTTTAGCACACATGAAAAACGTAAAACAAATCCTTATTTCCTGATGAATAGCCTTTGGACTATAATGTAACTTAAATAGAAAATTATATTTAGAAAGATTTTTCCTCCAAAAGGATTTTATTTTAAAAATAAAAAAAATCTGATATATATATATAAACATTGTTTTTTAAGCACCCTGGTCTGCCTTATCTCTGGGCAAAACTGACGAAACGGCCTCGGCCCAGTATACCTGAAGGAACGTCTCTGTCCCCATCGTTCTGCCCAGACACTGAGGTCCACCTCTGAGGGCCTTCTGGCAGTTCCCACCCTCCAAGAAGTGAGGTTACAGGGAACCCGGCCTTTTCGGTAGTGGCGCCCACCCTGTGGAATGCCCTCCCATCAGATGTCAAGGAAATACAACTATCTGACTTTTAAAAGACATCTGAAGGCAGCCCTGTTTAGGGAAGTTTTTAATGTTTAATTCTATATTGTGTTTTTAAGATTTGGTTGGGAGCCGCTCAGAGTGGCTGGGGAAACCCAGCCGGATGGGCGGGGTATAAATAATATACAATATTATTTATTGCTTGTTCAACTGCTGGCTGGAGTGAAGCAGCTGCAAAAGTGCTTTGCAAACCCACATGCAGCTCCTTGAATATCCTGGCTTACTAAACCAAACCCCTCTGGCAAGTCCATGCAGCTGTTTTGCAGCCACTGCCAACAATAAAAATAAAAATAAAAATAAAAATAAAAATATTTATTTATACCCCGCCCTCCCTGGCCAGATCCGGGCTCAGGGCAGCTAACACCAGTAAAATTACAGTAAAAACATAATAGGAAAAAACCCAATTTAAAATACAGGTTAAAATGCAATTTAAAACCTTACCTTCCTTCTGTTGGTAAAATTTCTTCCCCACCCACACCAAACTGAAATGATGCTTTGAAGAGGAGGACCTTGAAAGGTACCTCCCGATCTGAGAACCACTTGGCCTGCTTGACTCTTAAATATTTCACTGCACAGCACAGAGCTAAGGTGTGCAATTTGCTCCTGCAAGGTGTTGCCAATGGCCTCTGGCTTGGATGGCTTTGAAAGAGGATGTTGCCATCAAAGGCTACTGCTTGTGGGCTTCCCATGGTGGCATCTGGTTGGCCACTGTGAGAACAGGATGCTGGATTAGACCTTTGACCAGCAACCCTCTACTTATGTTCTGAGTTATTGGAAACAGATTAATTCCAAGAGACCCTCTTGAGTACTGAGGCAAAAACTGAAATATTTCTCCTTTTCTTTCAGGTTGAGGGAACATGTTGCGGATAAGGAGAAGCTGCCCATTTTAATTTTTCCAGAAGGTAAAACACACTCTTCTGTTCCCTCATTTGTGGGTTAATAACAATTACGATACGATACGATACGATACGATACGATACAGAACAACGAAATTGAAAAATCTACATCAGACATTCAAAAACCAACACGCCTGCTAACCCAGCTATCCCAGCCTGGTTAACCCCCTAAAAACTCTGATACCCCATAATTAAATACAATATACTCCCATAGAGACTACCTTACACTGTGTTTAAAACCAAAATCGTATTTGGATAGAAACTGTTTCTCAGGCGGCTAGTCCTAGTCTTTATAACCCTGAACCTTCTTCCAGAAGGCAGAAGCTGAAAGAGATCATTTCCGGGGTGCGCACTATCCTGCACTATCTCTGCAGCTTTCTTATGACACCTGGAAGCATAGATTTGATCCAAGGTGGGAAGAGTGCACCCAATTATTCTCTCCGCAGTCTTTACAACCCTGGACAGCATTGTTTTCCCCCTGACCGTGCAGCTCCCAAACCACACACACAGACCATAAGTTAATACTGTCTAAGTCGCGCTTGGACTCTTCCCTCGCCGTGAGGCGTTCCCCTCAGGTTGGTTACATCAAATTCCTGTGAGAACATCCTCACTTGTGACAGTTTTATGGAGGAAAACAGCAGAATATGACTGTAAACAGTGAGATCGTAATACGAGGCCCGTGTGCCTCCTCCATGAGAGGTCCGGAGGGTGGCTACACAAGAGCAGGCCTTATCTGTGGTGGCTCCCCGTTTGGGGCATGCTCTCCCCAGGGAAGTTCAACTGGTGCCTTTCAAAAGCATTATAACCAGGCCTTTGGCCTAATTTAACTATCTGTGGCCACTTAGCAGCGGGCCACAGGCATCGCATGCAGATACATGAAAACCAAGAGAAATAAGTTAATTTCTTATTTTCTCTTGGTTTTCACGTGTCTGCATGGGGTGTTCTTGTCTGGGTGGTTGTACGTTGCTTTAGTTAGCCCTGGGCAAGGTAATGCGACAAACAATTCAACAAATAATAATGATGAATACATAAATAATAAAGGCGACGTAGCTGAGCTTCTCTCTGGCCTTGCCCCTGTCCTGCCCCCGATACGTGGATTGGCATCCAGCATGTACCCCTTGTCAGGGGAGTCCTTAGCGTATGTGCCGCCGGGGTGCAAAAATCCACCCAGCGCCCCCAAATTTAGTTTAGTCCCCAAATTAACTTTTACAGTGGACGCTCGGGTTGCGAACATGATCCGTGCGGGATGCACGTGCAGGTTGCGATTCGGTGCTTTTGTGCGTGCGCAAAGCGCGATTTACTGCTTCTGTGCGTGCGCAACCTGAAACGGCTGTAACCCGAGGTACGACTATTGTGCTTATGTCAGACACCATGCTTACGCCTTATCTCTTGTTCACGAAAGGAAGGGAGGAAAAAGAAACAAACTGTATTTTTTAAATTTATTTACTGACAAGCGCCGCCATTTTAAATGACAAGCGCCGCCTCCGGCACGGCGCGTCTTTGGTAAATGAGCGCACAAAGTCGAAAGTCCTTTAGTGAAGCAGGTACACATTTCGGTAATACCTAGGTATATATGTATTTTGTTTTTCTAGTTTGATCAAAATTATTTATTACTTCATAACAGGTAGATAAGAGCTTAGGCGGCTTCAGCGGCGGGCCCCTGGCGCTCCCCAGAATTGGGCGCCCAAGGGCCCCTCACCCCTGGGTAAAGATTGCCCTGTCCCTTGTGTAGACATTATTGAGCTGGATAAACCCATGGCCTGGCTTTGCATAAGGCGGCTCCCTGTGTTCCATTGTCGTTCACGGAACAACTCCAGCTTGCACAATGGAAGTTGCCCTCCCTCTTCTTCCCCAGCTCCCCACCCCCAGCCCGCAAAATAAAAATAAAAATAAAATAAAATAAAAATATGGTAGGGATGTAAGGAGAGAATAAAGATCCATTGAGCAATCAAAAGTTCTGGCATGATCGGGTCAACTTAGTTCAATACAGCCTTCTGCAACTCAGGACTAAGGCGAATAATGCTCCATCTGGGGTTTGTGTTTACTGATTGCTCTGTCTTTTATTTATTTTTTAAAAAACCAGGCACTTGTATAAACAACACCTCGGTCATGATGTTTAAAAAGGGAAGCTTTGAAATCGGTGGCACAATCTACCCAGTTGCTATCAAGGTAAGAACACGCAAAAATGTTCTAGGTTCTAGAAGGTTTTTTAGCCAATTCTAGCCGGTTCTTAGGACAGCTATTCCTAGTGCCCTTTGGATGTGTTGAACTCCACATCCCATCATCCCTGATCACAGGCTATGTTGGCTGAGGCCACTGAGAGTTGGAGACCAGCAACATCTGGAGGGCAACAGCTTCCCCATGTTTTCCCAGCAAGGTGTGGCTGCTGCTGGATCTCATGGATTCCAGCGCAGGCATGGAAGTCTGGAGATGCCTCCAGACAGGTTCAAGATACATTAAACTGGACGAAGATGCAAGTGAGAGCCAGCATCAGGAAGCTCAGCTTCCTCCATCCCTGAGCATTGCTAAAAAGGGACTAGGCAGAGGAATGAATGAAACGCAACCAGTCTTTTCCTGTTCTTACATCTGAAAGCAGATTTGTCTCTTTCAAGTGTGCCATAAACCCATGGCACCAAGTCCAGTACAGTGGTACCTCAGGTTAAGTACTTAATTCGTTCTGGAGGTCCGTTCTTAACCTGAAACTGTTCTTAACCTGAAGACCACTTTAGCTAATGGGGCCTCCCGCTGCTACCGCGCTGCCGGAGCACGATTTCTGTTCTTATCCTGAAGCAAAGTTCTTAACCCAAGGTACTATTTCTGGGTTAGTGGAGTCTGTAACCTGAAGCGTCTGTAACCCGAGGTACCACTGTACTAACTAGCTACAGACTACAGTCAAACCTCGGTTGTCGAACGTTACCCGTTCCGGAAGACCGTTGGACTTCTGAAACGTTTGATGACCGAAAACTGAAAGTGGAAGCCTCAATACAATAGGGCGGCTTGAGTATAATTAGCCAGCTCCCCACCACTCTTTTCCTCCCCAAATTTTTTTATTCATTTTATAACACAACTAAACAACACAAACAGAAAAAACAAACAATACAAACAAATTCTTACCTTATCCTTATTTTTTCTAAACATTGTTAGGTGGGCTTCCCCAAGTCCCCCCGTCTGATTTTCATTTTACCTTATCTTTTGCAGTTTACATATATCATAATTTTTAACCATTTTTTTTAATCATGCTTACTTTTACCATAAAAATCTTCACATTTTATCACTTACAAATAATACTGTTTTAAAATACACTATCTTCTACTTCTAACTCTACAGCCTATATCCACTTCCAAAGCTATTCTAAGATTTAAATACAGTGGTACCTCGGGTTAAGTACTTAATTCGTTCCGGAGGTCCGTTCTTAACCTGAAACTGTTCTTAACCTGAAGCACCACTTTAGCTAATGGGGCCTCCTGCTGCTGCCACGCCACTGGAGCACGATTTCTGTTCTTATCCTGAAGCAAAGTTCTTAACCTGAAGCACTATTTCTGGGTTAGCGGAGTCTGTAACCTGAAGCGTATGTAACCTGAGGTACCACTGTATTAACATATTTTTTTCAGATATTCTTTAAACTTTTCCCAGTCTTCTTCCACCGTCTCTTCTCTCTGGTCTCGGAGTCTCCCAGTCAGTTCAGCAAGTTCCATATATTCCATCATCTTCATCTGCCAGCTCCCCACCACTCATGAATGCTAACCTTGCAAGCCAAATGGGGGGAGCCTGCCGGACCTCATTGTGCCCATAGGTGAGAGGTTGTCTCACCACTGGCCTAATGGTTGCCCCCCCCTCACCCTTTGAACTCTTGGTTAACTTCTCACAGCCCTACACCGTTTGGGAATTTCTGCTCCCTTCCAAAAACGCTCTTTCTAACACGGCTTGTGAAATGGCCCTTTTCACGTTGGCCGTGAGCGTGACTCTCAAATGCTGTCCTCCTCTTGTAGTACGACCCCCAGTTTGGCGACGCCTTCTGGAACAGCAGCAAGCACGGCATCGTCAGCTACCTTCTGCGAATCATGACCAGCTGGGCCATTGTGTGCCACGTCTGGTACCTGCCGCCGGTGACGAGAGAGGTATCTGCCCTTTTTTGCATTGTTGGCGGGTTGGCACAGACACTGCCGTTTAAGAAGCAGGAGGAACGGCCCATATTGGTGCCTTTATAACTTTTGGGGGCAAGCTAACCAGGGATGCAAGGGACGCGAATGGCACTGTGGGTTAAACCACAGAGCCTAGGACTTGCTGATCAGAAGGTCGGCGGTTCGAATCCCCGTGACGGGGTGAGCTCCCATTGCTCGGTCCCTGCTCCTGCCAACCTAGCAGTTCGAAAGCACGTCAAAGTGCAAGTAGATAAATAGGTACCGCTCCGGCGGGAAGGTAAACGGTGTTTCTGTGCGCTGCTCTGGTTCGCCAGAAGCGGCTTAGTCATGCTGGCCACATGACGTGGAAGCTGTATGCCGGCTCCCTCGGCCTGTAGAGTGAGATGAGTGCCGCAACCCCAGAGTCAGCCACGACTGGACCTAATGGTCAGGGGTCCCTTTACCTTTTAACCAGAGATGCTGTTTTGATTGTCAACCCCCTTCTCTCCCTCTCCTGGCTAAACTTGAGAAGCCCGCAGTTGACTTCCTTATTGCATTTATATGTGGGTTACAGACAACTGCGTTCTGTTTCTTTCTTTGCAGGAAGGAGAAGATGCCGTTCAGTTTGCTAACAGGGTGAAGTCTGCTATCGCTCGTCAAGGAGGACTTACAGAATTGCCCTGGTGAGAAAAGTTAGACTATATCCAAGAGAGGAGAGAGAGAGAGAAATTAGAGAGTACTCTGCAAAAATTTAGTGCCTTAAATTTCAGCAGTAGGTGGTAATGACCTAGAATTCAGTTTGCCATTTGTCTTGAATGCTTTAGTTGAGATTCCTGCATTGCAAGGAGTTGAACTAGACGACCCTTGTGGTGCCTTCCAGCACTACAGACCTATGATTCTAGAAGTAACAGTGCAGGCCTAACCAGGTCTGCTCAGAAGTAAGCCCTAATCAGTTCAATGGTGCTCACTCCCCAGTAAATGGCACTTAGGATTGCAGTCTTGATCTGCTCTGAGCACTGCCTACAAATGCAATAAAGGTAAAGGGACCCCTGACCATTAGGTCCAGTCATGACCGACTCTGGGGTTTCGGCGCTCATCTCGCTTTACTGGCTGAGGGAGCTGGCATACAGCTTCCAGGCCATGTGGCCAGCATGACTAAGCCGCTTCTGGCAAACCAGAGCAGCGCATGGAAACGCTGTTTACTTTCCCGCCAGAGTGGTACCTATTTATCTATTTGCACTTTGACGTGCTTTCGAACTGCTAGGTTAGCAGGAGCAGGGACCGAGCAACTGGAGCTCACCCCGTCGCGGGGATTCAAACCACCGACCTTCTGATCGGCAAGCCCTAGGCTCTGTTGTTTAGACCACAGCGCCACCCGCGTCCCTAACAAATGCAGTAGTGTCTAGCTGAACAGATCTGCGATTGCAATGACTTTTGGTTGTGCAACGGCCTTCTCCTTTCACCTCTCTCTCCACATACCCCTTTAAGTTCCTGCAGTCCTTTGTAGCATATGACCTGGATAGCTCAGTTGGTTAGAGCGTGGTGCTGATAATGCCAGGGTTGCAGGTTCGATCCCTGTGTGGGACAGCTGCATATTCCTGCATTGCAGGGGGTTGGCTTTCAACCCTCCAATTCTATGATTTGGGGAGAGAAGAGGGAGACGTTCTGTTGGGAATCCTTGCGCTAGCCAGCCTTCTTAAGAGTGCCATCTTTATTCTGCTTCATACATTTCCCTTTCTGCCCTGTTCTTTTAAGGGACGGAGGTTTGAAACGAGCCAAAGTCAAGGAGACTTTCAAGGAAGAGGAGCAGAAGAACTACAGCAAGATGATAATAGGAAATGGAGCCTTGTCGAGTCGACCAGCAGACTCTGACTGATCTCTTCTGGCGGACGCTTTTCATGCCTCATCGCTATAGAAATGTGTGGATTGTTTCCCCCCCATTAGAAAAGAGAAGAAATCAAAGCACCAAGTATGGGGAGAGCCAAGGCATCGCTTTGTTTTCCCTTCAGCTGTGGCTTGTTGGTTTTGCCACTGTCCGCCGGTGAATTCTTGCTTTTGATGTCTGGGAAAAGAGGACTGGATTGAAGCAGAATGGAAAAATCCCAGGCAGCAACTTCTGAATGTTTGCCCAAGGGGGATTGTAGATAATGATTATAATAATAATAGTAATAAAAATCGAGCCCAAGTTATGTAGTTTGTACAAATAACAGTCAACGTTGTTTAAGTGGTTATGGAAAGTTTGGAAAACTCCTCTACGGTCACTCTGATGGATTGCTGTGTGTTGATTGTTTGAATAGGTGGTCTAACATTTCGATGGCTTGTTTTCGATGGGTGTATTTTTGTTGTTGCCGAGAAGTTTTTAGCGAGGAAGTGAATGTCATTTAGTGTTACCAGGATGAACAGCTAGAAAAATGAAACCTTGACTGGTGGCTATTCTTGACAGTTGCAGTGAGGAACAAAACAGCCTGCAGACATTGTTTTTATTTTTGTTCTGTTAAAAAGGTTGCTTCTTATAGAAATCCCCTCCATCTTTCAGAAGAACTGTCTGGAAAAAATGTTTGATCCAGTCTGGGGGGCCTCTGTCCCACTGCTCGCGGAACAGAGAAGAGCAAGTGGTTCAAATGCTCAATTATTTTTTTTAAAAAAATCACTGCTCCCTTTGTAATAAAACGCTGAAAAATTGGAAGGGGAAAAAATAGTGGAGGTAAACAGTGTCTGATGAAATGCACTTCTTCCATGGTCTGTGTTGGCAGCAGCCCTTTATGTGTATCTGTCACTTCCTGTGTGAGAAATGTTATGTTGCCTTATTGTAAATTGAAATAAATTCTATATTTCTACTAGTGGTAGCATTAACCCCCCTTTTTTTTACTCATTCCCCACAGCTGTGCATCGTCCGCACTTAAAATAGAAACCTGGGCCAAGGTCACCCAAAACATTCAGCTTGTACGAATTATGCACGTAAAATACCTTTTACATAATCTTATCGTGAGAGACCAGAGAACTAATAGAAGCTCCTGGAGCCTCAGCCCCTATCAGTGTCAATTGTATTTCCCTTGTGGCTTTTGAGAGTTTGCCCCTGTGTTGCCATTCTCAAGCATATCTCCGTTTTTTAAAAAACTGAAGATGAGTTTCATGGGAAGCTGATTTCTGTAATCAAGATTGCATATTGTTTTGTGCTCATTTTCCCTGCCCCTGTTTTCTCCCATTTACACCCCCCCCCCCCGAATGAAGACCTGTACACACAATACAGGGAGAGACATCTGATCACGGAGGCAGGTTTTATTTTTATTTTTAGTATTCCCACCCACCCCATAATTTCAGTTTGAAGATCTCCCAGAGTGGCTTCCGGCTCCGCAACCAATGCAGAAGTGATGGCCCCACACTCTCCCTTTCAAATCTCTTAGTTATTTGATCAACATATTTTTGGAGAGGCAGTGGGCACCTTTTAATTGGATTATTTTGCCACCTGGTGCTCATGGGAAACACCTGTGTGTGCTGATGACCCATCAATCATGTGCACCCACCCTTCACCAACAGACGCAAGGTTCTCCTTTTTTGACCCTCCACCTGCAAACAACTTAAATGGGGCGAGGGTACCGATGCTGTAGATGTGCCAGCGAATTGGCCCTTCAGGCTGTATCTCTCTCTTTTCGAGGAGGGCATAGGTGGAATGGAGAACTCTTGCTGCTTGGATTCCAGAATGTAGCACAAGGGAAAAGAAGATGCTGTGCATCATAGCCCAGCCAGTTGGATGGGATTCCCTGCCTGTACTTTGGGAGGGCTGAGCAGTTGGTAGAGTGCAGGGCCTCAGTGTGGGCGTCCCACTGTCTTACGTACCATCACAGCGAAGACCCCCTCTCTTATGTAGCCTCCGCAGACATGGGGCAAGGATGCTGATCCAGATCTTAAGCCTGGCAGTGTCTGCATGGGAGATGCATGGGCTGGAAGATACGGAATGCACTCCTGCAAAATGCAGTGATCTGTCAGATGGCTCTAAAGGAGAAAAATTCAAAAGGACAAAATTCATGGAGAAGACAGCAATGACTACTAGGCATGATGGTTAGGTTCTAGTTCCACTGCTGAGCAATATGCTTCTGAAATACAGTGGTACCTCGGGTTACAGACGCCTCAGGTTACAGACTCCGTCAACCCAGAAATAGTACCTCGGGTTAAGAACTTTGCTTCAGGATGAGAACAGAAATTGCGTGGCAGCAGCAGGAGGCCCCATTAGCTAAAGTGGTGCTTCAGGTTAAGAACAGTTTCAGGTTAAGAACGGACCTCCAGAACGAATTAAGTTCTTAACCCGAGGTACCACTGTACCAGTTACTGGCAAACACAGGTGGACAGAGTCCAGTTTGCATCTGATTGGCTACTCTGAGAAGAGGATGCTGGACTGGGTGGACTTTGAGTCTGATCCAGCAGGGCTGCTCTTATGTTGGTAAGGTGGTAAAAGGTAAAGGTAAATAACCCCTGTACAGTTAAATCCAGCCTAAGGTGACTGGGGTTGCGGCGCTCATCTCACTTTCAGGCCGAGGGAGCCAGTGTTTGTCCACAGACAGCTTTCCGGGTCATGTGGCCAGCATGACTAAACAGCTTCTGGAGCACAGAGCACTGTGATGGAAACCAGAGCACACGGAAACGCCGTTTACCTCTCCGCTGCAGTGGTACCTATTTATCTACTTGCACTGGCATGCTTTTGAACTGCTAGTTTGGCAGGAGTTGGGACAGAGCAACGGGAGCTCAGCCCGTCATGGGGATTCGAACCGCTGACCTTCCGATCGGCAAGCCCAAGAGGCTCAGTCGTTTACACCACAGCACCACCTGCATGGATCAGGTGCAGTCAGAAGATTCCTGTTAAGCTCTTAATTCCACTTAACTGACCACTGATTTCCATGCAGCATTTCAAACTTGGTGAGGAATATCTTTGGGATACCTGTTGACCTCCTGTGCTATACCAGTGTGGCATAATGGTTAGAGTGTTGGACTAGGACCTGGGAGATCAGGGTTCGAATCCCCCACACCCAGCAATGAAGCTTGCCAGGTGACCTTTGGCAAGTCACCATTTCTTAGCCTAAACCTACCTCTTAGGGTTGTCGCGAGGATGAAATGAGGAGGAGGAGAACCATGTACACTGCTTTGAGATCCTTGGAAGATAAAGGTGGTATATAAACGTAAAAAAATAAAATAAAAACTGCAAATAGGTACAGTGGTACCTCAGGTTACATACGCTTCAGGTTACATACGCTTCAGGTTACAGACTCTACTAACCCAGAAATATTACCTCGGGTTAAGAACTTTGCTTCAGGATGAGAACAGAAATCGTGCTCCAGTGGTGCGGCAGCAGTAGGAGGCCCCATTAGCTAAAGTGGTACCTCAGGTTAAGAACAGTTTCAGGTTAAGGACGGACCTCAGGAACGAATTAAGTACTTAACCTGAGGTACCACTGTATTGGTGAAATGGCAGGAGAACTGAAGGGCTTCCCTCTTTTTCAATTGCCTGCAGTCTGGTTTCTGGTAATAAGCATAACAGACAAAGCCAGAATGGGGAAACTGCATGTTGGACTACAATTCCCATCAATCTGATGTTGGACTACAGTTCCCATCATCCCTTATTTTAATTTTTGTGTTAAAAAAATGTATATCAACTGTTTTACAGTATAAATGCTTTTGTAAACTTTTCTAATCTTTGACCAGTGGCCGTGCTAGCTGGCATTGATAGGAATTGTAGTCCTTTAGCTGGAGGTGTGCAATTGCTATCCTTCCCATCCTTGTTTTAATGGGTTACTAATGCAAAAGCAGGCACTATGTACAACTGGTTTAAAGAAAAGACTCCAACATATAGTGAGGTGCTTTCAGGGCAGGGCTTTGAGGCAGAAATCTGAGGTCCTGCTCTGTGGCGAGGCCTCTAGGGTCAGCAGCAGGGGCGTAACACATTTTGAAGTAAGCAAAGGACCACAGCTCAGTGGCAGAGTGCATGGTCTTGTGTGTCAAAGGTCTCAGGTTCGATCCCTGGTGTCTCCTTGTAGGGCTGGGAAAAGTTCTTGGCTGAAACGTTGAAGAGCTGCTGCCCCTGAAAGTAGTCAATTCTGAGCTTGATAGACTTGTATAAAGCAGTTTCCTATGTTTCTATATTACTATGCAAATAATATACGTACATTGTGGAACGGTCTCCCCCAGGAGGTTGTGGACTCTCCTTCATTGGAGGTTTTTAAGCAGAGGTTGGATCAGGGGTCAGCAAACTTTTTCAGCAGGGGGCCGGTCCACTGTCCCTCAGACCTTGTGGGGGGCCGGACTATATTTTGAAAAAATAAATAAATGAACGAATTCCTATGCTCCACAAATAACCCAGAGATGCATTTTAAATAAAAGGACACATTCTACTCATGTAAAAACACAATGATTCCCGGACCATCTGCGGGCCAGATTGAGAAGGCGATTGGGTCGGATCTGGCCCCCGGGCCTTAGTTTGCCTACCCATGGGTTGGATGGTCAAGGATGCTTTAGTTGAGATTTCCCTTCCAACTCTAAAAGTCTACAATTGCCATCTAAAGAGTACAGGGCCGTCTTAAGCATATCCGGCGCCGTGGTGCAAAGATCCCTCTGTCGCCCCCCCCTTTCCCAGAGTTGACCTTTTTTTAGGGCTGGAGGAGGCAGACAGCGGCTGGAGGGTGGGTCCTCCGGTGGGGAAGAGGCAGAGGCAGTTTCCCGGCTCAGCTGGCCGCTTTGTGCCGCCATGGCCACGGCAGGCAGCACACCGAGTGAGCGGGCCTGTGCTGAGCGTTTCGGCTCCTGTAGGCTAAAAGGGAAAAAACTGAGCCGACGCTCTGTGGGAGCGGCGCATGCACCCTCACTAACTCACTCAGCGCACTTGTTCGGTGTTCCCTGGACTCTCGCCTGGTGCCCTGGCGTCCTGTGCTACTAGCCTCTATAGGTAAGATGGGCTTGAAAGAGCACACCCCACCTCCAGTAACAATATTAACTCCAGAGTCTAAAATGACCCACCTGCACCACTGCTTCAGCCATTTTCCCAAAACTTTAGCCAGCTCCAAGCCTGCAGGCTTTTAACAAAGACGGATCTCTCAGACACCTGTTGCCGTTGTGAAACGAATAAGCTTCATTTGCACAGAATGGTGACCAGCTGAGGCATCAGTTGCAATAGATCAGTGGTTCCCAATCTTTTTTTGGCCATGCCCCACCTAAGCATTTCCTCCCCACCCAAGTGACCAATAATTCTTATTATTCAAAAAGTGAACTCCTATTCACGTGGAGGAAGCCTAAAAGGCCATTCACTGTTAATAACACATTCCCGAATTGCTCCCCTTAAAATTCAAATTGCCCCCCCTTTCCCCCACATTAGGAACCATGGCACTAGCTAGAGCTAATGTAGGAAAAACTGACCGGGTCTAGCATATGCCTTTGAATGCACACATGGCACGATCCAAGAGAAACTCAGAATAAACAGATGCAGTTCTTTTGCCACAAGGTGGTAGTGTTGTAAATTGTTTTATCCAAGAGCCAAGCCAAAAGCAAAGTGTGTGGTTTTGTATATACCCAGAGGACCTTTGATTTGAATGCATATACGAGTGCTAGGCAGAAAATAACAAAACGATGGAATTTTATGGGAAAATCCATTTTGTTTCCTCCATTTGCTTCTCATACTCCTGTCTGCATTGCAAATGTTACAAAGCAATCTACGGTTAAAAAACCTGGGAGGATGCAGCTATCAGCCAGGACTTTGAAGTCCCACTAATTTCAGTGGCACAGTCTTCATTCACACACTCATTGAAATGAATGCACCGAACCCCTTGATTCTAACTACTATCTCATGTCCCAAATGTCCCAACCATTCTTACATCATATTTTATTTCAAAATGTCCTTCCTTCCCTATATTTATGGCTTTTCTAAGTAAGTAATCTACTTTTCTTTCTTGTCTTTGTCACAACCTTTGCACACATTTTCAGTTAGAACCACATATTTGGCGTAACAAATTGAATTCAAGTAGAACCACGTATTTGGCATAATAAATTGAATTCACATAAAAGCACAAATGCAAAGGTATTTTAACACCTCAAACGTTTTAAAAAACCATAAAGGCGATCCTACAATTTACAAAGGTTTACATGATCTACTGTTTTCAAAACAGAGAATAAAAATGCAATGAAGAAGAAGCATCTACCAGCATCTCCTATATATATTTTTGGGAATTTATTTGCTCTGCATTTAACGCCTCTTAAGATACCACAATGGAATTTTGCATGGTGGTTCAGGAAAATAAGGAGCAGATTTCGGTCAATGTTTGGATGCAATTGGATGTCATTTTATTATTATTGTGTTTAGTTAGGAGACCCCTCACAGAGCTACAACTCCTGGCACCCTAAACACACAACAGTTCCCATAATTCTTTATGAAGGAACTATGACGGTTAAAAGTGGTTTAGGAATGCTTTAAATTGACAGCTAAGTTCTACTCAGAGTAGCAATGTTCATTAATTTCAGTGGGTCTAGTCTGAGTAAGGCTTAGTTGACTACTACCCACAGCATGGATGCAAGTTTACTCACAGGTAAGAGTCATTCTGTGGGGTTTGCGTAAGAGAACTCCCTGCAGAATTGCACCCATAATCTACTGCAAGCTTTAAACTGAAGGGGGAAGAAAAAGAAAAGAAAGAATCATGACCTCAGGATCATAATACAGACTCCAAATAATGTTTGCCATCCCCATCTTATTAGATTGTCTGTACTATTTTTATTTCATTTTTTTATTATTTGCCGAATAAAAATCCATACAAATGAAATCCAGGCGTACTCAGTAAATAATAACGAAAAGGTAAATTTACTTTATGAAGAAGCCGGTGCTTGTAAGACCTCGTTTTTGAATGACACTAACTTCCCTGCTCACTGAGCTAATTCAGTCAATCAGACAGTCTCGCTCCCTCCCTCCGTCTCCCTCACAAACAGACATCATATCAGCCTTCAATGCTCTGTCGTCGTGAGCGTGACCTCTCTTTAAATGGGTTCTTAAGAAAAATTGGTTTAAAAAGAAGAGAGGGAGCTGAAGGACACGTGGCCAACAAGACATAGAAGCGGTTTAATTCACTGTACATTTCTTTTTGGAAGAAGACTTCATGCTGCTGAGGCCCATTTTGTCTCCAGTTTCAGGGGTGGTGTCTGAAAAAGAAATATTGGGGGGAGCACAGAATGGAAGAAGTGTGTTTCTTGCATACCCTCCAACATTTCTCCAATGAAAATAGGGACGTCCCATTCCATAATGATCATTTTACTATTTATACCCCACACATCTGACTGGGTTTCCCCAGCCACTCTGGGCAGCTTCCCACATATATAAAAACATAATAAAACCAGTGCTTTTTTCTAAAAAAAAATGTTTAGGGGTTCTCTCATTTTGACTAAAGAAAAACACAATTTCATAGTTATTGGGAAATATAAATACAGTAAATGGATGAAAGTACAAAGATTCACAAAATGTATAGGGGTAACCGTCCCCCCAGAAAAAGCACCTCACAAAACATTTAAAAAATCTTCCCTATACAGGATTGCCTTCAGACAGCTCAGGGGTCGGATAATTCCATACCTTCCACCATTTCTCCAATGAAAATAGGGATGTCCTAAGGATGAGGGGAACATTCCGGGATCAAATCAGAAACCGGGATGGCTTCTCCAAGGGACACTTGGAGGGTCTGTTCTCGGCCAGGGGTGGAGGGAGAACGCTTTGTCCTGTATTAGTCCTATATTAAAAGAAAGAAAGAAAGAAAGAAAGAAAGAAAGAAAGAAAGAAAGAAAGATACAGTGGTACCTCGGGTTACAGACGCCTCAGGTTACAGACTCCACTAACCCAGAAATAGTACCTCAGGTTGAGAACTTTGCTTCAGGATGAGAACAGAAATTGTGCTCCGGTGGCAGGAGACCCCATTAGTTAAAGTGGTACCTCCGGTTAAGAACAGTTTCAGGTTAAGCAAGGACCTCCAGAACGAATTACCGTATTTTTTGCTCTATAAGACTCACTTTTTCCCTTCTAAAAAGTAAGGGGAAATGTGTGTGTGCGTCTTATGGAGCGAATGCAGGCTGCGCAGCTATCCCAGAAGCCAGAACAGCAAGAGGGATTGCTACTTTCACTGCGCAGCGATCCCTCTTGCTGTTCTGGCTTCTGAGATTCAGAATATATTTTTTCTTGTTTTCCTCCTCCTCCAAAAACTAGGTGCGTCTTGTGGTCTGGTGCGTCTTATAGAGCGAAAAATACGGTAAGTTCTTAACCCGAGGTACCACTGTATTGAAGATAGGTGGGCAGACTTAAAGTCCATCTGGAGGGCAACAGGTTGGAAAAGCTGGTCTAGGGGGTGGTTGGTCTTCTCATCCTCCTTCTGCCGCCACCTATGCTGAGTTTGGCTATGACATTTTACCTTCTTGCTCTCCAGTCAAAGAGTTCCACTAAGTGTGGGAGTTCTTTGGCCCTCTTGGGTGTTGCAGAACTAGCATCTCTCTGCCCTGCCTTTCTTGATGTCATTGGCTGATTTGCTGTGCGCAGAAGCTGAGCGCCTCTGACTCTCCTGCCTCCCCCAAAACCTGGGAGCTGCAAAAAATGCCACTTTTTAAAAAAAAATAGTAAAATTTATTTCATATTTAAATAGTGTACACTTATAAATAAAAGCATAGGTATCAGTATGAGGGAATACAATGCCAACCTCTTAATCACACATATCCAATTACTTTACTTTATAATTTCTTTTCCACATATACTAAATCAGTAATTACATATATTAAGCCTTTAATCCTTGGTTTAACATGTTATATACATTTCAATTAGTTTCCTAATTCTTTTTTGCCAAGATTTCCCCTGAGCCATAGGATTGGACTCTATTACTGAGCTCCTGTTTTTATAGCACTATTTTGCTGGTTTTTCTCTTTTCTCTCTCTTTTTGTGAAAACGGCTGAATTGTTTTTATGTTGCATTTCTGTACAGCACTTAGCGATTTTTAAAAATATATTAAGTGGTTTAGTTAAAAATG